AATTATTTCAGGGGAATGTTTTTTTAAAAAAAGGGGAAATGGAATAGAGGCTGCAAATAGGATTCCTAGCAGCTGATCGGAGCCAAATGAAGCGGCTGGCATGCCAGTCACAAACTGATCATCTTTGCCTCTCGCAGCCCATACCACTGAAGAATGCTCAGGAGGAAGGTTGAACTGGTGTCCATTCTAATCGCTTTCTGTGGTTTCATCTGTTGGCTGTCCTAGAAATCCTGGTCCTGGGAACGGGAAGCAAGGTGGAGCGGCTGGATCCCGCTGTCCTGAAGTTAATGCGTCAGTGTGGGATTGCTGTGGAGGTACAAGATACGGTAAGAGGCCCAAAATGGGGACGAGAAGCAAAGGAGACAATCTTCTTCCTCAGTTCTAGTGCTTGCTTCATCTGAATCTCTCACCTCTGTATTTGAAACCTCTGCATTTAGAATCTGGAGCTGGACGGGACATGGTAGCAGCATGGTATCGTAGGCTTAGGAATCAAATTTGGGCCTAATGCTCCCAGTCCTGCTGGCAAAGAAATGTTGGCAATATCTGCCAACAACTTAAGGAAGAAGAAGAAGAGGAGTTTGGATTCAATATCCCGCTTTATCACTACCCTAAGGGGTCTCAAAGCGGCTAACATTCTCCTTTCCCTTCCTCCCCCACAACAAACACTCTGTGAGGTGAGTGAGGCTGAGAGACTTCAGAGAAGTGTGACTAGCCCAAGGTCACCCAGCAGCTGCATGTGGAGGAGCAGGGAGGCGAACCCGGTTCACCAGATTACGAGTCCACTGCTCTTAACCACTACACCACACTGAAATTGTATGGCGATGTACTTTATTTGGGGCAAATCTTATCTCTAGAGCTCCTTGGCTATTCTTTCCAACACCAGGCTGCGAGGCCTCTGGTATATTGGTGTGGGTATTTTTCACCCCTTAAGAGTAGGAGCTTCTAGGTATTGATCACTACACTGGTAACATGAGCCGTTTCCTGCAGTGAGATACACTCTGTTCATTGTTGTTGTTTAGTCGTTTGGTCGTGTCCGACTCTTCGTGACCCCATGGACCAGAGCACGCCAGGCACTCCTGTCTTCCACTGCCTCCCGCAGTTTGGTCAAACTCATGCTGGTAGAACACTGTCCCACCATCTCGTCATCTGTCGTCCCCTTCTCCTTGTGCCTTCAATCTTTCCCAACACCAGGGTCTTTTCCAGGGAGTCTTCTCTTCTCATGAGGTAGCCAAAGTATTGGAGCCTCAGCTTCACGATCTGTCCTTCCAGTGAGCACTCAGGGCTGATTTCCCTAAGATTTCCCTCTGTTAATACTGGCTGTTTTTGCTGAGATGCACTCTTATCGTTAGATTTGCACTCTGCCTTGATCCATGCCTTCCCCAACCAAACTTCTTCTAGCTCAGTCAGTAGAGCATGAGACTAATTGCAGGGTCGTGGGTCTGAGCCCCACATTGGACAGAAGATTGCTGCATTGCAGCAGATTGGATGACCCTCATGGTCCCTTTCCAGCGCTACAATTCTGATTCTTGTTTCGTCTCATTGCTTTCGCAGCCCAATGCCTGTGCAACGTTCAACTTCTTGACCAGTGAGCGGCGTATGACTGCTGCCGGCCTTATCCCACCTCCCGGTGTAACACGGGGCTGAATCTCTGAGGGTAAGACCCAGGGGAAGGAAGAGTCTTTGGCAGGGCGAAGAAAGAGACACTGTTGTCACGCCTGCCATGTTCTTCGTTGCTGTGTTTGAGGGACCCTCCTGTTTGAAAGCAACACAAGCCTTTGTGCCCCAAGGCGTATCTGTCAACCTGTATGAATGAGTGACAAGTCTTTTTTAAAAAAAATACAAGTACCCCAGCATGGCTAATTCTAGAGACAGCTTACTTAACACCCACTTTTGGGATGAGGCCCTGGGGTCTAGAAATGTAAAAAAGAAAGAACCGCCTTCAGTTTGATCCACGTGCTAAATTAACTTCATGCGGCAACCTGGATTTGAGGATGGAGAGGCAGTCTTTCTTGTGGAAAAAAATCTAGCACTGTGGAGTTTGCACATTAGATCAGCTGATCGATGGAGATTGTTAGTTTCCCATATTGCGGTCTAGATACTATACTACCAATGAGTGCTGGATATAGCAATATTTTCAGTTATAGCACTCCTCAGTGTCTGTTTATGGTCTGCCTGCTTTGAGGGCTGCAGACTCCCCCAAATAGTTGGAAGGAATAATTGGATATTCACAAAAAAAACCCTGTAATTATTGAAAAGTAGAAGTTCAGGAACTTAGGAAATAATGGAAACAGGGAGTTAGAATGTATTGTATAACCTAAGCAATAGAAAATATATTGGAATATAAACAGAATACTTAGATTTGAGATTGATTCAGCAAAAATTGGCGTTTTGGATATACTGGCCTCCACAACTACTCTACAAGAAGGTGCTGTCAAACTCGGATGGACATTTGAAGTGTAATGCTGGAAATATCTGCTTAAGGCATATGATGTGGGATTGTCCAATGCAACTGGACTTTCTGAAGTTGTTGTATGTAACAACTTTGCATGAGCAAAATCCTTGATATTCATGGATGTTCGTGTGCTTTTAAATTATGTTCCAGTTGTATGGGATTGATGGCAGGACAACAAAAATTGATTTTGCAAGTCTTTAGAGAGTCACCGAGTGATTTATACTTCAAGCCTGGAAGGGTAAATATTCACCACCTATTACAGAGTTGTCTAAAGACCTTAAATCCCTTGCTGCATCTGAACGTACTTTCTAGAAACATCAATTTCATTTGATATATCCTACCCAGCCGTCCAAGTGGATATCCAATCTCTCTATATAAATCACAGCAGATGTACCGTAATTGATGTAAGCTGACAGGTGTTCCTCCTCCTTTTTGTCTCCCCCCTTAATAATCTTGCAATAAAAATCAATTAAGAATGAAGACAGGACAAGCCAATGACAGACCTTTGGCAATATGGATGGCATCCTTGAGCGAAGTGTGTAATCTTAGCATTTGAGCGTGGACTAGCCCAGAGTGGCGAAGATCCAGAATATACTTGAAACAGAAGAACGTGGAACTATATGTGTGTGTTTTCCCAGTCTGTATAAAGGGATTAAGGACCCAGCTGTTACGTGGCTCTTTTAAGAAGCTGCTTCTACTGTCTCTTATGGGTTGGAAATTTCTGCACAAAGGGAAGTAGTGGGGACCTTCAAGCCCTGGTGTGTAGGCTTTGAGCCAGCCATCCAGCCTCTCCTCACATTGTGTGCTTTAAGAAGCATTTTATGTGGAACCAGCAGTGAATTGCATTTCTGTAGCCCACCTTCCAAGATGCCACAGAACTGGCAGGCGTGCTTTTAAAAAACTATTCTCACAACAACCTTATGAGGTGGGGCAGATAGATTATTTGAACCTGGTTTTTCTCCAATAACACCCCCCCGCCCCATTTCTGAACCACCCAAATTTTATGAAGGAAACTGAAAAAGTGTAAGCCCAACAACCTTGCGTGTGTGTGTGTGTGTGTGTGTGTGTGAGAGAGAGAGAGAGAGAGAGAGAGGAAGGAAGGAAGGGAGGAAGGAAGGGAGGAAGGAAGGGAGGAAGGAAGGGAGGAGTGTGGAAGCCAGAGGAAGGAAGGGAAATGGTGTGACCATTAGACTACTCAAAGGAGATCTTGGGGCCATTTCAGGCACACACACCTCTTGAAGTTCAAATACGTCACAAAGGGGAAAGGAAACACTTATGTGAGCTGTTCTCTGCAGAGCTGGCGCTCTTGATATGTCTTGTCTTAGTCCCAGCAGCTCCCTTGCATGTTGCAATTCTCTCTCCCAGATGAAACATGCAAACCCACTTGGCATGTTGCAGTAGCAGCAGGCAAGAGGAGCAGAAATTCCTTCTCTCAATGATGCATTCTCTGAATATGAGGGCCCTTTGCAATTCACCAGAAACTGCAGATCCTCGCTACTGTTATGAATGGAGGGGAAAGAAGTTTAACCTCCTTGAACTGGATTATTTGCTTCTCTGGAAGGGACCTTCCCGGAAAGATCAGAGTGCCTGTGCTTCCTTTAAAGGCTTGACATCTAAGCATCATTGCCTCTGAACAGGTGGCCCCTTTCAACAAGCCGCAGATCTTTCCACAAGTTCTGGCAAGAGCAGCCCCGTTCTCCTAAAAGGTCAGACTGCATGCTCAAAGGCTTGGCAAAAGCACGAGTCCAACTTTACTTGCCCCCTTTACAGTGGGGGTGTTCATTCAGCAGTAAGGTAAAGGGTAAAGGGACCCCTGACCATTAGGTCCAGTCGCAGACAACTCTGGGGTTGCAGCACTCATCTCACTTTACTGGCCTAGGGAGACGGTGTACAGCTTCCAGATCATGTGGCCAGCATGACTAAGCCGCTTCTGGCAAACCAGAACAGCGCACGGAAACACTGTTTACCTTCCCACCGAAGCGGTACCTATTTATCTACTTGCACTTGACATGCTTTTGAATTGCTAGGTTGGTAGGAGAAGGGCCGAACGACGGGAGCTCACCCCGTTGCAGGGATTCGAACCGCCGACCTTCTGACCGGCAAGCCCTAGGCTCTGTGGTTTAGACCACAGCGCCACCCGCGTCCATTCAGCAGTTATTGAACTACAACTCCCATCATCTCTGATTATTGCCCTGCTGGGCAGGAGTACAAGAACAGTTGGAGGATGGGCAAAGGTTAGCCACACCTGTTTTAAATACCAGCTACGTTTGGGGCCGGAATGGAGACCCTTAAGCCAGAATTCTGAAACTATAGTTTGAGGAAAGTATTAAAGGCATTGTCTTCTGACCTGTTCATCTGGATAGAAGGAGCAAGTGGAATGTGACTTTAGCAGAGAAATAATGTGCGGCACAGCACAGGCTGGGGTGGGCTTCTAAAAATAAAAAGGTATGTCTGGATGTACCTACGTAGAGGCTCAGCAGCACACAGTTGGAAGGATATCGGCTCTAATCCACGACTGCCAAAAGAAAAGACGATGAACCCTGCCAAATAGCTGTAATTGCACACGGAAGAAGTTGGAAGAGGCCTTCTTGCCTCTTTGTTTTATTGTAAAAAAGAAATACAGAGACAGAGACACAGGACCCCTCTCCAGAGCCTCGTTCAGCTGACACTTCTGGAATAGGCTGATGCGTTTTATCTTCAGCCCCTTGGTCAAAGCGGCTGATAATGCGAAGGGGAAGCAGCAGGCAGCTCCACCCCTCCGTCAAAATGGCACTTCTGTGAAGGGAGCAGTTCATGATCACGGCAGCAAAGGTCAGGCACCACAGGGCAAAAATGAGGCTCAGGGAAAGCGCAAGGGACTTTCATCAGAAAAGGCGTTTTTCATACCTAGGCAAGAGAAGGAAAAGAAAGCTGAAGTTGCGCGCTGTTCACCGGAAGTAGCAAATTATTGCTCTCTTTTACCAAATGGAATTAGATAGGGGTCTCCTGCTTAATTCCACTCCCCTGCTCACAACCTCAGGAGCCGTTTTAAAGTAAAGGAAGAAGTGGGCGGCAGTCTTGGCCCTTGTCCTCGACTCTCCATTCACAATGTCAGCTCAAACCCAATGATTTTAAAATTTATTTTCTGCTCGGAACTAATCCCTGCCATGGGCTCCAATCCAGAGCAGTAGTCCGGATTCAGACCCTGCAGCAGCAGCTGCTGCTGCAAAAGAAAGAACCCAACTGTTTTTACTACTATACATTTGCATGGTCACAGCATGACCGTAGGCTTGTTTCAGTGCAATGAACCTTGACTGTAGTCTCCACCTCCAATTACGTACTAGTATTGGGTGTAAGAAGAACACCCTCACAATGGTACCTTGGTTTGCAACCGTTTTGGATTACAACCACGTCAAACCTGGAAGTGTGTGTCCCTTTTTTGGGACTAAAACTCTTTTTTTATTATTATTACAACCCCCACTCTTTTTTTTTGGAGGCCCCACTGGTGAAAGCTCGCCTTGGGTAACAACCTGTTTTGGTTTACAACTGGACCTCTGGTACGGATTATGGTTGTAAACCAAGGTACCACTGTATATTACAGTTAGAAGTACAGCGGTACCTTGGTTCTTGAACTTAATTTGTTCCAAGAGTCTCTTCCGACTCCTGAAACCGTTCGAAAACCAAGGCACGGCTTCTGATTGGCTGCAGGAGCTTCCTGCGCTCAAGCGGAAGCCACATCGGACGTTCAGCTTCCGAAAAACGTTTGCTAACCGGAACACTTATTTCTGGGTTTGCAGTGTCCGGGAGCTGATTTGTTCGACAACTAAGCTGTTCATGAACCAAGGTACCACTATACTCCACAATTCTAAAAAAATCCAAACATAAGAAGGACCTAGCCTCAACAGGAAAGAAACTACATGGCCCTCTCTGATCAGTTCAGGGTGTTTTCTAACAAACGCTGCCCCTTTCTGCTTTGATATTTGTCCACAGATGCAAACAAGGCCTTGTGCTAATTCTGCTTCAGAAGGTATTAAGAAGCAGCAGAATTGAAAGTAATTGCTGGGCTGGTCCCTTCTTGGAAGTGTCTAAAGCACCTCAGCTACTTCCCTGCACTCAGGATACTTTGGGATCCTAATTGGTTCTGGCCACAGGCTGCTTTCACGCTGGCAGCCAGGAGACACACTTTTCTTTTCTTTTTTAATTTCCCTGTTTGCTAAGTGCTCTGCTTACTCAAGATGGATCAGTCGCACATAAAAACTTACGAATGGAGGCCATGAATCCCTCCTTCTACTTGGGCAGATGCTGTCCTCTTTTCAAATTTCAGCTCTCCAGAATACATCATGGCCCTGGTGATAAAAAGTCAAGAGAAGGGTGACGGAGTGTTCCTGTTTCCCTATTAAGAGCCGCATTCTTGCAACAATACAGGATGGGAACCATGGTGTGGGCTGACCAACCCATGTGGGCCAATCATGGAAGTGAGGGGCAGGCATGGTCTGCCTGATAGATTGTATGTGGCTTGCTCACATGCCTTCAGCATTCATTATCCCAAAGTATACAAGATTGGCTGGGGTGGTGGCGGCGCAGAAAGCTCTCACCTCACTTGCGTTAGACTCTTGGCTCCGATATCCTGGCACGAGTGCTGGATGCCAGCAATCAGGTACGGCATGAACTTGTGAATGGAGCCCTTGTCTTGCACAGCGCCGGAGACCCCCTGTGCCACTTTAATTTTATCTGTCTCGCTGAGAATCACAAAGAACAAGAAAAGGCTTGTGAGAAACGCAGAGCTGGGCATGCAAGCTTTTTCCAGAGATGGCAAGAAATAAATGTTTATGGTGAAAACAAGGAAGGGTGCACTGCAAGTCTTCCACCTAAGTCGCCAGATGCCCGCCCCAGATAGAAAAATCTGGGCTTGCTTCTGAAACGCCATAGAAGCAAGATTCTGAAAAGCCTCCAGTGGGAGAATATTCCATGGAGGTGAAGTGGCAGCGGCGAATGTCAGTTTTATTATCTTCCACAATCTGCATGCATTATTTTGTTTATGCAGCCCAGCCTGGTACCATTCAAGCAGTCCCTCTGTTAAGGATACACATCTCCTACCTGAAGTATCTATTCTGGCTGCCCAGGTTCTTGTCCATGGCATCAAGTGACCCCATGCCCCGGTACTTCTTCAGCCTGATCCCATCAGAAAAGAAATACTCCCCAGGGGCTTCGGTTGTGGCGGCCAGGAGCGAGCCCATCATCACTAAAGCCAACGAAGAGAGCAAGAACAAGTGGTGTGACGTTCTAGGGAAAGCAAAGCAATGGGGAACTGGGCTTGCACTTCCAGTCCGCTCTAGAGGGGTTGGGGGGTAAACTTTGATGCTGGCTAGGTAAAACATTCATGTGATCTAGCCCCTTCATATGTGTATGTGTGTGTGTGTGTGTGTGTGTGTGGTTTTGGTTAGAGCTGGGATCCAACAGAACAACTTCCACTTCCTTTACGTACTTAAGGAGATGCTACATGCACCACAAGCCAACCTGGCCCTGATCCAGCCTCCCAATAGCTCCCAAGGGTTTGTGTGCCACCAGTCTGGAATGGGGCTTCCTTCATCTGCATGGCAGCTACCTGTGCTATTTACAGTATTACAGCTCTAAACTGAAACTGCTTGTGTGAACTGCATGGCTGCTGCCGCCTGCTGTATTGCCATTTTTGAAACCTTTCTACAGCTTTATAGGCAGGGCTGGGAACCTATGGCCCTCCAGATGTTTCTGGCAGCCTAATCCCAGCCCATCCGGCTTGGCCAACGGTCAGGGATGACAGCAGCTGTAATCCTGCAGCATCTGGAGGGCAACCCATTCCTTAAGGCAGCCTTTCTCAACCTTGGGTCTCCAGTTGTTGTTGAACTACAACTCCCATCACCCCTAGCTAGCAAGGCCAGAGCTCAGGGATGATGGGAGTTGTAATCCAACAACATCTGGGGACCCAAGGTTGAGAAACACTGCCGTAAGGCATTACAATCACCGGAGGAAACTTTTAAGTGTCGCACAAGCCTCTCTCACAGTGAAAATGTTTTTTTTTATTTCATTTATCACCTGCCCTTCACTCTATCATCCCGGGCGGACCTTATACGGGCATTCACACACCTCCAAGCACCGGGAAATCTTGCCCAATCTGGTTTCCCAGAGGTACGCACAGGTTTAACAGCAGTGCATTAATGCAACACAACCTATAGCTGTTTCACCTGCTCTACCTAGTAACCACTTGCCCCATGCAGGACAGATGTGTCTGGTACAGCACATCTGGAGATACTACTGTGGCAGAGTTCCCTGGTGCACAACCAAGCGTTGCAGTGAAATCCAAGTTGACCACCATTGCCATCTCACCTGTGGAAGCGCCAAGCGCCAGAGCCTTGGCGATGTGCCCAACAGTCTGGATGCCGCCATCCGCAATCACCGGCACGCCAAACCTCCGTGCGTACTCGGACACTTTGTAGACTGCTGTGGCCTGAGGCCTTCCACATGCCAGGACTAAATCCAGAGAGATAGAAAAAGAAGAAGAACAATCAGAGTCTGGTCCGAGGCAGGCCCTTTGACGGAATCCCCATCTTCAGGACGCAAAGTTTTAGAAAGGCACATGGCTTCTTTCAGCTACTGCCTTTAAGTAGGAGGCAGAGTAAAGCAAGTCAGCCTGCAGGGGAAGCACCCTCCAGATCTTCATCCCAGAATGCAACTAAAATTGAGATGCGAAGGCACGGGGGGGGGGGGGGGGCTGACGTAACTAACCTATAAAGCACCTGTGTGCTGCTCCGATGGCTAAGGAAGGCTTTTGGAATAGCCCATAGAGCAGATAAAAATCCATGCAGTCTTGAGTCCCACTGACCTTGCTTGCGTGTGGCATCCAACCGGAATACTAGAGACTTTCGGAATATAACAAAAGCCCTGTTTATGCTTGGTGGAGGGGACATGAGGGCTCACATGGGAGTTATTATCAAGCCAGCTATCTCCTGGCACACAGGGCGGCTGTGTATAGGCCTCACTGTTTCCATCTAAAGCACAAGATGGTACAGGAAGTGAACATTCCTCAAATGAAGGATTCCTGCAGAACACACCCCGTGTGTCAACAGGAGCTCTTCTGTGCTCAATTTCATCAATTTGTCCCGGATTTGCTCGCTGTTTCCACCCACGTGCCACTTGGGATGTGCATTCTGGAAGCGATGCATACCGCACAGCCAAGGACATGCAAAAACTCTTGCCAGAAGTGTACCGCCCTTTCTTCCAAAGAGGGCTTCCTTCCCCCCACACTTCACAAATAACTGGGAGGCTTTTCTCTGCCACCATTAGAATAGTGTACCAGATGAGATTGTGACCATGCAAGATTAGTCAAAGAGTGCAAACTTCCTGTTAAATGCAGGGTTTCAGGGTTGCTATCTGCACCGCCAAAGCTAACTCAGTGCTTCACCAAGAAACCGAGCCAGACACAAGCCACTTTTTGCACCAGCTCATCTGTCGTTTCATCCATTCCCCTTCACTTTCTAGGGCTCAGTACAGGCAGCCCGGAAAGGGAATCTCGTCCATTCTAGGAAACGCGAGTTTCAAATTCACTGAAATCAACTGCATTGAACTGGAACTCAAATCAATCATGAAATGGGCTGCCAAAAAGATGAAACAGTGTTAGTGCTAAAGAGGTGGTCTCGCTTTTGCTGAGGCTGCCTAATGTTGAGAGCAGCGTTTCCATGTTATGGCTGACAAGCCAATGAAGCAGTTTGTTCCATACATAAACACCCACCCTATACTCTGGTCGTAGGAACCAGGTCATGTGCGTAACCGACCTTTGCAACAATGGTGTACAGAACTGTACACTGAGACCAGCCCTTTATGAATTAACATGTTGGCACCAGGGAGCAAGACACAGTCCTACAACCTAGTGCCTTGCACAGGTGTTGACTTCCAAAGCAGGGTTTGAAATTTGCCGTAATAATTTGGTACGGTAACGTCGCTGCCATTTGGAGTTCCACAGAATCAGAGATAAAACAAAAAATGGGCAAGCCTAGTCTTTTATTAGACAAACTCTTCATTGTCGTAAAGCAGGGGTGGGCAACATTTTTGAAGTAGAGGACCATAATCCCTTGGAGGAGGAGTTCCAGGACCACATACTGGTTGCGATCAGGCCTAAAGCAGATGCAAACACCCCTTTTCTCTCTCTCCCTTTGAAGCCTGCCACCTTGCTTAAGAGAGTTGCCTGGGAATATATGCTCACAGACTCTTACTGCATTTAAGAGCCATAACAGATTAAAATTAGATCGTTGGGTTCTTGGGTCATCACAAACCAGCTGGTAACCCTGTTAGATAGCTGGTTATATTATCTTAAGGCTGCATCTATCCTAGCCTGTTGGTTGTCTATTATTATTAAAATTTTATATACTGCCATATACCCAGAGGTCTCACTGATCTACACTGACCGGTAGCAGTTTTCCAGAGTCTCAGGAAAAGGTTCTTCCTAGCTCAGCTTCTCAAGATCCTTTAATAGAGAGATATCAGGATTGCAACTGGAACCTACAATATGAAGGTTCTGCTACTGCAACTAGCAACTTCACTGTATAGCTATTGCTCCGTATAATAATAATAATAATAATAATTTATCCTGAGCTTTGACAGTTACAATAATGCAAAAGCAATTGCGGATTTGAGGAATGCTCTCCAGGGGTGGGGTGGGGGTTGCTTGCCTGGAGCCTTCATTACATCTTTGGGCACCAGGTGAAAATGCTTCTCTTCAACCAGGCCATTGGCCAATTAACATTCTATGACCTTGTAAATGTGTTTGTGGGAGGGTTTGTGTGTGTGTGTGTGTGTGTGTGTGTGTGTGTGTTATTGGTCTGTTTCTGTTTCATTATGCACTTTGTGGATTTACGGCACTACAAGTCTCTCTGCCACCTTCACATTTGTCAAAGTATCCTACCTGGAAGCAGGTTAATATTACACCATGCATGTATCAGGCATTTGTTGCCATATTGACCTTAAAGAGATAAGAGGTCCAGAGTGGGCGATGCTGAATTTTTACTGGACTAACCTGCCCAGAGCCCTGATTGCAACTGTGTCAAAAACCTCAAAGAGGCATGTCAGGGATATAAAGTCCATAACTGTGTTGACTACCACAGCTGGGATCCAAAAAAAAGTACACATGCACATGGAAAAGAAACCTGAAAATGCACATGGGAAGCTGTGCTTGCTGTCTGTCAGGTGAGCAGAGAGCATAGTTCTTGGGCTGTTACAGAAATCTGACACCGAATGCTCCCCCCCCCCCCCCAAATCAGGTCAATACCTGAAATGACTGTTTTTACTTTTAAAAACAGCAACTTTGACAGATACAGCTCTCTAAAGGAGAATGAGCTAGTTCTGTATGGGACAAGAGAATGACCTCAGTCCTCTCATGGCAACCAATTGCAAGGAAAAATGAGCATATGTTCCCTATGGAAAGCCTAGCAAATGTCTACTGGCATTCCCTGTGGCAAGCAAACAGAGCAGCCAGTGTTCTGGGGGAAAGGCTGTTCCCACTTCCCACAGAGAATCTCCATGCTCAAAAAGGAAGCTCTTATTCATCTGTGTGGAACGGTAGCTAAAGCCCTTTTCCACGTGGCTACTTTGGGGGCACTTTAAAGCTGCGTGGACAAGCCCGTAAGTAGGTAAAAACAACTACCATGGACTAAGGATGGGGAACATACAGGACAGGGACTGTGATTTTCAAATACTTAAGAAGCTGCCTAGAAATGATCACCTGATTTACTCACAATAAAAGCTTAGAATTACCTAAAGTAGGCTGAAATTGAGCATCGTTAAAAAGGTTTCCTATCCATTATCAATGCTGCAATATGGTCAGTGCTAGACAAAATCTTTCCATCATTATAAAGGAAGATACTCAGGCAAGCTCAGGCTACCCTGCATGAAACTGGGATCTTCCTAGTAAATGTAAACAATCCCTGCCAACTGTACTGGTAACAGCAGTCAATCTACTTAACCCCCTGAAAATTACAATTTACCTATTTTGTACATGTGGTTGGAATTTAGTTAATTTAACTTGCAGAATCACAGCTGCTGCCACACGTGCCGTTAATTATGGCACCTTTTCCCACCAAGAGATAGCAAGCAGTCAAGGTAATTAAAAAAAAAAATCCACACAGTCCTGGATTTAAGAAGAGAGAAAGAACTCCAGCTAGTACCATTAAGGGCAACTTTGAAACCCTGCTTTAGGAAAGGCTCAGAATCAAGAGAGTGTCTCAGCTTTAACAACCAGTATCCAAAGCCACAAAACCCCAAGTGCGTCTACAACTAGATTATTCTCAAAACAAGCAGGGGGGGCGGGGGGGGGCAATGGGCAGCCAATCAAAGCCTTGCTCCAAGGCACAAAATTAAGGGGTGAGGGGAAGGGGGCAATGACTTACTATAGGTGCCAGTGACTGTGGAAGGGCATTTGGGGCTGTGGGACTTTAGGTCTGGAGGGATCTTTGGAGCAGCTGAACAAGACAAAAACACATACAGTTTATAGGTAAGAGGAAAGCAGCTCAGGTACCAGGAGGACGCCCTGAAGAGCTGACGCAACGCCAGCATGCTGGCACTGTGCAGTCGGGCTGCGCTCCATTAGTACAACACTGGCCCTGGCCAGGCAGCCCAGCACATCTCTCCTCTCTGTTCCATTGCTGACTTTATACACAATTAATCTGCTGCATGCTCAGAGTCACAACTCCTCTGTCCTGGTTGCTCACAGGGACAGCCTCTGTACTACTGGCATGGCAAAAGGGCAAAAGCCCACCTCAGTATCAGAAGGACTCAATGGACCAGATACAATTCCCCTCCTTTCCAGGCACTGTACAGATTCTGGGCTAGTGCTTCTGGAGGGCTAGGTTCTTTAAACAAGGCACTGGGGAAGAGAATGTGTTAATGATCTGCAGCGGGAATTGAATACCTTCTTGCGTGATGCAGATGGAACCGCTGCCCATGCCGACCCTCAGGGCATCGGCCCCGGCGTCAATCAAGTTCTTCGCCTGAGCCGCTGTCACCACTAGGAAAAGGAGGAAAGTATTATGAAATGGGGGAAGGGAGGGGGAAGAGATAGAAAACTGGTCTCCGTCACCCTGCGCTTGCGACAGTGACGTTTCCCCTTCTAAACAGACAGGACCGGCTTTGCACAGCGGAAGCCACTGCAATCTCAGCTGAAAAGGGCAGGCTCAGATTCCAGTTCTTGCTGGCTGGCCGGCCTTTGGCCATCTCACCAACGTGATGGTGTTAACAAGAGAAGGGAACAACCTGTACAACCAAAGTGCCTTCTTTTGTTAATTCAGAGAAGGAGGTAAGCAGTTAGGGCATGCCAGATGTTTGACCTCTGGTTACACCAGAGGTTTTGTCTGGTATGAAAAGTGTGTCTTGCTAAAATCCCATGTTTTTATTTGTGGCATTCTAGCAAACTTAGGATTTGGAGGTGCCAGTGGTTGCATTGATGACTTTAAAAAAAGGGCTTGGAGCCTATTCTTCTGTCGAGGGCTGCATTTCCTCAGGGGCTGTATGACAGCAGAGAGTTGACCCAGAGCCAAAAGCCAATGGGGAAGCCCCTTTTTTCTGTCTCTCTATCAATGCCAGCCTATGGGCTGTTAGAGAAAGCCCTTCATCTCTCCTCTGCCAGCCTGCAGCCAGCTAGTGGGGTTTTTTTTTGGGGGGGGGGAACCAAAAAACTAGAAACTTCTGTAGATTTAGTTACAAGTCCGTTCTACAACCCAAAGAATACAACCACATTTTAATGTTTATATTAGCAAACATCTTGTTACCGTTGCCTCCAATGACCTGCAGCTCAGGGTATTTCTCCTTGATGTATTTGATCATGTTGATTTGGAAGATGGAATTCCCCTGAGAGGAATCCTGGGATTGAAAAGAGGAGGAATGAGGTTTAGAAGCTTGCTCTTCATCAGAGTAAACACCAGCGATCATAGAGAGATTTAACAGCTTTTGAGATTTCTAGACAAGACCCCCTCTGCACACACTCAAACGCAATCAGCTCCACAAAGAAAAGTCCAGATTCCACTAAAAAAGGCATCACCCCTACTGCATACTACTAAAACTCGCTTACCACCCCTAGGACTCACCAGCACAACAACGTCCACACCAGCTTGCACTAGTAAGTCGAGACGGTATTTGTCATCTTCATGGGTCCCAATGGCAGCCCCACAGAGCAGCTGCTTCTTGGCATCTTTTGACGCAAGCGGATAGTCCCGATTCTTCTTCAGGTCTGTGCGTGCAATTATGGCCACCAACTCCCCCTTCTCGTTCACGATGGGCAGTTTTCCTGGAATGCCAAAAGTTATCTCTGAGTTGCAATTTTAACTCTTCCCGAAGGTTTCACATCTGCTTTTGTTTTTCATTCTCTTTGATTTTTCAGCGGCAAAAATAACGATCAAAGTAAACTGGAGCAATAGATAAATACAAAACCTGAAGTCCACAAGCCCATTCATCAGTCTGCGTTGTCAGGCACCTATTCACAAAAGATTCAAATTGACCAAAATAGAGAGAAAGGAAAGGGAAAATGCTGCCCCTTATTGAGAATCCAAGCCGGAAGAGGTCATGACTTAAACAAGGCACTTGAACAAGTCCACTGTAGAATAAGGGTTTAAGCCTGGAAGCTGCAGCTTCTGTACAACTAACTACAGTGATGTTTTGATTTCCCCCCACAAGGGGCAAGACAAGTCTTTGAACCTTTGATCTTCTCCACTCAAAGCAAACTGGGCTTAGCTCAAGGTACTTGGAGACACCTCTGGGTCACATTATAAGCCTTTGCTCAAGACGCTGGTAAAATTCATGCCCTAGGAGTGGAAAGTAATTGTGCCATTACCATTGGCACATCAAATTATAAGGTTAAAATGTGGGATGAGCCTCATGTTCACTGATTTAGCATAGTATGCACAGAATACCACACATCTATTCCCACTGACCTTTCTTACTCCTCTGCAAGATTTCATTAGCTTCTTTTAACGTAACTCCTGCAGGTGCCACAACGAGGTCTTCCCGGTTGGTCATGATCTAGGGAAAACCAAAGAGCAAAGTAAAGACGCTGTCCTCTGCGCCTGGGCCAAATTGAGCCGTTCTGAGTAGCAGATGGGGTCTCAAGGAACGAAGAGAGCTGCAGGAGAGTCTCAAACAGCAGCAGAACTTTTATTTTGTTCCCAGTTAAAGGAGGGTCGACAGCATTTTGATCAGACTAGGCAAAAATTGCTAGAGGGAGAAGGGCAGTGGTACTTGAGAACATCACAGTGCAGGTCAGAAATATGATTTATTATTGTTTAAAGCATTCGTATGCCATGTAGTAACCGTGTTCTCTGGGCAGCTTAAAACAATAAAGCATTTAAATATGGTATCAACCAACCACCTAAAAGCAACATAACGTCAGTGGCAGCAAATAAAAATGTGTTGTTGTTTTTTACCGACCAGTTTACTGCTATGTTATTAAAGCTTGCCCTGGTATTATAGTAGCAGTGTGTTTTTATGCTGTGCCCGGCCTTGTTGTATTTTCCACGAAAGTGTGGTATATAAATATTTAAATAAAGTAAATCACACAATCCTCCAACTGTAGTCTGAAAACAACCCACAAACATTTGCAACCTCAGTGGCTCATGTACCCTATGTTTAAAGTATGAGCGGTTGAGCTATCTGCCATTAAGACTCAATAATTATTTTCTAGGCTTAATTGTATTTGTGATCCCACGGCAAATCCAGCTCTCAAACTACTTCCTATCAACTTCCACACATGACTCTTCCCGAGTAAGAAATCTGAGAAGAATGGCCTTAAAGTGTCTCACCCAGACAGGAGCAACAGAAAACAAAAGCTTCCAGCCTTGCTCAACATCTCTCCCCCTCCCTGAAGTTCACATCTCTCCAGAGCTCTTTTCAAAGCATGTCACTCGCAACTCCCACTTGAGGGTAATCAGAGATGATTTAAGGCCGCTATTGGGCAGCGTGCATACTGCTGGTTGTGTCAGCACAGCCTAAAGATAGCGCAGGAGAGCAGAACGGGCTCCAAGGCACTGCGGAACGTTGCACTGCTGAAATCCGATGCCCAGCTATACAGCAGTTACACTAATGCTAGCTCCAGAAGGCTTTCATTATGCAACGCGAGGGGAAATGAGCCAAGCGAACAGAAAAAGTTGCAAAAAAACCCAACCTGTGCTATGCTCTAGTGCTCCAAGACATTAAACATAATTCCTTTGGCCAGCGCAAAAATAAAAATAATGCTAGAGGTCCACACACTACCCCAGCACAAGTTCTAGTCCTGCTTGCTGATCCCAGAATAACCCCACTGACCTCGCTGAGAGGCAGGTCATGCTCTTCTTCCTTCAAAAAGTCGATGTCTCGGGATGAAATAATCCCCACGAGTCGGCTGCCCATCTTCCCATTATCTGTTATAGGGATGCCGCAGAACCCATGGCGGGCTTTCGCTTCGAAAACATCTCGCACGCGATCTTTGGGGCTCAGCACTACTGGGTCCGTGATAAATCCTTGTTCATATTTCTGGAGCAAGACACGAATTCAGAAGGAGAATTTTGAGCCGATACAAAATAGTTACATAAAGATATGCATTGGGGGAAGCAGACGTCTGCGGAGCCAGACAGGACTCTCCTGGGGAATGGCCATCAGTAACTGCAGCATTGTAGTGTGTGGCTTTCAAACATGGTTAGGGGCTCATCCAGACAGCTGCAAGTACAGAAATAAAGAATAAGACAGGTAGCCTGCTATGCCCAGTTCATCCGAATTACAGGGATCCAGGAGACCAAAGCATCTTGCCTGAATGTACTGAGGGCCTCAACAGCTACTATGCTTTAATGCCGAAACACCAGCCAGAACTTTCTGTATACCTCAAATGCAACAGGACCATCTTTTAAGAGTCCAGCAGCCAATATTCTTAGTGAACAAACAGCACGCATTTCAAAGCATGGCTACAAAGTGAACTCTGTTCCACATCAATCACCATGAACATCGGCACAGACGCAGCTATTAACTTAGTTAGAACCAAGGGGGGTGACGGGGACTTGTACACAAGAGGGGAGAGGGCACGTAATCATACAGCCATACGTTTGTGGTAAAGGCACAGGTGAGTAAACTATGTCTACAGCAGAATACCCACCTCACAAAGCAGTGCAGGGCAATAGCCAAACCTGTTATCAAACCCTTCTCCCCAGGGACGTTTATATACACAGAAGTTGGTTTTACCTTAACTTTCCGTACTTCGTTGGCCTGGAATTCTGGGGTACAATTATGATGAATGAATCCAATTCCACCTGTGAGCTGAGAAGATATAGAAAGAAGTTTAAGTTGGAACAGAAATAATACAGTGGTACAGTAGTACCTCGGGTTAAGAACTTAATTCATTCTGGAGGTCTGTTCTTAACCTGAAACTGTTCTTAACCTGAGGTACCACTTTAGCTAATGGGGCCTCCTGCTGCCGGTGCACGATTTCTCTTCTCATCCTGAGGTAAAGTTCTTAACCCGAGGTAATATTTCTGGGTTAGTGGAGTCTGTAACCTGAAGCATATGTAACCCGAGGTACCACTGTACCTTGGTTTAAGAACAGCTTAGTTTACGAACAAATTGGATTAAGAACGCTGCAAACCCGGAAGTAGGTGTTTTGGTTTCTGAACTTTGGCTTGGAAGCAGAACATATTCCGCTTCCTGCTGAGTGTGTTCCATTTGTAAACTGAGTCCCCCGCTGCTATGGGAAAGCACACCTTGGTTTAAGAACGGACTTCTGGAACGGATTAAGTTTGTAAACCAAGGTACCACTGTACTTCTTTGCTGCCTTTGACCAAGGGCAGAGAGAAGGTTAGCAGGAATGGCTCAGAAGCCAAACTGTTGTTGTTGTGCAGAATAAGGCTCTGCATTTAAAACAAAAACAAAACCCCCAGCTAAGAAATGATATACTAAGAATTTTAAATACTGTAGGGGAAAAGCATAAAAGCAGAATTGGAAGGGACTACTACTTTTCTGGCTAAAATTGAAAAAATTATTACAGACACGGCCATATGTTTTTAACAGTACAATGAACGGCCATATGTTTTTAACAGTACAATGCCATGCATGTTTAATAAGAATTAAGCCTTACTGTGTTGAACAGGCCTCACTCCTAAGCATGTGTGTTTAGGACTGCAGACAAAATGACCTGAGGAAAAATGTTCTTGATATCCCATAGGGATTTACCAAGATACCAAGAAGTATTTCACACACACACACACACACACACACACACCGCACTCTAAACTAAGGTAAGCTCTCTCTCCCTTCTGCCCTGGTTTCTTACCGCCATTGCAATGGCCATGCAGGCCTCTGTTACAGTGTCCATAGGGGAGGATACCAAGGGAGTCTTCAGGGTTATCTTCTTGGTCAGAGCAGAAGTCAGGTCCTTAAAATAAAGAGTTTGGCTGAAACAGCAGGCAGCTTTATTTGCGATCTTTTCAAGCACCATTGTCATCGTACCTTCACACACTTAGTGACCCATCAGAACTAGAACTGCAGAACTAAGACTGCAGATTCCAAAACGCTCAGTTAGTACTATAAAAAGAGACAAACAGAAAGGAATCTCCTACAGTGCAGAAAGCACTTGCTTCTTGACATTGATTTTATATATTATACAAACTTTAGTCTCATACTCACCACTTGGTCTGCAGTAAAGTCTATGTAGCCAGGGAGTATAAGGAAATCGCTGAATAGCAAAGGAAAGAAGAAAAAATGTTATTTTTGGAAGCCTAATACAGAACTTTTAACAAGTAAAAGGCTTTATAATGTAATTTGTGGTTCGCCGCAGCATGTTGCTGAGATAATGACCGTACCTGTGTGTGGGGATTTCAACTAAGTTCTATTCAGAGCAAACCCACTGAAATTAATGGAACTAACTTAGTCATGATCATTAGTTTCAGTGGGTCTACTATTGAGAAAAGTTCAGTTGAATACCACCCGGGGAACCTCCTGAAGTTCTGTGATTGGAACCCCCAACAAAATTTCCTCCTTTAAGAAACAGTGCCTACAAGGGGAAGATTTGGATCAGGAACGTGGCTCAGGTAAGAGAACGGGTTTTAAAAGTGTAGGAAACATTTGGGCCTCCCAATGTTGATGAACTACATCTCCCATCACCCAAGAACATTGACAATGCTTGCCAGGGCTGATGGGAGTTGTAGTTCAGCAACTGATCTGGAGAGCCAAAGGTCCTTTACCCCCAAGGCAATTCCTCAAATCTCTCCCAAGCTACTTTTAAATTTGTAGGAGAAAATATACAGTCACAATTTTAGTGTTCATATGGTTTCCCTTCCACATCTAACAGCACTCTTGGGAGGTTAAGGGATTTGAATCAGGGCTTTGGTGCGGAGGGGAAACATCAGACTGCCCATGCTCCTGTACCCCAACCTCACTGGCTTCATTTTTCAGAGGGAAATCAAGTAGAAAGTTCTAGTCATACAACTTCACATAATACACACCTCTGGGATGGCTATGAGTGGGCAGAGGTAAAGTGGTTTGATTGCACCAATTGCCTTCTGCTTACTGCTTCTCCCAACCAAGCCTATAACCTCGTTATTTACTGTTTGAGAGAGGGTCTTGTAGCTCAGCAAAATGTTTCTGATTCACTGCCAGGAACAGAATATTGGGTTGCCGTGATGGGCAAAATGTCTTACTAGAGACCCTGGAAGAGCTACTACCACAGAGAGTAAATAAAACTGAACCAGACAGACCAGAGGTCTGACAATGTAAGGCATGCAATGCAAAGATTCCCAAATCGAAAGAGGAATCTCCCACGAAAATTTGAATCTTTGGCATCTCCTGAGTTTTAGAAGTTAGATCAACCCCCACCACATGCATGCCCAGCTGTATTTAGCTTCCCCCACCCCCAGAAAGTCTCCAAGAAAGCAAAGTTGTGAAACTCCCGAGCAAAATGTTCTACAGGAAAGTTAGCTGATGTTTAACGAATGCCATGTCCCCAACTTGGAAACCTTCCAGGAGACCTGTGAAGACCTTCCTATTGCATTGACTACCTCTCTACCAGCAGCTATTAAGTCGTGGAAATCTAAAGGGAATTTCCACATACCAGGGGCATCATACAGGAGTGCTGCTGGCACCAGTTGCCAGAAGCAACTGAAAGAGGCAATGCTGTTGCCCTCATGCTTTGTTTGTAAGCCCCACAAAAGCTTACTGCTGTTGGAAACGGAATGCTGGATGAGATGGGACTCTTGGTCTGATCTGAAACATGATTCTTATGTCCCGATGTTGGTGGATCCGAGACACAGTTTAAAGGCATTGGTATATGTGTGAATTAGGTAAAGGTAAAGGGACCCCTGACCATGAGGTCTAGTCGTGGCTGACTCTGGGGTTGTGGCGCTCATCTCGCTTTATTGGCCGAGGGAGCTTCCGGGTCATGTGGCCAGCATGACTAAGCCGCTTCTGGCAAACCAGAGCAGCACACAGAAACGTCGTTTACCTTCCCGCTGGAGTGGTACCTATTTATCTACTTGCACTTTGACGTGCTTTCGAGCTGCTAGGCTGGCAGGAGCAAGGACCGAGCAACGGGAGCTCACCCCGTCGCGGGGATTCAAACCGCCGACCTTCTGATCAGCAAGTCCTAGTCTCTGTGGTTTAACCCACAGCGCCACCCACGTCCCATGTGTGTGCATTAGCTTGTACCATTTTATTTTTCCAGAAAGCAATTGACTTTCAGGAAATGGGAAGCGCCATAAGCTCAGTAGCAGAGCATCTGATTTGCACGCAGAAGGACTCTGGTTCAATCCGCAGCAAGGGCTGGGAGAGAGACCCTAGTTTGAAATGCTGAAGAAATGCTGCCAGTCAGTGTATACTGAGCTAGATGGACCAGTGGTCTGATTTGGTATCAGGCAGCTTCCTTATGATCCCTAGCTTTGGCGAAGGGCTGTAGGCTCAGTGGTAGAGCATCCGACTTGCATGCCAAATGTCCCAGATTCAATCCCTAGTGTCTCCCAAATTAGGGAAAGACTCCTAACTGAAACCAGGGAGAGCCACTGATAGTGTTGGCAATGCTGGCCTAGACAGTACAAGGCAGAACCACCCACTCGCAGCATTTCAGTCTTGCCAAAATTCAGAATGAATTTGTTTATCCTCGTCCTTTATAGCATACTTCACTGGGTAGAAGGTGACTGCTCATGTTCTTCCTTTTAAAAAAAAAAAGCTGCTTCTCCAACTGCAAAGTTTGTTTCCAAACAGAAATAATTTATTTATAGATTGCTGTTCTCTAAAAGGGGAGGGGTGAGGGGTTGTGGCTGCTAAAAAGAGGGTCAGCTTTCTCGTGCAGGAATTATTTCCAAGTAAGTTTCTCAGAGGGTTCATATTGCACGTCTAGTTAGGGAGGAACTCGTGAAGGCTGTGTGCAACCACAGATCATCTGGCATCACGTGAGTCTCCACATGGATAGGAAGAGACTAAGCGGTGGAAGAGACAGAAAAATGGAAATAAAAACCTCCTCTCGCCAAAAACTCACAGTATACAACTCTAACAAGATAGCAACTTTATACTGCCAATTCATGTTCTTAAGAGGTTGGATCAGGGGTACATTCTATGCTGCTCACGGCTTTCTTCTTATAGAAGGATTATGACTAAATACGCTCAGACTTGTCATATGGACCAGCAGGTGGTTTAGGAACATAAACTGATACACAAGTGTAATCAGAGAAACTGTTACATGATATTCTGGCTCCATGGTCTCTCGCAAGGGCTGGGATCATCTGCGCAGTTACTAGATAAAAAACACAAAAGGTCTTGCTGGGTGCGAGATTCAACAGACCCTGAGGAGGACTGACTATTCTGTGGAATTATGTCAAAGGTGAAGTTTAAGAAAAGCAAGGGCCAAGGAGGGGAGCAAGAGGAGAGATCCGCTAAGCAGAAAGGATTCCTCAAACATGAGCTTTCAGGGAACATCTTGCAATAGGAAGAGGGATACTTGACTACAGTTCTACTTATACAGTACTAGCCAACAGACACATTCCTCTCACCCAGTGAAGAACTGAGAAAGGTGATCTCACATAGAATCAAAGAACTGTGGAGTCGGAAGGTACCGTGAGGATCATCTAGCCCAACCCCCTGCAATGCAGGAATCCTTCATCCAACATGGGACTAGAACCCACAACCCTGAGACTGAGAATCTCATGGTCTACCGACTGTGCTATCTGCACTACAACGCAAAAAGGAATCTACCCCACGAGATTTTTCTGGAAGTTCTAGAGCAGGGGAGAAACAAGGTCTGCATGTTCAGGCCGAGGGTTTTGCCTCTCAGGACACACTCTCTCTCTCTCTGAAGTTGCAGGCCGAGAGTCTCTGCTTCTCCATAGGGAGCAATGGGCAGAAGGACATTTGCCCCTACTACTGGAACTAGCATCACCCTCGGCTTCAAAATAGACAAAAGTGTGGGGGTGGGGAGAGAGAGGAAGGGGGGGATCTCCTAGGGGCTCGGGTAAATCCTTTTTCAAAGACCCAGAGGAACCCCCTGGGGTGAAAGGTTAATTCGAGCATTCATGTTTAGGGAAGCTTTTAATGTTTGATGTATTACAGTATTTTTCTAGAAGCCGCCCAGAGTGGCTGGGGAAACCCAGCCAGATGGGTAGGGTATAAGTAATAAGTTATTTATTATTATTATTATTAATTATTATTATTATTATTTGAGCACCCCCAGCCCCACTTTCCTTGACCCCGTGCCAAAGCCATCATTATAACCTTCACTTTCCTCGGGTTATGATAGCATGCCGCGCGTGCAATACACACACACCCCAAATTCCGCGTGCGGGGTCCAAAGGGGCATCAAATGCCCCCCAGCATTGAAAGAAAAAAGAAGAACCTGTGGCAATTCCTCGAGGCGGATTTCCAGCGGGTGGAGACGTAGTAGCGCCGACCCCCCACCCCATTGCCACCCGCGCCCCACGGCCTTCCCAGGCGCCTCCTCACTTGTAGGTGAGCCCATCTCCGCAGTTGAGCATCTGCTGCGCCGTGAGCCCGTCGTCGGGCACGTAGCCGGTGCCGCCGCTGATCAGGTAATCGGCCATGGATGGATAAAGGCGCGCGCGGGCCGCGTGTGCTTCTTCCCTCGCGGCCTCAGAAGCAGAAAGCGCGCGCGAGGCTCTGCCTCTTCTGCCACGCGCCCTCGCCGACAAGAGAGTCAAGCGTCGGCGCCGCCGGGTACAAGAGCGCGGAGCTCGAGGAAACCCCGCCCCCCAGACGACGACGCGTCCTTGCGTCACGCCGCTCCGTCCGCGCAGCTTTTCTCTTCCTCCCCGCCCCCACCCTGCCTTGTGGGTGCGGGGGGGGGGAGCGGGCTACGGCGGCCGCGCGGGCTCATGCGCGGCAGGCTGGACGGGCTTCGCCTCCCTCCTTCCTCTTACCCCTCCCCCCTCCCCTCGCTTCTTGTCCCGAAGTAACGAGTTAAGAGCGGGAAAACAGAAGACGTTCCTTTCCCCACTCATTTTCCTCGATTCTATGAGGTCATTTGGGCAGAACAACAATTTTATTTAGTAGCCCCTTTTGTTCTTTTTTTTTTTAAGAGCCCTTCTTATTAGCTGCGCTGTGTGCAGAGAAGTGGACCGGCCCCCGCAACACGGTGTGGCAGTGCCGGATTTACGTATAAGCGAAACAAGCTATAGTTTAGGGCCCCCAAAAAATTTAAAGGGAAAAAATCGATGTACATTTCCAAAATATAAGATAAAAAATAAAATAAAACCTACATACAGCAACAGTGTTTTGTGTTATGTAGGCGCCTATGAAGCTAGCCTGCTCCCTAAAATATCACTAGTTAAATACTTATTAGGTCTATAAATTACCATATAGCATATATTCCACACACAAAAAGCGACAATTTGTTGTTGACAAAGGACAGCTGGACATATAAAGGGCCCTATTACCTTCAGTAGCTTAGGGGCTCATGAAAACTAAATCCAGCCCTGGTGTGCGGGTGCGTTTAGTGGTGGGGCACCGGCTTCTGATGAATGGTTAAATTCCTTATTAAAAAAAACACAACAACCACCCAAGGCGCGAGATTCTCCAAAAAAACTGCCATGGGGTGCCAACACGTCAAGCAAGCTGTGCTAACCTGCCTTGGCAGCAGAGCGCAGGCGCCAGTACTCAGCCACTAGCTGCCTCCTTCCCTTCAAACTGGGGAGGGGAGGTAGGGTATCCACTTCGCTTCGCCACTACCCCACCCCGACTTTGGTCCAGAAGCAACCTCAAGAAGTCTTGCAGTAATCCAATACTGTGAACAGCTTTGACGGGGTTGTTTTGATGGATGGCGGGGGGGGGGGGCGGGGGGAAGAGATTTAGTGGAAAACCTATTTGCAGCCGTTTATCGAGGTACTCCACACTTTCTTTAAACAACATCGACTGTGTCCCGTCCCCCCCCCGCAAAAAAGGCTGCTGGGAGGGAGAGGTAAGGAACCACCACGAGTGTTTTGTTGCTGTTGCTTGAGTGCAATAGCCCCGTATAGCCTACATGGCTCTCTTCCCATTTTGGCCTCGCATCTGCCCTTAAAGTAGGCTAGGCTAAGAGTGAGTGGTGCAAGGACACCCAGGGAGCTCCACTGCTGGGTGATGTGAAAACCCTGGTCTCACAGTTCTTCCTGGAACAGGCAAACCACTACTCTAGCCTCAGTTTTATTACTGAAAACCAAATTCATGGCCTGAGACGTGCTCAGAATTAAGGAACAAAGCATGTCCAAACACTGTTACATAATTATTTTGGCTCACCTTAGCATTCTTGAAAAAGCAAGCCGCTCACAAAAGCTTATACTCTTGTAAATTTGTTGCGTCATTCAAAATGCCACAACTCACTCATCCCCCCCCCCAAAAAAAACCACACACACTCTGGTCCAGAAAAGAACCTCAGAATCAAAACTTACCATATTGAAGCTGTAAGGAATTTTATTTTTCTCATGTGCTTCCACAAGCAGCTCACATTTCCTTTCATCATTAACCACTCTGAGGTGAGCTGAAAGATCATGGGCTTCATAGCCATGGATATTCTCTTCCTCCCACCCCATCCCTAGCTAGATACACCTGTGTATGAAACAGGTCTTCAGAGTTCTCAGATCTAGGTATCTGTGCTGCATTAAAATCTCCCCCAACTGCCTTCATTTGCTTGCATTTACACAATGTACTATATTCTATACCCCAATTGAATTGTAGAATTTGTTTATATCCAAGCTTGCCCACATAAATTATGTTGCTCAAATGTTCAGGGAATGTAATTAGGCAGCACTTAGAAATTACTTACCCCTTTTCTAAATTCAGGGACTAGAGGTGCTGTTGAAATAGCATGCATGACAAAAAGTGTGGTTTGAAAGCACATCAGTGTTAAGTAGATAGGTACCGCTGCGACGGGAAGGTAAATGGCGTTTCTGTGCGCTCTGGCACTCATCATGATGTCCCATTATGCCTGAGGTGGTTTAGTCATGCTGGCCACATGACCCAGAAGCTGTCTGCGGACAAACGCCAGCTCCCTTGGCCTGAAAAGCGAGAGAAGCACTGCAGCCCATAATCACCTTTGACTGGACTTAACCGTCCAGGGGTCCTTTACCTTTTATTTCATACATATGCATGAGGATGCTAGACATCTGTTTTGATCAAAGACAACCCCATGAGAACTACATTGACCCAGGAAAACACATCTGAGGGTCAGGTGTGAGAGCTGAGAGAGAAAAACCCTTTTCTGGGATTTGGGCTCTTGACCCTCCATGCAGGGCTATCTGTTATTCTTCAGGCTTCATGTACTGGCTATTTTTTCCAGGTCTAAAAAGTCACCCCCCCATTCCAAATTCTGCATTAAAGGAAGGAGGGGGCCAAGAAAACCTTTAACAGCTAGTAAAGCTGCCCTCTGCTGCAATCTACCTGCAACTGCAGCCTTGAATTTACACACTGTTCAGAAAATGTGGGGATTATAGTAGAGGATTAGAGACTTCAACTCGGTGGTGGGAAACCTCTGGCCCTCCTGAAATTGTTAGACAGTCCAGCCAGCATGGGCAATAGTCAGGGATAATAGCTGTAGTTCAACAGCAGTGGACCTAAATTTCCCCAGACCTGCCTTAACCCCAAGCCCAATCTTTATATTACACTTTGCCACAGTCTCTGCTAAGGTTTAACGCCAATTTGGATAAACGAGATCTGAGTTGTGCCCAATGATATTTATCCTATGTGCCAAGCTTTATCCCCAGCACAAAATTTGATTTTGGTAGTTAATACAGGAATCTGTGGTTATCTGAAAAATACATAGGAGCTACTGAAAGTGAACCCACATGCAAACATAAAATGGAACTAGGGAGTGGGTCACAGGATTCTGTGCTCCCAGCTTTCTTCCCCTTTCCAAGTTCAGCATTACATGCAACTGTTGTCAAGGAAGACAACAAAGTGGAGCTCCTGAATGCAGTTAATCCAACCCTGGATTAAAATATGATTTGCAGTGGTTATACATAACGCCAAATTCAGATAGAAAGGGGTGCAATGGGAATGGGCCATAGAAGCGTGTAGCAAAATAGCAAAAGCAATTCAATGCAAACAAAGCGTGATGTGATGCACACCAGGTGCGTGTGTGTGTGTGTGTGTGTGTGTGTGTGTGTCTAAATTTCACATACACTCATGGGTCTGAACAATTTAATAATTTTTAAAAAATGAATGAAGATGTTGACTCATTATGCTGCAGCGGTTGAAAAGGGTGGATTCCATACCAGTTATCATTTGGAAATTAAACGAAAATAAAACTGCTTATATCATGACATTATACAAATCTGTGGTGAAACTGCTTGGAATACTGTGTACAGGTCACCTTACATCAGAAAGTATACCGTAGAGCTGGAAAAGTTTAAGAAAGGGCTAACCAAAATGCTTTAGGCGCTATGGCAATTCCCCTATGAGGAAAGATCACATTGAGGCTTTTTAGTTTAGAGAAAAATGAGCAGGAGACGTAATAGAAGCATGTAACATTATGCATAGGGACACGGGTGGCGTTGTGGGTTAAACCACAGAGCCTAGGACTCGCTGATCAGAAGGTCAGTGGTTCGAATCCCCGCGACGGGGTGAGCTCCCATTGCTCGGTCCCTGCTCCTGCCAACCTAGCAGTTTGAAAGCACATCAGAGTGCAAGTAGATAAATAGGTACCGCTCCGGTGGAAAGGTAAACGACGTTTCTGTGTGCTGCTCTGGTTCGCCAGAAGCGGCTTAGTCATGCTGGCCACATGACCCGGAAGCTGTCTGCGGACAAACGCCGGCTCCCTTGGCCAATAAAGCGAGATGAGCGCAGCAACCCCAGAGTTGGTCACGACTGGACCTAATGGTCAGGGGCCCCTTTACCTTTACCTAACATTATGCATGGTGTAGAGAAAGTGTAGAGAAAGGAGTGTTTCTACCTCTCTCATGATACTAGAAGTTGGGGATATCCAATGAAGCTGAATGCTGGAAGATTCAGGAAAGAATGTCACACATCACAGAGTTCAACTATGGACATCACTCCCACGAAATGTAGTGTGGCCACCAACCTGGATGGCTTTAAAAGAGGTTTAGAGAAATTAATGGAGGATCAGGCTATCAACAGCTCCTCGTCATGATTGCTGTGTGCTACTACCTCCAGTCTCAGGGGCAGCATGTCTTTGAACACAACTGCTGGAGCAACATGAGTGGCGAAAGTACTCATGTTCAGCGGCAGACTTCCAAAAGGCATCTGTTAGGCCACTGTGGGAGCCGGATGCTGGGCCTTCATTCTGATCCAGCAGGACTCTTCAGGTTACAAACACTTCGAGTTACTAAACCCAGTAGTAGTACCTTGGGTTGAGAACTTTGCCCCAGGGCGAGAACGGAAATCACATGCCCGTGGTGCGGTGGCAGAAGGCACCATTAGCGAAAGCACGCCTCAGGTTAAGAACGGTTTCGGGTTGAGAACAGACCTCCGGAACGAATTAAGTTCGTAACCGGAGGTACCACTGTACTAATATTCTGTGGACACCTTTACATTTGTTCCCCCCAAATAAACACACATTGTTCAATGGCATGTTGAAAAGACGTGCTCGTCATTCTTAATAAACAACTAGCATAAGAATACATTAAGAGAAACAGGGTGGTATCTTTATATGATACACAAGTGTATGTTACAAGAATTCCATCAGGCACAGGAGCCTCAAGGTTTTAAGGCCTCAACATCAGGCCAAGAAAGAAAGAAAGAAAAAGCAAGAGAGAGAGAGAGAGAGAGAGAGAGAGAGAGAGAGAGAGAGAGAAGTGTGGTAGTTTGTACTTAACATCTAAAAATGTCACTTTTAAGTTCTTAATAGAAATTGTTTTGCTTTTTCCTTATAAATCATAATTGCAGGTCACTCTCCTCTCCCCTCCAGAACATGTCAGTTTCTGAGCACAAGGAAACTGCAAACTGCCTCTCTTGGCCAATATCTACCATTTCCCGCTCTTTCCAAGTGCATGAGCTCCAAAGCAATGGCCCAGCTAGGCCAAGTCCCTCAATTAGATTTGTTTCATTTTCTTCACATCATAAAAAATCCCAAAGTCAATCTACAGCACCTCACAGCTCCCAGAGAAAGAACGCAGCCCCCAATGCGTCCAGAAGGCTGATGCAGTTGGGTCAGATACACAATGGGGAGGGTCTCCTTTAAACAGAAGAAGCCTAAAAGGGCTTCATAACTACACCAATTTAAAAAAAAACCGGAAAAAAAAACCTTAGGCATCTCCTTTAGTGTAAAAGGCTGTACAATTGATCCTGGCCTTATGGCCTGGCCTTCCCTCCCACCCTGTCCTACCCTCACCCTTTTTCTGAGTTGGGAGGGATGCCTTAGTGCATGGTGCTGGCATTCGCCACAGCAATAGCTGCCTGAATCTCTCGTATCACCAGAATCCGGGTGAGCATCTGCTCCATCTGCTCTCGACTGATTGGCTGGATGGAATACCAGATAGGGCTGTTGGGAGCCACCACTGGTTCAGGAGTCAAATAGAATGTATCGTTCCGGCCTTTCACGCTCTGGGGGCTGAGAAGACAGAGAATATCGTTAAGCAATTACTTTGACAGCATACACTTGAAACAGCTATGAACACTATCTTACAAACATCTACGTTTTTTCTGAACCGCCAAAGGTTCCACATGTAACACAATACAAAAAGTGACGTCCTGATCATTTCAACCTCCATTTTACAACAGCTGAAGCTGGCTGTGGCATTGAAGACTAAAACTGGAGAGTTAGGACAGGCCTTCCCATGAGGTTTTCTGCTCTAGCACCTGTCTCCCCTCTTATGTCTGCCCCCCCGCACTACATCTGCAACCCTAGCCTTTGGTAATACATTTCAAGGTATTCGAAAAAGGGTGAATTGTGAGTGCACAGGAATTCAGGTTGTATCTGAAATGCCCAATTTGTACAGTGCATTCTTTACATTCTACACCACAGACTTCTCACACTAACTTGGGGATTTCACCGGGCTTTGGAAATGAAGAGCAAGCCCCAAAATGTTTTTCAAGACTAGAAACTGCCAGTCACTAATCAACATGTTGGGCACCTTTTTCCACAGTGCCACACCAATATACCTCCATCTATTTTATAGACCTCTGCCAGGGACATCAAGTTCCAGTTTACTCAATACAAAGTGTTTGCCCACTTCAAACACACTACGTTATATACCCAAACTCTTTCCAGTAAAACACAGTGTCAAGGGTTATGCAATGCCCAGCATTTAAAATAAAATAAAATAAGCTACACTACAAGCCTCTCAATATGCATGCCATTAAGTTTGCATTTTTGACAATTCAAGTAGGAAGCATAAGGTAGTCTTCTTTATACAAGGTCATCACTCCAATAAATTAATAGGTAAGTTTGATTAAAACAGTAGAAAGTACACACAAACCCTGAACATCCAGATAGTTATCCTTCTGTGGCTCTGGATGTCAGGAACACTTACCATTTGAAGAGGTAGAAGTCATACAGCTTTATAGGACACCTCAAGGGATTCTCTGGGTTCTCTGTCTGCTCTGCATACATGTCATCAGTAACTGCAAGTCAATCCCAACAATACAGAACATCAGAAACCTCGAAGTTGATGAACCTAAGTAATCCCACAATTTGAAAAGATGGGACACAGCAACACAATGGCTTTCTTGCTGCAGATAGACAACTATTATGCTACCATTAAGCAAAGTACACATCCACTGCTACCTGTGCTTTTTTGTAGTTCTGTTTACATCCAAACATAAATATCTCAGTGTGTTGTCTAGTTTTTAGCAAGGAGGTAGGAGTCCTACTTATCAAAAAGCATTCCAGGAACAGTTTGGTGGTCAAAGTTTCACCTTCTTTGCAGTAGGATCCATGGCAGTATCATTCATGTAAAGGTTTTCCAGCTGGACTAAAAGGTCCCAGTCTTCAGTTTAAACCTATCTTTAGCTGTTTTATGTACTGTTTTAAAACTATTTATAGCTGTTTTATGGTATGTTTCTAAACTGCCTTGAGACAAGTGTAAAAGGTAATAAATAAATAAGAAGGAAAAGCAACTGGGGCTTCATAGAGAATCTCTGAATAGATATAAATGCACAGTAACAGAACTGTGCCCCCAAGAGCAGTCCAACATAAGTTCAGGGGAATATAAAGCAAGGAAGCAAGTACCACTACAGTGTCATCTCAGAAGCTTGGCATGCCTAAAGCTTTTAGATGCTGTTTTGATACATTTGGGACGCGGGTGGCACTGTGGTCTAAACCACTGAGCCTCTTGGGCTTGCCAATCGGAAGATCGGCGGTTCAAATCCCCGCGACAGGGTGAGATCCCGTTGCTCGGTCCCACCTCCTGCCAACCTAGCAGTTCGAAAGCACGTCAAAGTGCAAGTAGATAAATAGGTGGGAAGGTAAACGGCGTTTCCGTGTGCTGCTCTGGTTTGCCAGAAGCGGCTTAGTCATGCTGGCCACATGACCCAGAAAAACTCTGCAGACAAATGTCGGCTCCCTCGGCTAGTAAAGCGAGATGAGCACCGCAACCCCAGAATCGTTCGCGACTGAACTTAACTGCTGGGGTCCTTTACCTTTTTTTTTTTTGATACATTTAATTAATATTCCATTTTCCAACCACAAACAACTAGCTTTGATATAACCCAATTAATAACAGTAAGCTACACACATGCACTCATTTCAGTAAATGCCAGGGTAAGGCAGCAAAGGACCTTCAATAAAATGTATGAATGCAAAGAAATATTTTTGTTTGCAGAAAGTAAGAGAAAAGCATCATTACCAAAAGAAAAAAATCCCCACTGTGTGCTACAGTTGATCTTCAGGGATGATGGCATCTGCAACAGGACTTGCATCTGCAGATCAAATACCTGTGATATCTCATAATAAAGTTCCATGATATAGTAAGTCCCAGTCCCAGAAGGTGGCTTTGTAATCAATCACCATCAGCACCAGAAATTGTCTAGCCATACTCACCACCCAGGCTTACTGGGCTGCAAATTTAATTATGAATCCCATTTGTCTTCCTTTAAACCTGTGGTTCCCTCTCGAGAGCGAGAGAGAGAGAGAGAGCTGCAAAGCAAATATGATCAGCTACTTAAAGCACAGATTTATTTTTCCATGTTAAGTTCTACCTTTCTGGCCTGCCTGGTGTATGCCAAGTGCCTTCAGGTACCGGATGCTCGTACTCTTATCCTTGGGATTGGAAGGGTTCTTCTTGGTCTGCCTCAAAACCTTTGAAAAGGCCAACTTCATATGCTGGTCTACTGTTTTCAACAGGAAGTATCTGAACATCAAGTGGAAAAGGTGGAGGGCACAGATCAGTTAAAGATGCACAATAAATCTTAACTTTTCCAACACTGGCAGAAAAACCTTTTTTCCTATCAGGAACAAAACAAGGCTCTTAATAGCCAACATTTGATGGAGTGTAAGGTTTTTAAAACGTGCATTTATTTCAACAGACATATACAGTTCAATAGACAGCTCATTTGGCATGTTTTATAAGCAATAGTGAAGGATACAGCTAGCAATGGCTATTAGTCTCAATAGCTAAATAGGATCTCTGTATTTTGGAACAGTATAACCCAAATAACAGGAAGCAGTCACAGGACGGAGCACCAACATCATACTTCTGTGAACTCCCAAAAACACTGGGCTGGTCACTCTGGAAACAGAATGCTAGACTGATTGCTGTCATGCATTCAAAGACTGATTATACTTACACACATAAACACATGTACGTGTGTGCGAGAGAGTGATAGAGAAACTTAGAACGACCACGTAAAGAAGTCAGAACTATGACCATATTGCACACTGGGGAAGACTGAATTTTCCGATGGCCACCTAGTAAGTTCACTGAAGAAGGAAGACTGGAGACCTGCTGGTTCACTGGTTCATTTTGTAGTTAACTATGCCAAACTAGCTCTGATAGCTCATACCAAAATGCATCTAAGTAATTCTTCATTGGTAGTTTGTGCTCACATGTGCACATTAATTCACAGTTCACTAAAGAATAGGCTTCCACGAAGGAGGCATCTTTATTAGTACTTACTTTGTGTTAAAAAACATGAGCGTCGTCAGCAAGGTGGCAGGAGAGTGAGCTCCAAGCTGCTTACACTCCCACAGCATCTCTTCTGTCACATGGTTAGGAAGAACATAGCCTGTGAAGACCAGAAGATAATTTCAACAGATGTATGGAAACCAAGCAGCATCTCCAATCAATTACCCCAAAGTTCCTATTAAGAGAGAAAACTAATTTACAAAGCTTTGACTAGCGACAGCAGCTCCTACACATAGCATACATTTCAGTTAATGACATCAAGTCTAACTAGCTGGTTTGATGTTTCTAACAAATAGTTTGTAAGTACAGCTTATTTGGATACAACTCAGAATAGTCCCAGTGACACTGATGGACCTAAGTTAACCATGTTAATTACTTTTAGTGTGCCCGAGAAGATTGTTTGACCTTATGTAGCTCTGTATCATTATACACTCAAAAATACTTCATGCTATCTTGTTGCAACTACTATGCAAGCCTACCATTCCACAAAGATAAAGGCAGAGACATTGGCTTGTCTAACTTATGATGCCCTAAACATTCTAGAACCAGTTCTCACAGGGAATGCCACCTCCTCAAAAAATCAACAACTTCAAGTTCCATCTCACCAGAACAGGCTTTACGAGCAGAAGACCTTTCTCAATTAGCACCCCAAAGCTTTGGGACACTTCCAAGAGTGATTCATTTGTGCTCCCACTCTCTCGTGACATTCTGGAAACAGATGAGGACTATTCTGTTCTGCTTCTGAATGATAGCCTTACCATACATTTTCATTGTTTCAAGCTCTGTTATAAAATTCCACCATATGGGCATCAGATCAGTAGAGAGTTTGGGCAGATGTAAGAAGCAAACCAGATGGCTGGGATGAGCCCGGCAAAAACTACAGTGAAGGCTGCACCATGTGTGCCCACATGTGGTTCCATCCATATTGAATAATGCAAGCCTGCATTTTGTACTTCAGACAATATATTGGAAAGTGACAATATGGGTCCAGCTATACGGCGATACCCGTACTTCTCTGCAGAAAAGCAAGGACAATTTGGGGCCTAGAAGTCTAGGACAAAAAGCAATTATTTGAATTTATTGCAGATTCTTCCTAGGTCAATTAAGGGAGCATTCCTCTTCAAATGTTCTCTGAGGATCGTGGTGTCTAGACAGTGGTTACCATGCCTATCTGTGGACTGAAGAGTCTCTTACCAAGAGGAGTGACCCGAGGCTGCACCTCCTTGAGCACTTCATGTAACCACTCAGTGAACCGTATGTAATATAGATCAGAAAAAATGTCATCGACTCGCCCGTTTTCAAATAGATACTGCAAGAAACAGTTACACAGAGGTCAGGCAAACCTGCTCCTCATAGAATTTTTTTAAATAAAAAAACAATCAGTTAGTTAGACTGTGTGTTTGAAGTGCACATGTGAAACATGAGGATTAGAAATTCTTCACCCCCCCTGCTGACAATAGAGATTAGGAATCACCTAACAAACTCAACATTAACTCTCCAGCTACAGTTTTACTTATTATGCCTTCCTATGTAAATCCCATAGTGCACAACAAACACATTTATTCAAAGAGCCTGAAAGGCTAGGCCATGAAGCACCTGAAACTCAGATTAATGCTTTGTAAATAGTAATCCCATTAGAGTGATACTGGGCTAATTTCCAGAATTTGCAGCTACTAATAGTTTGTTTCTATGCATAATGATTATTAGAGTATGTTTAGTTATGTGCCACTCTAAAGATCAGAACAGCATCCAGTCAAGAGTTCTCAAGCGAAAGAGAAAACCAAGGATCTCAGGAGTGGAAGCCAATGTCTGCCTCTCTCACTCTAGTCTGGCACAAGAATCCTCCTAGTGACAACATATGCCCAGCATACCACTTTTAACATTGTTTGCAGCAAGGGCTTCCAAAATACCATACCTTTTGAATACACAGGAAGATATAGTACAGAACCTCTGGATCATAGGGTTCACCTTCACTGTTGCGAGCTTCACGAGTCATTAAGCACAGCCCATAATTCAACTCTGCTACAGCAGAGGATATGAGATCTTCCTGGAATCTCAACAGCTGGCGTCCTGCAAACCATGGCACAGAAGGTTACTAACTGGCATTTCTCAACAGAGATGTCTTTTTGTAGACTCAGTCATGCTTTCCCGCTGCAACCTTCCCAATAAGCCTATACTGTCACTTGCAAATATTTCTCCTTGTCCCCAGCATATACAAAGGTACCCCAAAATTTGCTTGAAATGGAGACTGAATGGATTTCAAACACACGACTTGCCACTCAGACAGTAAATTGACAATTCACAAACGGTTGAATATTCCTCAATAACAATGGGAAGGAGTCTGAGGTCAGAATACCAAGAGACAATTCAAAGCATGACTGACATTAGTATCCTTTTAAATCCATATTGCTGTGTCAATGAAAAAAATCCTGGGTGCCACAAACATTGCATATAAGCTTAACTGTTTTTAAAGTTAACAAGGCTTTTGTATTTTTATTTTAAACTTAAAACCTAACATACATAATGAAAGTTTGCCTTGCTTTCTAAACACACCAAAACAGATTCAAGAATGCAGCTAAGAATGAAATCAGCAAGAAGAGCAGAGACTCCATCACTTAGCAGAAAAGTTATTAGAGAATGAGCTGAGCTGCCTGAAAGGAAAAGTTAAGCCCTGATCATTAGCAAGAACTCTAGAAGCTGTTGATTATAGTGGCCTATACACACTCACTGTATATGATAACCCACCCAAAGCCCTTTTAATTCAGCAGCCTATAACACTCTAACTAATCTTTACAAAGCAAAATATTCCTATTGTTTGAAAGATGGAGCAGTACTTCCCTGCTCACAACACTTACTGCCAATAGGTGCAAGCCTGTTCTGAGCCTCCTTCTCCAGCTCTGCATTTTTAGTCTGTGCCCAGCTCTTCCACACTTCTAGTCCCTCTTCTGGCTTGAGAGAGTGTGGAAGGAGAAGTTCAGGTGAAGGCTGAGGCTGTGGTTGCTGCTCAACTTCAGCAACCTGAACAGTTTGAGCCTGTGGAAAAAAGTCAATTCTGATCACATAGGTATGAAAAGCTTTTGCTTACCAGTACTGTAGCATCTTCCTCCAGCCTGCAGAGCTACTCACCTGACTTCAGTTCATTAGAAGAACTGTACTATATTTGACTTACACCCTGGCAGTTTTAATTGAACGGTCCTCCAGGTGGCTTATAAAATATTTCAATAAAGAGAAGTAAAGATAATAAAAATGGTAATCTTCATAGGAGGTGGGTTCAGGCTGTTTGCTCTTCATTTAATTCTAATGCTCAGAAACCCCTGATATTTCACTACAAATATTGATCACTCTCAATTCCATGTATTTAGCTTGCTACCTCATGACCACTGTGAACACGTCTTACAAAGTCAAAATGCAGAATCAAAACCCTGTGTAACATAGTGGCTACTGCGTTTTTAGTTTGTTGCAACTACAGAGGTCTAGTTCAGAGAAGATAATCTGCACGCCCCCCCCCCAAAAAAAGACCATGGTTTGTTGTCAAGTTCAAGCATTCCTTCCTCTTCTAATGAGGCCAGTTGCAAAGCAGACTGCTAATTTCTTAAAACCAGTTTTCCATAAAGTTACTTCAATTCTGGTTTGTGGGTTGCTGTCAAACCAGTTTCCTAGTTCAGACATTACTGTAAACTGATTTACGAAACCGTCTTTGCAGCTGGGTACAAGGAGAAGATGTCAACAAATGTTGAATAATTAAGAGATAAAACAGAGTGAACAGATTGCCCTCTGCTGGGGGAAAGCTGAATGCTAATCATTTTAGAAAATACATCTGCTAGCAAACACAGAATCTGAAGGTCACAGCATCATCAGTTTGCCCACAGTTCTAAGTGCAATATTTCCATTAGAATAGATTTTTGTACAAGGCGGCCCTGTGCCTAAGAGTAGCATACTATAAAGGTGCCCTGCTAAACTGAGATTTTGTATCTTAGTGCTGGCCAGGCAATTATTCAAGTTTTCAGTTACAATCCTTTTGACAAAACAAGACAATAGTAATAAAACAACAGATAAGGCTACCTACCTACCTGGATGTAGACTACGATCAGAACAAAACAATCAGACCTTGTGGGGGGCCAGACTATATTTTTTTTGGGGGGGGATGATGCAAGAATACCATGAGCCCTGGTGGCTGCTTACCTATGTCTTGCAAGTGGGAGGGGCTGGTGGCGGCAGTGGAGGGACGATGAGCGGTGCGTGAAAGGGCTCCAGAGAGGGGCTGCTTAAAATGGCAGCCGCTTGAGCGCTGCTAATGCTGGCACCAACAAAGCCCAGCCCCCTTCCTCCTCTAGGCAGGGCGGAGAAGCCAGGAGGAGGGAGGGAGGGAGGGAGGGAGGAAGGAGGCACCGCCACTTCCGTCTGAGGGGGAGGGAAAGAGTGCGAGCACTGGTGATCCATACGGCGATTCCTGGACCGTCCGCAGGCCGGATCCAGAAGGCAACTGGGCCTGATCCAGCGCGCGGACTTTAGTTTGCTGACCCATGTTTTAATACTTGACCCCCTTCCATATTTGACATGCCTAACAGTGAGAGGGTGAGAAAGCATAAACATTTAGAAGTTTGAATAGCTTAACTGAAACCTATACATGACTGATAGCAGTGCCCTGCTCCCAATTTCCTATCATCCTTCTCTTCTACTTTTTCCTTCCCCTCTTATCATATCCCACATTTAACATACAATTCATTCATTTTAAATGGTGCACTTTCAGTTCAAGAGGAATTGAGCTAGTATTCTGACATTATGATAAAAGCCTCTAAAGCAGGTGTGGCTAACCAGTGGCCCACCAGATATTATTGAGAATACTTCCATCATTCCTGACCCTCAGTCACAATGGCTGGGGGCAGTGAGAATTGTTATCTGAGCTGGGACACAGGTTAGCTCTAAATTGTGATCAATATACGAGTTCTTATAGTAAGAATACCCCAGCAGATTAAAAAAACAAAATAAGAAGCCCATTCCACATTGAGCCTCTGGATCAGCAAATTCTGCCTACAAGAAGAATGCTGAGTCACAATAGCTCCACGGCCAATCTCTGGGCTTAATTTGAGCAGGCTGAAGTATTGGCAATTTTGAAAAAAGGACTGGCTATCAATAGAAGATAAGGGCAGTAGCTGCCACATGATTACGCCAAACTCTGCCTCGATTCTGTGCCTTCCTCTACCCTAACAGTCATTTTGTGACTGATGATTCTCAGTAATTTTCTGCCCTCTCAAGTAAGCACTGAGGGTAGTAAGTTTGAGAACTCCTGCTCTATTTTAAACTACTCAGGTTAAAAGTAACAGCAGCCAAGGAATCTCCTGAGTTTTTATTATCTCAAAGACCCAACTCTAAAAGTTGTGATCAGAATAATTTCCCTAGAAAGATACACTTGCACCTCTAAACAATAATAGCTTTTAATTTCTATTGCCTTTCTTCACCATGCCTTCTTATTCTTCCTGGCTTTTTTCTTCTTGCTTATCCTTTTGTTAGTCTCAAGAGCCATTCTGTTTTAGCTCCCCATTTACTGAATACAGTGGTACCTCGGGTTAAGTACTTAATTCGTTCCGGAGGTCCATTCTTAACCTGAAACTGTTCTTAACCCGAAGCACCACTTTAGCACATGGGGCCTCCTGCTGCCGCCATGCCGCCAGAGCACAATTTCTGTTCTCATCCTGAAGCAAAGTTCTTAACCCGAGGTACTATTTCTGGGTTAGCGGAGTCTGTAACCTGAAGGCTATGTAACCTGAAGCGTATGTAACCCGAGGTACCACTGTATATAGCTGGTACTTTACCAAGCAATGTTGAGGCTTAATAAAAGTTACTGTTGTGTAAGATCAATTCTCTAATGTGAAAATTGTTCCAGTGGGGTAGATGGCACACAGAAAGTAGTCTTATTGAAGACTAAAGAAATGCAAGAAACAACATGGGAGTTGAGAAAATTTGGCGATGCTACTGGACCCAACAAGGATTGGCCTCAGTAAGTCTAGAACAAAAAACTTGCAATCTTCTACATGCTCTAAGACAACATCAAAACCTTCCTAAAATCCCATGGGCTAATATCAGAATAGCTGTGGGAATCCAACACTCGCACGTCAGGCTGCAAGGTATGTTAGAGAACCACAAACATGTTACATTTTGCTTCCTAGCAAAATTTTGGCACAATAAATAGAGAATAGAGAAATCCAGTTAAGTTTATATTTCACTGGAAGTACTCAAGAGCTTAGAATAAAAAAATTCTACATGTAATTTCTTAACTGCATTTGAAAATTTTGAACCAGTGGTAATCACTCCTAACATTAACTCATAGTGGAATATTTCTGTCAAAGTGTATTCCGTTATAATGGCAACTGTAGCCACACCCTTTGTTTTAACCACACCACATATTGCTGTATGGACAACTGAATTATGAAGCGAGTTTAGAATGAGTACAGCATGGGGTGAGGCGTATTTTCAAAGGCCAAGTCACCATGTATTTACTAAAGAACCTGTTCTTACTTCAACCAAAACACCACAACCCTGCAAATTCACATATATGAACCTCACTAACACATACAAAGGAGGGATTGCAGTTCCAACAGGGATATGCTTTGTATATAGCCCCAGGTACAATCCATGATGCGGGATGTGGGTGGCGCTGTGGGTTAAACCACAGAGCCTAGGGCTTGCCGATCAGAAGGTCGGCGGTTCGAATCACTGGGACGGGGTGAGCTCCTGTTGCTTGGTCCCTGCTCCTGCCAACCCAGCAGTTCGAAAGCACATCAAAATGCAAGTAGATAAATAGGTACCACTCCGGCGGGAAGGTAAACGGCGTTTCCGTGCGCTGCTCTGGTTCGCCAGAAGCGGCTTAGTCATGCTGGCCACATGACCCGGAAGCTGTACATCGGCTCCCTCAGCAATAAAGCAAGATGAGCGCCGCAACCCCAGAGTTGTCCGCGACTGGACCTAATGGTCAGGGGCCCCTTTACCTTTACAATCCATGACAGATTTCAGACAAGAAGGACTCTCTCAGTAACGGCACCCGACTCTAGAGTTAGTGTTTTGCAAATCACTGATGTGATTTAGTCTCAACACAACCCATTATAATGGCAGCTAATAAAGCTTAATGATTAGCCCAACAGAAGATTTAGCATAAATATTAAGAGATCGGAAAGGCGAGAATGCTTGCCTTATGTACACCATTAGAATTATGAAATACTTAAATGCAGGGGAGGAAGAAGTACAACACTGTCCTCCTGCATCCTAGTGGAATATTAACCCCTACCCCATTCTGCCATTCCCAGAATAAGAACAAAAAATGTTTCATTCACCCTGAACAGTAATAGATGTCCAGTCCCAGTCCAGAGTTTCAAATCTGGGAATCAGTGAAATTTATACTAATTCAGCATTTCTGACAGTTAGCACCCTGAGGAAGGACCATTTATCTTTTGCAATTTACAGAGTTTGGTCCAGCAGTCTTGAATGCTTTTTTAAAAAAACACCCTCGGGTTGTTGTTTTTGCAGAAAACCATTTGCAGAAACACAAGTATATTACATAGTCCTCAAAAGGGGGAAGAGGAGCATATAGGCATTACATTTCAAAACGTGCAGATAAGTTTCTGCACAGTTCTTTACAGCTTGAAAGAGCAGAATATCTGTGCCCCATGCTGCTACCTGAACCCCTAATGCTGAAAATCCTCATCGTATGCCCACCTCTCAATACAAAATTCTGGAAGGACATCCAGCTGCATGCAAGCTGAGTAACTTTACATAAAAACAAGGTACATATTACTCTGAGTAAAGTTTTGCTGTCTTTGCACACTGCAGACAGTTCTGCCCTTGGGCTAAGCCACTGCTCTCTACATTTGGAACACTCCACAGTGCAGACAGGTTGTTCATTAAAGTAGTTTACTTACAGAGCAAGTAACTTGCAGCTGCTGGTGTTGCTGCTGCTGCTGCCCCTGCTCTTGCGGTGTGGACTGCTGCTGCTGTGGGTCCCATATATGGACCGTCTGGGCTGTATTCTGATATGTCCCTGCCACTGCTTGCACTGCCACTGGAATGTGGATATTGCCATTCATAAACTGTGCTGGGAAAAGGGAGTTGGCAAGGGTTTGCACCACTTCCTCATGAGAGTTTTTCACTACTGATGCACCTCCCACCATCTTATCCTTGTCATCTTCCAGCTTCACAGTGGCTAGGGCCGTCGGGGAGCCACTGACATGGACGGCATTGTAGGCCTCCTGGGGGATGGCAATGTGGGTTATGTTTTGCTGCTGCAGGTCGCCACGTGGTTGCGCAGAGTAAACAGGGATGGTCCAAGTCTCTCCAGTAGGGCTGGTTATGGTCCCAGTGGCACTGTACAGGTGGGCACTATCCACCGTTAACAAGTCCGGCCTTAACGATACATAACTCTGCTGCTGGCCTTGGGGGATGGCCAGGACTGTGGCAACCGGCTGCCCTGAAATAGCATATGACACAGTAATAGGCATATCCACTTTGCGCTTCTTTACTGGCTGGAGGACACTGGCGGTGCTGATCCTTCGCTCGCCTTCGCGTGGTGAGCCCTGTTGAGATGGAGGAGGGGAAAGCGCCCCAACTGTCTGGATCTGGATCTGCTGGCCCCCAGCAATAGCCTGTCCTGCCACAAGCTGTGCCTGGATTTGCTGATGCTGCATATGTTCCTCCTGTATTTCGGCACCCTGGATTTGCTGAGCAGTCTGCACATGCTGCACCTGGATCTGAGCTGCCTGCAACTGAGAAGGGCTAGGACTCTGAAGCGCTTGACCCTGTATCGTCTGAGGTGCCGGCTGTTGCGCCTGACCTTGGATCTGCACTTGGACCTGTATGGGCTGATCTGAGGCTTGATGAACAGTGAGCTGGGGAGAAAGCTGCTGAGTGGAGACTTGCTGAGGGGATTGCTGAACCTGAACTTGCACCTGTAAAACAAGGATTCAAAAGTTAGCATTCGTTAACTCCAAAACCTCTGATCTACTGACTTTTGTGATTAGGCCAAGGAGAAAGTATAATATAAATGAACTGTCAGTTGGGTATCAGAATGCGGCCATACATAAAAAGTAGTCATTTCTGTACACTTGGGGACCACCCAATATTTCAAATTAATTTGTAAATTAAGGCAAGAGAGAAAAACTGACAATATCCCAGTGAAGAATGAGCACTCTTAGCGGCCTTCAACAGCCACAGAATGTTGAAGGCAGCTGTACATCAGTTTTTGACTATGAAAGAATTTAGTGTACTCAAGCTTGTAAACAGCTCACATGCAGCTGGAAAAGGGCTGGTGGCAGTAGAAACTGGGATCAGAGAATGTGCATCCGAGGCTAAATAACTCATCTTCCCTGCACTATATGTGGAGGTTTGGGAAGAGAAGTTGGGAGAGAATAGGCACTTTTTCATTTTCCCACTCTCCAGAAAAAGCACTCTGGTTTGAAGCAGGCAGTAAATTTCTAGTGATGTACAGAAGAGCAAGGGATGTTTTCAGAATGATGATAAAAGGAGATTTTTCCCCAACCTCTCCAACCAGCCACCATCCCAGGAGTCCTGAAAAGCACTATGAATCTTCTATTCTAGGCTGGCTTGAGAGCTGAATAGCACCTTCCCAGGATACCATAAACTTATTATTCAGACAACGTTTTCTTATAAGTGTGTGTATGTAGTTAGAACTTCTCAAAAAGGCGTAAGCTTAATAGTGCAACTATAAGAAAATGGAAGGAATGGATTTCCTACAGAGGCATCTTGCTATACTGGAAGAAAGTGTTTTTGAATGAGTATAATGCAACAAAATTGTAGTAAGAGGTGATAGCTGAAGCACTCAACAAAACTTAAGAAATTCTTACTTTTTTTAGTAACAGTATCACATATAATACTTAAAAGCCTGCACAGAGGCAGTAATACTTTCCAAACTTCACATTATTGTCCTCTTGTTAACACCAAACTAGGGGCAAATTCTTACATGTGTTTCTGGCACTGCATACTCCTATGGGAAATGTAATGGTGCACTTTTGTCTGAAGTCACAAATCTAACATGGTAACTTTATGTGGAAAACCTGTGAACAAATTGCTCCCCAAATTAAAGAGGTGTTTCTTAGAAGATTTTAACATTTACAGGTCTTTAATTTACAAACTACTAATTTTTCTGCAAATGTGTTGAGTCCCAAAATATTCTGCAGATACCACCCACAAAAATAACTACGGGTGGAAATACTAGATATAAAAAATGAATATAGTAATGAGAACATGCTATCTATCAGTCAAAACTCTTATGCTAATCTTGAAATGCAGAAAAGAGAAACAGTTAAAAGCAGAAAATGGAAAGGATAGCTGATTATCCAAAGACCAGCTAAGTTAATGTAGAAGTAAGTCAAAGCAAAACCACATTTCTAGATATGATAAAAAATGCTCTAAGTCAGTTATGAAACTGACGAGAAGCAGCAACAAATTCTGACTTAATCACAGCAGTTTCCAAATTCCATAATAAGACACAAGTGTTGAACTACATTCTATATGCTCAGTTAACTGAACATGCTTAAAATCTAAGGTTTATCCCAAATTAGGATTTTGGGATTAAAGCTGCAGAATTCAAGAGCTCCTTTTTATAAGCAGTAAGCTCTCTCAGTGCCACATGTATCAAACAGTTTACCTTTTTCTGTCCAGCATGTGTTGTCTAATTTAAACTTCACTGACCATTTTAAAAGAAGCTACCAAGCACATACTTACATTCCTATCACACACAAGATTTGTGAAGTTTCCCTCACTCACAAAAAGGCTCCAAATAGTTTTCTATGAAGATTAAAGCAATCTGTATGTAGAATATGAACTAATCCCACCTAAACTCTACACAGGCAGTAGAAAGGAATGTGTCTGTAATAATCCTGCTGGTCAAACCAAAGCATAATCAGACAGACTTCTCTCATGTCCACTGATATAATCAATACAGAAGCATTTGCTGTTAGTTTCCAGCTATACATGGAACATAGAACCAAAGTGGTGGTGGTGAAGGAACATGACAAAAAAGGTCTCCTATTGTTTCAAAGATACTCTCAAAGTGTAAGGCAAAGGGGGTGGAGTGACAGAAGAACAATCTAAGAATAGTTCACAAATGCATGCTTATCACTCATGGCTGCAGCGTCAAATATCAAACAGATTGACTTTTGTGCTAACTCAAACAATGTTTTTAGTAAATAATAGTTCAGCTGAAAACCAACAAATTTGAGTAATTAAGCAATGAGAAACCAAGCTACGTATATGCATGTATGAAGCAGGAACACTGTGTAGTCAAACTGTTTGGGGGAGCCTATCAAAGCAAACAAGTTAAAACTTCCTGAGCTTTATTTTCATAGGTGCTAACTGCTTATCTTGTTCTTAAAATTAGACAGCTTCCTGTTAGTTTAATAAATATTTAACGAGGCACCTTCTTACTCCTCCTTAAGACAAAGCTTTGTATTGTTTAAGCTCCTTGGTGCTTGGGCATGGGCTTCCTTGCTGGCAGCTCCTTATTATCTTACATATAAGTGTATCTCAGGAAGGTAGTGAAACTGGTTTCTTCTGAAGCTTAGAAAGGACTACCAGCAAATATCACACTGCAGGCTTGTTTGTTTTTAATGCTGTGCTTCAGGGCAGACTGTGGGATGGGAAACACCTTGACTGCATATACCTTGGATCCCGAACGCCACAAACCCAGAAGTGAGTGTTCTGGTTTGCAAACGTTCTTTGGAACCCGAACGTCCGATGGGGCTTCCACAGCTTCTGATTGGCTGCAGGAGCTTCCTGCAGCCAATCAGAAGCCGTGCTTTGGTTTCCAAACTTTTTGGAAGTCGAATGGACTTCCGGAACTGATTCCATTCAACTTCCAAGGTACGACCATATAGATGTCATTCAGCAGCTTTAGTGCTCATCTGTGAAAACTTTCTTTCACGTACCTGACTAGGAATGCCTTACATGCACATGGAGAACAAGTATAGAATCATATGAACTAAAAAGGAAGATTAGTTTGCTTTAATCCTCTATATGATACACAATTCGTACTTTTGATAAAATTTGGTATCAACTTATAAAATCATTTCGCACTAGTATTCCTTAATTCTATTATGCCTTACTGCTAATATGCAAGTGCCCCCCCCCAAAAAATCTTCAGCAGCCCACAGGTGCTTTTATGAGTTGCAACAGTTTTCATATTTGAAAAATAAAATGTATTTTATCCAGAGACAAGTTTAAGTGCCAAACCATATATGCAGTTGGACACTCACAGAGCATTTTCTAAGTCACATTTAGCTTGGCCCAGAAGGTATAATGGCAAAAATGGTACACATCACAAATTCAGAGCTATTTATCTTTCAAAAAGCAGTCCCATTTTTTTAGTCATGCAAAGGCAACCCAACTCTGAACAAAACAGCTCTGACAATCTTTTTGTGTCTGGAATTGGGTGGGTGTGCTAATTTCCCCAAATGCACATTCCTATATCATCCTCTCACATCATGGTGATGGTAACTATCTGTCCACAGAACCCCCTTGCCACACAGAGTTGAATCAATTTTTATTTCATATTTGAGGGCAGAGTAAGAACATTGTAGTTCAATACTTAAATTAAGTTCAATACTTAAAGTGACTATAGTTTTATATTTCGTGTTTACAAAGAAATGTAATATGCAACTAGCTAATGCAAAATAGCTATGTAGAGTAGTCAATACATTGCTTATGCATTGCTCACAATGAATGAAATCTCCAGTGCTTTCCATTTTGTATTGCATTATACTTCAGTGCTGCTGTTTTTTAACTGGATTGTATTCTTTCGTTAAAATTTATTTTTAATGGTCTGAAGAGGTTTAGAGCAGCAATATTTGGGATACCTTCAAGCTATACAAGGTCCGAATAATTAGAGTGTTGTTCAACACCCTCATTATTTCATCTATTAGATATTTCTATATTCTGTGCATCAATAGTGTTTTTTTAAAAAAAAGACTGGCCTAATCCTAAATTTAAGCATTCAGTATACCACAATTGATTCTTACACTGATTCTATCTATATATCAGTCCCAGGACTATCATATGCTAAGTTCACTATTATAGTTAGATGGTTGAAAGTGCAAATAGCATCCAGGCAAGGCAACATAGTTAGAACTCAAATTTCCAATGGAGACCTACAGCTGAGTGCTTTGCCTAGGTATTGTTGCATTTAATTAAATGTCAGGGGCACCTAGGTTTGCTGAACAAGTCCTGTTTTTCTAATGTAAATAAAACTCTTTGAAGAAATCCAAATGAAAGCACTAGCCTGTAACTGTTTACACAGTAGCAAAGAGCCATGTACTTTTGATTCACATTAGGTTTCATAATACAGAGAAATATAGGATTAGTCTACTAAGCTCTGAAGCATGACTACATTTTCTGCTAGTTTGTTATTGTCTGTACTTCAAGTTAAACACAATATGGCCACAAAACATGTGTTTGCTTCAAGTAAAGTAAGGTCTAAATTCCTCCATGGGGAAAATTAATAATTCCTAAATCAAGGATGAACTAAACTGCTCACTGTGTTTCCAATTACTGGGGACTGGCAGAATCAAATATTAGGAGTCAGTATTACAAATCTAAGGTTAATCGTCCCTGTTACTCACGATTCATGTATGTATGCAATTATGATTCCATATCTAAGGTTAATCGTCCCTGTTACTCAGATTCATGTATGTATGCAATTATAATTCCATATACAGTAGGAACTTGCAACCATAAGGCCACAAGTAGAATTTGGCCTTGGGTGACAGCCAATTGACCCCAGGAGTCCTACTGCCAGTGCTGATGCAGAGCCTTGAAAGAATCTCTCCACAGTCACTATTCAAAATGTAAAGCTCAATGATGGCAGACTCAAAACTTTTGTGATCAGGTTTATGTTGATTGAATTCAGTTAAGGGTTGAAAGGGAAAGGAAGAAGACAGAGAAGTTATGGACCTGACTGCTAGACAAGCCCTAAATGGCTTGGATCCAGGCTATCAGAAGGGCTGTACCTCCTTATATGAGCTTGCCCGGGCTTTGTTATCTTCAGGGGAGGCCCTGCTCTTGGTTCCACCATCACAGGTAAATTTAGTGAAGGCACAAGAGAGGGCCTTCTGAGTGGCTGCTCCCAGATTGTAAACTCTCTTCCATGGGAGACAAGGTTGGCCCCCTCTCTGCTTTCCTTTCACCAGCAGGCAAATGCAAAGTTCCTAAGGAACGCATGACTCAGTTATTAACACTGAATCATATAAGTTACAGTAAGCCATTTGTTTTCCATTAGGTATTCACCAGAATGATGGGTATTATTGGTTTAAATGAAACACTAGACGCAGTCAGGAAGTTTTGTGCAAATGTACTTTAAAAGTCACTTCTGCAGAAGAATATGTCTGAAAATTCAAGATACACCAGGCCTCTAGAAATAGGGATACACTGTTTGAAAGAGTGGCATTTGGGAAGTAAAGTTAAAATTGATTTGCCTTATTCCTGTGCTCTTTGGACTATACAGTACTCTTAATAATTTATCTTATGGTCATGTTTGCTTTTAAAGAACATTCACAGATATCCAACACTGAGAGGACTTTCCCCTTCCTCTCCTCTGCAGCCCCACGCATGCCCAACATTTGGACAGCTGAGTATCACCCAAGTACTTAACACAGGTACTTTGTGCACTATGAAAAGAAAAAGAAAAATTAGCAGGGTGGAGAAATTTAAATTAAGTTTCTGACTTGAATTAGATTGGTCCATGTAACAGATATATAGAAAACTAAATAAAATCTTTAACCTATCTGAGCGACGAGCAAAAACATTTGTACCTAACAACTACATTCTTTTTCAATTAATTTGTTTTGGAGGAGAGAAAATGCAAGGAGTATGTCTCTACAGTTGTCTATGAAAGCTGCCCAGAGCACAAATTCCTGCATGCTTTTATGTATGAAAGCAGCAAAGAGTAAGACGTGCATCCTTTTAAGATTACCTGAACTTGCTGTGGTTGCTGCACTTGTATTTGCTGCTCTTGCTGTGTTTGCTGCTGGACGCTTGTTGTAACTGGGCAAGCAAGTTCAAGCAAAGATCCAGCCACTTCTGTGCTATCTGTGTAGATGCAGTTGCCACCTTGCTGGTATACCATGGTGGTGGTAGCAGCCGTCTGCTGAAACTCCTGTAAGGCTTCAGGACCCTTGGAGGCAAGGGAGTCCAGGAATTCCTTCATCCTATGCTGTGGGATCGTTCGTGCTTTCACACGGATGTATTCTTCAAAGGAAATGGTGTTATCCAAAGAATTATTCATATTGCAAGGTACTCAGGATTCCTTAAAAGAAACAAAGCAAGCCATTACAATTACACTCTAAGCCACTCTCTCTACATTTCTGATGTCTTTATCAATAAGGTAGAAATATTATTCGGGTCATTCCGACTACTCACCACAGGTTAATTTATTGAAAAGTCATGCATAACAGACACATGCAGCTTTCTATTAAGATCCACTAATCTACAAACCCATTGTCTTTCAATGAGAACCTCAACTCAAGGCAGAGTCAAGCCCAATCCAAATCAGAGGATTAAAGTCTCCACTGATATATGGTACCCTCTGTAAAAACTGGGGAGTTCCCACTAGGCATGGAATCAAAGTTTTTGTTGTTGTTGTTGTTTTTAAAAAAGGTTCCCCAACTCCAATAGGCTACTGATTCCCCAACTCCAATAGGCTACTGATTCCCCAACTCCAATAGGCTACTGATTCCACAACTCCAATAGGCCACTGATTCCCCCGTTTGTCTCCCTGTGCATGCAAAAAAGGTAACCATTCCTAGCAACGCAGCGTAACATTGCTCAGCACCCGAAACCAAGTCACAATGGTGCAAGGACAGGAAAATCTAAAAGGAAGTGGGGTGGGGAGAGAGGAAAGATGAGGGAATCCCTCCAGAAGGTTCCCAATTTCCAAAAGGGAAACATTCAGGCTCTGCACAGGTCATTCTGATTCAGAGAGTAAGTGGATCATTGCTCCAAGTAAAGAGACCTTCCTTTTTGTGGATGCTTTCATGGCTTCCGTATCAATCACACACTAAGTAGAAATGATTCATCAGGGCCTGGAAATTTTGCACAAGTGTACAATTTAATGCCTAAATGATCTCAGCTTCCATTAAACATTCACACCAAATTTCTATTTAAAGTGTGGAAGGGTCAGCACCCAGCGAAATTTCAGGAACTGGGAGGGACTAGTAGGACCTTTTGGTTTAGCCTACTATGTATTCTAACGACTAAAATAATTATGCAAAGCAAGGTAATCAATCTGCATAGCTCATACAGGCTAGGGTATTTTTTTTTAGTGTATACCCACTGAGTCTTGCATAAGATTCACTAAATCTGTAGGCTGCAAGGCCTCCATCAATTGGTGGGCAGGCCACAGTGATAAAGTTTTCATTAAGCAAAATTAATTGTTTTGGCAAAGGCTTTGCCAAATTCATTGACTTACAGTTGAACAACATAGGCCATTCAAAAAGTCCAAAGATATTGGAAAATAAATTCAAAGTAAATATGTATACACTTTAGGTTGCCTAATATTTTTCATATTACAGTCGCACCTTTAAAGTCGAATGCCTTGAGAGTCAAACATTTTGGCTCCCAAACGATTCACATTTGGAATTGAGTGTTCCAGTTTGTGAACGTTCTTTGGAACCCAAACGTCCAACACAGGTTCTGCGGCTTCCGACTGGCTGCAGGAGTTTCCTGCGGCCAACTGGAAGCTGCATGTTGGTTTCCAAACGTTTTGGAAGTCAAACGGACTTTCGGAATGGATTCCATTCGACTTCTAAGGTACGACGGTATAAGTATGGAATTTGTGTTTCCTTATGAAAAACATGAAATGGGGTGAAAAATGTATACAGAACACACACATCCCTGGTCAATACGCATAAATCCTGAGAAGCAGGATTTGTTTTTTAAGCAACATAAGCACTGCTAATAATTCTAAACGCTTAACAGTATTGAGTGACAAGGCGTAGCAACATACAAACCAGTTTCTCACTCATAAAGCATTATACTGTAGTTTCCACTACCAAAGAAATTCTGCAATTAAAGAGAAATGAAAGCTCAAGAGAGACACCGCCACAGTTACTACACAGTGAGAAAACCTGAGGTGAGAGAGAAGTCATCACTTCAATAATCACTGAAGTGAAGCCACCCAGCATCTAGGCATTTATTTGTTCACATTAATACATTTATTGTACAAAGGCAGCCCTGCATGCAGTCGTATCATCTCTAGAGCTGCTCACAAGACATATATTAACAATATTCACCTACAGCAGACTACTGTAGGACTCAAACAAAAGTTTCAGATTTCAGCTACCATTGAGACCAGAGGATGATGTCTGGGCCCTCTATCAAATTTCTTTTTTTTGAAAAGTCAAGCAGACGTCTCTGGCCCTGGCTACATATTATTTGGAGCACCATGAATGCTGCTGCCCCATGGTGGCTCCCTGCAGTACTCTTGGTATCATCTGCAACTTCCATCTACATTATTAGGATGGAACACATACCATGCCAGCAATGAATAACCAAATTGGGTCAAATTGGCATCATGGTATAACTATATGATTCACTCTAACTGTGAGGATGGAAAATGCAGTTATTACCAATCGTCATGTGGCAGCAACCATCAGGATGGCAGCAAATGCAGTACTCCATGTATAAATGAGGCCCCAACAATGATGTGGATTGTCAGGTGGGATCCTATGCAAATTAGAGAGTGATCTAATTTATATATTTTATTATATATAAAATAATACTCATTTTACTTGTATTTAGAAAACAAAGCTAAAAACTTTGAAACCGCCACACTTGCACAATATTGTATCTGTAATTGGCACCCATTCATTGTTGCTACTGAATTTATGGAAAATTTTCTGCAGAAAAGTAAAGCACTAGAAACTTTCCCACAGATCATGGGCATCAATATCACACCAAGCAAACCTAAAGGAATCAGACAATTACACTTAACGTACATGAGGCCCAATTGCTACAAGAATAGTTGCAAACTTGCCATTCCAAATACATCATCAGATGCAGATGGATCCAAAAAGTAAGAGACCCAAGCCAAAAATGTAATTATGTTTTTAAAATAAGACACATAAATTGACTGCCACTGTCACAGAATGTTTTTCAAATCAGGCCTATTTAATAGTTACAAGTTTAGAGGGGCAGAATATACACATTGCCTAGAGAAGTCTTTATATTTAACTAGTAAATCTGATCTACTTTTTCTAGAAAGTTGTAAGTTAAACATATTGCTCCCATATTTTAGCCACTTAAGTATTCAAATTAAGATGCTTAATAAAAAAAGATCCCCACTTTTCCAACCAAGGTTCCAGGTGGCAAAAATGTTCTGGCTGTGCAAGGCAGAACTAATGATGCTATTCCCTTTGCTGCTGACCCAGTAAACACAATTCCCCAACAGCAAAGGAGATTAAATCTAACATTTTGACACACCGCTTTTTCCAGCAGAAAAGCATTTGGTGGCATTGGCTAGAATCAGCTGATTCTAGCCAAAGAAGTAGCCTTTTCAAATGCACTGCTGTCACAGAATGGGGTAATAATTATTAGGTTTAATATTGGATCTCACACTGGAATAAAATTATACTCCAACTCCAAACATACCGCTAAGCCCCACTCACTCAAGGGAATTTACATTTAATCAAGCTGCTAAGGATAGTCAGATTCTGGAAAAGTTACAAGAACAGTTTGTGTGTCTCCCCTGCCCACCGCCTTAATTTTGCATCTTTTGCAAATTTTAGGAGTAGCTAACAATGGAGACATACGGCTGGATTTGAGGAATTAACCATTCTATATTCCTTCTTCCCATAAGTCCTAGGTGCAAACTGAAACCTGTATAATATCTAAAAGAGGTTCATTTAAATGTCTACTACCTCCCACATTCCATTTAGGACTCTGAACAGATGCAGACAAAGTAGCTTCCCCAGTCAAATAGCCTGATAAACGCTATTTTGTGGGCATTTGGGTTGGCCTAATGGAAGGCAATATGGATTCTGGAACATTATTGCTATCAAGACACTGAAGGAGTCATCATTGTTTTCAGATCAGTGGATTTTGAAATGCAGACCTTTTTAGTTTACCTCAATCTTATGCAAACGGCTAAGATTCTGAGTTACTTAATAAAGTATTACTTAATAAAGTATTATTATAACATTGGGAAATATTCATGGGCCCCATTTTCTAGGGCTAATATGATTTCCACAAATATACTAGCTAGATAATGTCATACAATATTCAAGAGCCTGCCTTTCGAAGTACAGTGGTACCTCGGTTTAAGAACAGTCCCGTTTAATAAAAATTTGGTTTACAAACTCCGCAAAACCGGAAATAGTGTCTTGGTTTGGTTTGAGAACTTTACCTCGGTCTAAGAACGGAATCTGAACAGTGGAAGGGCACCAGCAGTGGGAGGCCTCATTAGGGAAAGCGTGCCTCGGTTTAAGAACGGTTTTGGTTTAAGAACGGACTTCCAGAACGGATTAAGTTTGTAAACCGAGGTACCACTGTACCTTTAAATATGATTAGGACCTAAGATCTTAATTTCTATTTCTATGAAGTTATTAAAGGGTGGATCACACATCTCATACTTTTGAGAACCAATGATTGAAATCAAGATAAAAATCTGGCCTAACATTATAACTGTTGCCTTTTTCTGCCACCGCTTCAAAAAGAAGCAACAGCAAGTCTAAATTGTTTGACAGAAGTTACCCAGAAATATATTTTTCCTTTCCTGTAAATCTTGACACATCCAGACACATTATACAGTAAGGGTTGATAACTCTCCACCTCAGAAGATTTGACCAACTCATGAAATACTTTACCACTGCTTCTAAGATCCTTTTTCCAATTAAATACTGGCGAACAGTTGAAATTCACAGTTACAGTATTTTCCTACCTTGTCCACACCTTTGTAACCTAATGTAATTTACTGGTAGGAAACAACTTTTCTTTTCACAGGTGCTACTCTCACTACCACTGTTTCATAAAACTGAGGCAGATTAGCAGTTAAACATTTGAATCTTTCATTTACCAAATATTTTAGAAGCAGCAAGATGAACTCTGGGGGAAGCTTAGAGTGGTATAGGACAAAAGTTGACAAGAATTTTACAATGGAAATTTGCTCACCCCAAGTTGAACCATCACAAGCTATTTTACCTCCTTGGAATCTTCCAGTCTTGAAGCAATCACCTTCTGTTATATAAGTTACAAGCACCAGTGAATTGCAGGAGATATTCTTCAGCCTAGTGTCACTGTGCCAAGATACCATCCAGAAAAAAGTAATGCACATCAAGTGCGTTAATGCTTTAGCCAACATCCATAAATATAGAAATGCATTTATGTTAATGATACCATTGCTGCAGAAATCATATATGAATCAAAGATCAGTTGTTTGTTTACTGAGCTTTCATCCTTACATGACCTTGGTATAATGTGCATTCCATCAACTTTCAGGGAAAATTGAAATAAATGATATGTAAAACAACAACTCCTGCCTAAGGAAACAAGTATTCCTTTATCTGCATTTTCATGTAAATATTAAATCTGGAAAGTTAGGCCAAGCCAACTGATTAGCAAGCAGTTAGTTCTCAGAACTTAAACATTATTGAAAGCACACACATTTGTAGTATGCAGACAATCTAAACTCACCAGGCACCATGCTGTATGTATTTCTGATATTCGTGTCCTGAACTCTTTTAGACTCGTGACATTCTGGAGAAGACAGAACAAAGAAACCCTTTCCATCCCCACTTTAATTGTATTTATTTAAGAAATATAAAGGGAGAAGACAATGTTATATGACAAAGTTGTGAAGCCCCCCCCCCAAGTCCAATCTCCCACCTTTCCCCATTTTTTTTTCACATTTCTAGCTACTTCATTGTTTTAAAAAGGCAATTCTAGAGCTTTTCTAATTCCAGTGCCTTTTAAGAAAATAAAATTAAAACGCAAACTTTCTGAACAAGAACTACTCAGTATTCAATGCTGAATTATGTGATGTGTGTGTATGACATGCTCCCTTTACTTCTATGAGGTGCCTTGAGTTCCAGATGGAGGAATAGCAGAATATAAACTAACTCGGTAAAAATATGTTAGCATAAAAGCTTGCAGATGGATAAGGTTTCAGAAACCTTGAATGAGGTAGCAACTGAAAGAACACAGGCATGGCTGCAGTAGATACAGGAAGCATTGAACATCTGTATTGTCTACACCAGGTATGGGAAACTTCTGGCCCTGCAGATACTGATGAAATTTCCATCATCCCCAAGCAACACAGCCAATGGTTTGGGATGAAGCAAGTTGTAGTCAAGCAACATCTGCAGGACCGCAGTGTTTCAGAATAATGTAACTTCCAGACCTATCTGGAGATTGTGGGGGCTGAACCTGTAACCTCTTGTTTATATGCACCCACCCACTAAAGTTGTTTATTACTAGCGCTATTATTCAAGTAAGCAGCAAGGTTCTCAGTTCCATCTGGGCAAATCTTTTGCCCACCCTACTGATCAAGACATGTTTGTGACATTAGGCACATGCTAGCATAAAAGTTGATTAGTGCATTTCCATAGTAATGGTAGTATATTGTGCTTTACATTTACAAATGCTCCAGCCAAGGGTCCGAAAGCCTAGAAGAGCCCTAAGAAAATGCACAGGAACAAAAGGTGGGCTTATCCACAAAAACCTAGGTTTTCAAGTACTACAAAACTCTCTTTGGGATGCTAAAGGAATAGTTCCCATGACAGACCCACAGGAATTGAAAGCCAGGAAAGGGCCCACGGTAGATTCCTCCACTCATCTCTTTATCATTAGTAATGATAAATAGGGCAAATAATCCCCCAGTCACTGGTTGCAGGGAAACAGCAGTGTTAAAAGGTATCTATCGGTTTTAAGGAAAACGAAATCCGGAGACCGATAATCATACAGCTGAAATCAGCTGAATAGGGAAAGTTACTCAGCTTGTGTATGGGGTGGGGGGGGAGAGAGAGAGAATCACTCAAGTAAGCCTAACTGTCCTGTCAGAGGTATTGTACAAGGCTACACTCAACGGTCCACTGTAATGCACAGCACGAAGCGCTTTTAGGTACAGTATTTGTAAATATTGCAGGCTCCTAGACAAGGCCAGCACACCGAAAAGGCCCCGCCTTGATCCGCCTCGCCTCCATTTATTCTAGCCTTCTGGCCAAGGGTGGGGATGAGCATCCTTGGTCGCACGAAACTGGCGCGCGAATGGCTAGGTGAAAAGGAGGAGAAGAAGCAACGGCGGCGGCCGAAGAGGTTTGGGAAGAGTGAGGAAAATTGGCCACAGCCGTGGCAGCTCACCCCGCCTCCCCAGGGTCTCTGCAGCACTAGGGCCCGCCGGCCTCATCCTGGAACTTCGCCTGCGACTGCTGCTGCACCCGAGTCGGCACCTTTGAAGGAGAAGCGGCGCGAGCGCGCCCGCAGCAGCAGCAAACCCAAGGCGCGCGCCCGGCCCCACAGGGCCCTGGTGGTGGACTTCCCAGCGCGCGAAACGCCGGGAACGCGCGCGCCTACTGCCGCCTCTGGAACCGGGGAGGGGGAGCTGGGGGCTGGTGAGGGGAAGAGTCGGGAGCGCAAGGCGGGGCCGCGGGCACCGTGGAATGAACGACGCAAGGCCTCGAAGTCTGCGCGCCGCGGCCCGATCCCGCCCTACGAATCTCCAATTCCAACACGCACGCAAAGAGGTCCTCTCTCTTTGCCCCCCCCCACCCCGCCCGCCCCCCACCACCGCGGAACGCGCGCGCACGCGCTCCCCAGCGCCACACACACAACAGCCGGGCTCGCGGGAGCGCGCTTCGGCCCCGCTACCCCTCCCCCTCCCCCCCGCCGCCGCTATTCTTTTTCTTCTCCTCCTCCTCCACCCCGCCCGGTCTGAGGCAGCTCCTCTTCTTCTTCACCAACCCCCGCCCCACTCCAGCCCTCCCGTCCGCCCCACGTCCGCCGCTCGGCTGTCAGCGTCCCCGCCCAGCGCCGCCTCACCCCGGCCCCTCTGCCGCCTCGCGCCGTCGCCACCTCAGGCCCCGCGTCTTTTTTCCCCTCACAGGTCCCTGGGCGCCATCTTACATTCAACCCGCCGCAACCAATCGGCGCCCGGGCTCGAGTTCGCGACAGCTCCGCCTCCAAGCCGCGCGAGAGCTGCGCGCCGAGTAGACGCCCCTCGCCTTAAAGCGGACGACGGAGGGGACGGGAGGGGTAGGAGGCGGGGGAGGGACCAGAAAGGGGGGATGAGGGATGAGGGTGCCAGGGGCCCCAGTGCCGGATTTAAGCATAGGATAAACAAGCTATAGCTTAGGGCCCCACTCTCTTGGAGGCCCCCCAAAATATACTTCTTCTTAATTGTATTTCACTATTAATATACTGCTTCATTGTATTTCAGTTCAACAGTTACTTTGATAAAATACATATTTTGTTATGTGCAAATGGCTTTAGATACCTATTAGGTCCATAAATTGCCATATAGCATATATTCAACACAAAAAACAGTGGCAATTTGTTGTTGACAAAGGACAGCTGGACATATAAAGGGCCCCATTGCCATCAGTAGCTTAGGGCTGAGGGGCAGGTTGTCCAGCTCGCCTGCTCTTGCCCATCTATAGTTCAAAGCCCCACTCCAATCCTACAGCTCTTCCCCCCCCCAACCTGGGACCCTCCAGATGTTGTTAGATGCCAGTTCCCATCAGCTGCAGCCAGCAGGGCTAGTGGTTAGGGATAGGTCTTGCAGTCCAGCATCATTTGGGGAGCCACAGGTTCCCCTTCCCTGGCATACTGTGCCCCCTCCCCCAAAAGGTTAAATTCTGCTTCACCCCTATACAGGGCATCCCTTTCTGCTCCTTTGTGCCGGCTCAGAAAAGCTTGCGGCACCAAGGAATTTAAGGACAAACCCCCCAGTGTTAATCTGGACACTTACTCCTAGGGCAGATGCGGCTGGGTCAACCTCCCAACAGCCAGACATATGGCTAATAGTCGCAGATTAATGGAAGTTGGTGTCCCACAACAAATGAGGAATCATGCACAACTTTGCAGACTAATAAGATTTTTCTCTAGTAGATATCCTAGCAAGAATAAACAGTCCCTTCTACAACTGTATAAGCCATTACAAAACCATGAAATCACCCTTTTGGTTAGACAGCACTCTCCCCGCACACCCCTCCGTTGTAACCTGACATATTTCCGCAGCATATTTTTGTAAGCAGGCCATAGTTTCCAGTGCAAGTCCCTTGCTTCTGGGCAAGCCTGACAGAGAGTCTAGGAAGCTTTGAAAGTATTACAGGAATCATTCCTAAAAGAAAGAAACACTACCTAGCCCAGGAAGAGTTGTTTCATAAAATATACAATGTTTTTATTTGAGAAGAATGGCGCGAACAAACCTTATGGGAAATTCCCAATCTCAATTAATCACTCATCTTTATGTATTGTATTATAAAATAACCTTCTATAAAATACCTAGATTTCCATAACACGCTGGTTCAGAGAAAATCCCAAACTGTTGCACACTGTTTTCATGAGTAGCAGGCAATATGCACTTTGAGATTTGAAATGCTGTTCTCTAGAGCAGATTGGTATTCTTTTTCAGTTGAAATGGACTCTAGTTTGTAGTGAAGGAAAAGCCAAGCAGCTATAGGCCTCTATCTGCAGCTTTGGTAAAATGCTGTAATATCCAATCAGCAGCTTGCATAGAGTTGCACCCGCTTTGAAACTTTATAGCTACTGGTAAAGGCTTGTGGCAGCAATGAAAAGATTTTTTTTACCCACAGGAGTTCAGTTCAAAGAGGGAAAATCCTGCTATCACAAATTTAAAGCGGCATAGCCACAGTTTGAAAGCTCACAGTTTGAAGCTACAGAAACATGCCTTTAAGGAGGAAAAAGTCCCTAATTTTCAGCTAATACAAAGTTATAGATAAATCTTAGAAGAGTTCTCGTGATGGAGCAGCTGAAGAGCTCTCTAGGGCACGATTCAGTAGAAGAGCTTTCAGAATGGCACACATCCTTTACAGCTATTGAGAGATCAGATCATATAATAAAGGAGGTTAACACCTGCTCTGTGCAGCAGTGCTGAACAAAGGAAACACTTTTGCAGACACAGAGTCTGTTCCAGGAATAAAGAATTCAGAGAATGATCAACACAGTGTTCCGCATCTCCCCAGCAAGTCCACAGTTATGAAACATGGAGCTGCATCTCAAGCAATCCCCACCATCCGAAACCTTTCCCTAGGCTTCAGCAAAGTTTCTCTTAAGAAATTCAGAGAAATAGCCCCAGCTTGGTTCACACAGAACTCCGCCCTTCCCCATGCATGTTAGGAATAGAAATAGTTTACAAGGAATCTTAATAGCAGTAATGCAGCTTGCTCATTCGAGATTTGTGCAAATATGTGAAATTCAGATGCAAAAACATAATTTGTATGAAATAATGTAAAATCTGTTCCGAATTCTCATTGAATTCAGTGGGACAGATAATTGGATACAGGATTGCAACATTAATTTGATTTCCATTTATTCCCAATAGCCTTATTCAAGTGAAAAGGGATTCAGCAGTGGGGAGACCGGCAAGCTAATAAATAAGAATTGATCTCCAACAAAATCCCACAGCACAAACGGAAATTAGAAAGCACATTCTTTTATCACAAGCACATTTCCTCTCCTTTCTTGCAGAGTAGTTCCCCTAGAAAACAAAGGTAACTAACCTAGCAATATATCTCAGATGGGCTAATTGACTGTTTAAGCGGTTCCTGCTGTTAAATTATGCTGCTCTTTGCTGCCAGTGGCTACTAAAACTGTCTCTATTATCTGAAATGACAACAGAAGCAGCTGTGGGCTCAGCAGATCAATCTGAGTCCACCTGAACTTGAAGCCAGTTCAACCAAAGGCTGAATATTTTAGTTTCACTGATACTATGCAGAAACATCACACCAGTTATGGCTGGATAGACGACTCTAGCAGTCAATCACATGAAAGCAACCATTCTCTCCCAAACCTACAGTAAAGCTATTCTCTCTTGAAGAGTATCACATTATTGACAAACCAAACCTAGCCAGCTCACATGCCACACAGAGACCAGAAGTCAGTACAGACAAATTAATAAACATGTCCAAGTTTGTTTTGTGGCTAAAAATGGGAAATGATTTAGCATCTGGATGAAATAACTCTACACTGCTTGGCTGGCACTATTAACTACTTTTCCCCAGTTTGCTGCAGCAGAGCATTGAAGGCATCTAAGCCATATTTGTGGAACTAGTTGGTACTTTTTTAAAAATTACATGAAGGTTAGCTTCTACCCATTTGTCACAGGCTGCATTCACACCATACATCTGAAGCACATGGTGTCCCCCAGTGAATGCTGGGAAGTGTAGTTTACCCCTCATAAAGGTACAATTCACAGCACTCTTTTAAAAACTACCATTCCCAGGATCCTTTGGGAGAGTTCGTGTGCTTTAAATGTAAGGTATGTGCATAGTTTGCTAGAAAAGTATCAAATATACCTTCTCTCCAGTATGGAGGAAAACCTGCATGGTCCATGTATGGGGACATATTTATACTACTGCTGGCATTATATCTCTCCGTTTCCCCTCTCTTCTACAATGGGAATAACCATGGCCTACCACATAGGATTGTTGTGAGATCACATTAAGTGTGTGCAGTTGGGTACTGTTGCTGCTGTAAGGCTGAAAACAAGAAACCAGCTCCCTAAAAGACAAGCTGGCAATAGCCCATTATGTGGGTCAGAGGTGGCTCAGAGAGGTTTTTGCCATCCTAACCCACCACGCTCCGTTGGCCCCAGTGTCTGTTGCGTGTGCCCGGGGGGACGATTGCCACGAGGCTTCCGGCAGGTGCTTCACCCAGGAGGGAGAGGGCCCAGCCTGCCTCCATCTCTTACGGCCCGCACCCCAGGGACCAGGCCGGGCTGTGCCAAGCCTGCAAAGGAAAAGCACAGGCTGCTTTAATATCCCCATGTGCTTGCTGACAACCTCCCACTCCACAGCACCAACAACCGGCCCTTAAGGTGGCACGGGCCAGCAGCAGCAGCAGCAGCAGGTGACACAACTTCGGCTGCCATCACTCCAGCAGAGCGAGACGCCGCCGCCGCCGCCGCTGCTCGGCTTCCTCCGGCCAAGCTTCCCCTGGCGCGCGGGTTTTGCATTTCGTACTCTCTCTATTTATTCTTTTGCAGCAGCGACATTGCTCAGCCAGCACCCGTCGCGCGTGGGTTGCTTGGGGGGGGGGGCGCGCACAGAGCGACCCGCGCGGCTTTCCGAGCCAACCCTTCTCCAGCCCACCTTAACAAGGGCCTAGGCTTGCTAACTTCGCAGCTAGACCTCGGTGTTTGTACACACTGCAGAAAATGTGCAGGACTTTAAAGGTGCAGCGACCCTCCCGCATCCAGCCTTTCTTTCTGGGAGGAGAGGAGGAGGCGGCGGCGGGCGAGTCACCCGTGCAAGAGGGAGCGAGCGATGGCCCGGGATCAGGCCTCTCCGATCAGGGCCAAAGGTGAACCGAGGGAGGGAGAGAGAGAAGGATCCCTAGCCTCGTGCGCAGCGGCGGCTCTTACGCGCGCGGACCCCGCGATGGCGCAGCCGGTGTCGTGTGCTTTGCTCCGTCCAAGCGGGCAAGGCGAGGGCGGAGAGCCGGGAAGCAGTCCGCATTTCCCAGAAGCAAGCGCCGCAATGGGTACTGCGAGCCAGACAGGCCTTGACAGCGGAGGGCGGGCTCGATTCGGGGCTTGGCGAGGAGGAGAGGGAGAAATTGTGCAGCCGAAAGGGCACCGCGCGGCTGGGCTGGGTTGCAAATCAAGCGCTTGAAAGGGTTGCCTTTTGCAGAGCTGGACAGGCAAGGAAGGAACGTTCCTGCCTTTGTCATTGATAAAAGGGCTTGCGGGGGAAGGGGGGGGGGCTTACGGACACCAGGAATTGCTGGCATCCGTTGATCTAAAGAGACAATGGCGTGCACCTCCGGGGCTGAAGCCAAAGCGCTGCGTTAGCAGCACCAAAGTGACCTCTGCAAGGGTGCAAGTCTGGGTGGGCAGTGTGTATGGAGGCCCTGGGCTGCCCAGGCGACAAGACTCGCCGATGCGGTCCAAAGGAAGGCAGAGCAATGCACGGGCTTTGCTGCAGGAATTGCCAACCCGCTTAGGGATTTGTGTAGGGTTTATTCCATAGGGTCCCCCCCCCCTCCAGATGTCCGGCAAGGCAAGAGGAGGTTTAGGATCAGAGTCTGCCTTCTCCTAGATGGGCTATCTTCCCAGGTTGACAGGCCCCATCTGCCCCTCACTTCTCACCTGGTTCAGCCAGCAAAGCTGTTTGCTGGTTGTGTCACATGCTGACAGCTTTTAGGAGCCACAGGTGAGAGCTGAGTGCAGGGTTGGGACCCACTTCCTCCTCTCTGTCCCCCAAGATTGCTTCTGCTACCCCCTCCCCCCATACTCAAGGTCGCTGAAATATCTGTTCAGCTGCTCACTGCTATGGTTTACTTTTGTTGCCATCGGTTGTAAATTCCAATAACTGGCAAATCAAGTGCACCTCCCAACACAGTTGGTATTCTGCCATCTTCCTTCTCTTCTATCAGTTAATTTATCCATTTCTGTCCATTTTGAATATTTTAATAGCCGCTCTCAGTCCGTGGGGATTTGTTGACATTTACGTTTTCTAGCCCACATAATTTTTATGAAGAATTTCGGGTATCTAGATCTAAATCATGGAGGACAAGGCTGTACCTCCACAATTGGGGGCAGTATGCCCCTGAATGCCAGATGCTGTGAATCATAAGTGGGTCGAATTCTGTTGCGTTCAGGTCCTGCTTTCAAGCTGCTCAAAGGCCTCTGGTTGGCCACTGAGAACAGGATGGTGACGAGGTGGGACCCTGGATGGATGGAGCAGGCTTGTCTTACGTCCTCAGTGTTGATTTTGTTTAATTTAACAAAATCAACACTGGGCCAAAACTCAAGGTTCTAAAGATAAAATGGGGAGTTGCAAGGGGAACCATTTGTGCCACCTGGCACTCCTTATAGGGTTGCCATATTTTGAAGAGCAAAAAAGAGGACACGTTTGCCGACTTCTGCTTTTAATTATGGATTGCTGCGACACAACTCTCATTTTACAGATCCATGAAAAAAAGAGGATGTCTCCTGGAAAAAGAGGACATATGGCCAACAAATGTCCTCCCTTGTAAAAGCAGAGCTACGAGGTCAGACCTTCGCTGCCTTCTTTTACAAACGCTATTGAAAGCAACACTGGTTGAAAGAGTGGTCTGATTTAAAATACCGATGAGAAAGCCTCTCTTGCCCATTGCCCATTTCTGATCCATTGTTATTGAAGTGCAAGGCAACTCTCAGATGGAGATAAAATGCGGAAATAATAATAATAATTTATTATTTATACCCCACCCATCTGGCTGGGCTTCCCCAGCCACTCTGGGCGGCTTCCAACAAAATATTAAAATACAGTAATGCATCAAACATTAAAAGCTTCCCTAAACAGGGCTGCCTTCAGAGGTCTTCTAAAAGTCTGGTAGTTGTTGTTCTCTTTGACATCTGGTGGGAGGGCGTTCCACAGGGCGGGCGCCACTACCAAGACGGCCCTCTGCCTGGTTCCCTGTAACTTGGCTTCTCGCAGTGAGGGAACCGCCAGAAAGAAAGACTGCAAGGAGGAATGGGAGCTGGAAATACTCTCTGAAGGAGATGAGGACAACTCTTAAAAAATCATTCATACCTTTAGCCCCATCTAAGTGCAGGTGGTAGCCTCATCCTTAGTCCTAGACATACAACCCACCTAGAATCTTACTTCTGTGGGAAACTGTGGCTTGAGGAGGTGTGGAGAGGCTCAGAATCGGATGCGGCTTATCTGCCCATCGGGACTCTCTCCACGACATGCCTTCCTCTCCAAACACACCCGTCAGGTGCGGGGCGAGCACCAAGAAATTGAAGGGGAGGAATCATAATTCTAGTTTGCAGCCCCACTTCAGAAAGGCAATAAATATTCTTTGAACCTGCAGATTCAAATCAGTGTACACACACCGATACACCCACACCCACACACCCTTGCATGCAATAGCCAATAACACAGGAAAACATAAAGAGGCTTCCTTTTATTGATGTGATGGATCTGAAACCAGGATGCATGTTAAGGCAACTTTGCTGGTGCTGCATGCGAGCATCGCCCCCTGCCATGCAGGGGAAGAACGTGACTCCTGAGCAACTTGGGGCAAGGTGAGACACCGCCTGCAGAAGCATCATCACACTTTCCCAGGATCCTCCTTCAGAGTCACCGTCCGGTTGAACACAAGCTGCAGGGGGAAAGCAAGCGACATTAGCAAGAGTCCTTTGCCAGCCAAGTTCTTCCTCCCCATCACCTCCCATTTTAGAGAGCGGCTTTTCTCTCTAATCGGACCTTGAGGCCTTACAGGAACCGTTAAGAGACAGAAGGAAGCTCAAAGGCAGGTTCCAGGGAACATTTGGCCCTCCGGACGTTGCTGCACGACTCCCATCATCTGCAGCCAGAGTGGCAACACGGCCGGCGGCAATGGGAGTTGTAGTTCAGCAACACCTGGAAAGTCAAAGGTTCCCTGTCAACACAGGGTTTCTACTGGTATATCATCCCTGGCAGGAGGCCCCATCCGACCTCTGGCTGAAAACCTCTATCAAAGGAGAGAGTCTGACTTCTTCCAAAGCAGTCTGTTTGTTTCACCATCCAACCGCTTGTCCTGTCCAGAAGTTATCCCTCACGTGCAGCTGAATTTTCCTTTCCTTGCCATTTGAACGAGGGCAGGGGGGAACCCTTCCAGGTTTTTGCACCTTTTGGGAACTGACCTTTGCACCCGTGCTGTCAGGATCGACTGAGAAATAGCCAAGCCGTTCAAACTGGAATTTGGTAAAAGGCTTGGCCCCACACACAGACCTGTCCACCAGGGCCTCCTCAATCACAGAGAGTGAGTTCTGGAGTGGGAGAGAGAACAGAGAGAGAAAGATGGAAAGGAGCGGGCAGGAAAGACTAAAACAAGGCAACAGAACTTCTCTCAGATGGGCAGGCCAAAGAGTCTTTAGCCCTGCTGATTAAAATATGCAACTTTTCTCTACTCACCAGGGATGCCCCACCCAGAAGGCAAAGTGAGGTGATCACCTCAGGAAACGGAATCCACAGAGACAGCAGATCCGGCCTCCAAGGAATGCGCTACCTGCTGCCGCCATGGTGGCAGGGACGGGTGTGGCGTGCTCCTTTGAGACCCTATCTGCCGCCACCTTGGAAGCCCCCACCATGCTGCCTCTACAGCAGTCTCTTCCTCCTGCCCTTGTTCCTGATGTAGATCTTCACTCATCCCTTCTTTCCTGGCCTGGAATTGGGCCGGCCCTGCTACTCACGGGTGCAGCGCATGAGCTCTTGTGGTTACCTGCCTTCACCATTTTTTACATGGCTTGCTTGGGAGGAGATGCCCAGGTTGGCAGGCGCACACTGATCCGCACGCTCCAATTTACTTATATAGGTAAAGGTAAAGGGACCCCTGACCATTAGGTCCAGTCGTGGCCGACTCTGGGGTTGCGGCGCTCATCTCGCTTTATTGGCCAAGGGAGCCGGCGTATAGCTTCCAGGGCATGTGGCCAGCATGACTAAGCCGCTTCTAGCAAACCAGAGCAGCGCACGGATATGCCGTTTACCTTCCCGCCGGAGCGGTACCTATTTATCTACTTGCACTTTGATGTGCTTTCGAACTGCTAGGTTGGCAGGAGCAAGGGGAGCTCACCCCGTCGCGGGGATTCGAACCACCGACCTTCCGATCGGCAAGTCCTAGGCTCTGTCCTAGTCCCACAGCGCCACCCGCGTCCCTTAATTCACTTATACCTCCTACCAAATTGCACGCCCACGCACAGGTGTTGGCCTAGCAGGAACCACTTTACAAAACTCCTTAGCAAGGTGTACATTGTTAGTCCAATGAGATGCTTCCCTGGCAGTTTCTTTCTGCATTGTTAACCTCACCTCTTAATAATAAAAATGTCAATTTCTAATATTTTATGCCCTCTCGTTCCTCTCCTTTAATCTTGTCATATTATATAATGGAACGTGATACCTTCTTGTTCTTGCAATTTTCTACTTTTCCATTAAAAAAAAATAAAAATTGAGTACCCCCTGCTTCTCAAGCCACACCATTTCTTTCTCTCAACATAGCTCTACCTCTTCCTCCTCCCTCCTTCTGTCTTCCCTAGTCCAAGGCATTAATAATAATAATAAAACACTCTTCTGGGCTCAGCACTCACAGGATTGACATCACTCAGGAAACCCTGTGGCACCTCTGCAGGGTCTTCGGGGTTCTTGTGCAGGAACCTGCAAGCCACAAAAAAGGTTTATAGTCACACTGAGGATGAGGTTCGGCTGCCGGAACAGAAGACAAGAGGGTTCTGCTGCACAGGCCGGCCAATGGCACTCTCGTATCCTAAGCATGGCTCTTCCAGATGCTCTCTGTAGGCCCTGGGGAATGAGCCAAGTCCTTCTTGGGCTCGATGTTACTTCTACCTATGGTGTCAAGTCTACTCACTGAATGGAGAAAGCTGGGCAATGCAGACGGCCAGCCTCACAGAAGGTCCTGCCCATGTTCAATGAGCTCATCACAACCCTGACTTGGCAGGAAGCGTTATCTCAGGGAGAAACTCCTCTTTTGTAATGGGGCAGCTGACAAACGTGATGTAAACTCCCCCATTAGCTACTAAGCCGATGGAGCGGAGACACTTTGCTGTAGGTCGGGAGGCAATTAGCCTTGCCGGTTTGGGTTTTCTCTGCCAAGTTTAGTGCCGGAAGTCTTATTTTGCCAATCTATGAAGATCTGCACTGGTTTCCAATTCATTTCCAGGTGCTTGTTTTAACTTTGAAAGCCCTACATATCTTTGGGCCCAGCGCCCACCAAGACTGCCCTACTTCCCTATGAATTTGTCTGAATATCAAGGATGAAACATGACGATCATCTTCAGAGGCCCTACATAGGGTGTGTGTGTGTTTTCCAGTATTAGGCTTCTTTCAGCCGTAGCATCTGGAACACCTCCTCCTCCTTCCCCTGGAGACTTCTGAGGCACTGAGCTGAAGTCTTTCTGGTGCCAGATGGCTTTCTTTTTGCCCAGACTACCCAGAATTCCACAGGAATTGTGCACGGTTTAAACCTGACTTTTACTATGGCCGAGTACAGATTAGTGAATCTTGGTTTAATAAGGCTACGTCTGCGTAGTTGCTTCGCTGCTCCCGCCACGCAACTGAGCAAACAACCAGGAATCCATAGTTAACAGTAGTCCGAACTGGGAAATGGTAGCTAATGTCTTCCAAGCAAGCTGGAATCTGAAGCCATGGTTTAAAATTGCCCTGTGGTTCCTGGCTTGTTCAGAACCATGGTTTCCCAGTTTGAACGTAACAGGAAACTATGGTTAGCTATGACTTCTTCACTTATTTTGCTACCCCTGCAAATGGAGAAGCAAAGCAGCCATATACAGGTTCCTGAAGCTTGTACATAGTGCACAGTTCATCCAAACATGGCCGGCACCTCTGCTGTCTCTGTTTTTATGAGTTTTAGAACTACCGTATTTTTCGCTCTATAGGACGCACCTTGTTTTAGAGGGGGAGAACAAGAAAAAAAATTCTCCCCCTCTCTGCTCAGCGCCCCTTCAGCGAAGCGGCAGAAGAAACGGAGCCCCTTCCATTTCTCCTGTCGCTTCGCTGAAGGGGCGCTGCGCAGAGAGAGGGAGAATTTTTTTTCTTGTTCTCCCCCTCTAAAACAAGGTGCGTTCACCCGAAGCCTTCGGAGCGCAGTGGGAGTTCCCGCTGCGCTCTGGAGGCTTCAGGCAGCTACCTTGGAAGCCTGGAGAGTGAGAGGCGTCGCTGCACACTGACCCCTCTCGCTCTCCAGGCTTCAGTGAAGGCAACCCGAAGCCTCAGGAGCACGGCGGGAGTTCCCGCCGGGCTCCGGAGGCTTTGGGTTCCTTTTGACCTGCTCTTTGGGGCTGGCGGGGGGGAAGCGCTGCTTTCCCCCGCCGCCAGCCCCAAAGAGCAGGTCGCGGAGCAGTGGAAAGGAGCGCTCCCTCTGCACTTCGGAGCGTTGCTATCGCTGAAGCCAAGGAGCCTGCCTTCGCTCCATAGGACGCACACACATTTCCCCTTAATTTGGGGGGGGGGGGAGTGCGTCTTATAGAGCAAAAAATACAGTATTTTAGTTATTTGAGCTGCTTTGAAAGAATAGTTCTAAGAGCAGCGTACAAATTCCCTAAGGAAACAAATAAATTGGAACGGTATAATAAATTTTCCCAGAACCACCACCTTCCTTCCAGATATAGTTATAAGTTTGATTAAAACAGATGGCGTTTCAAGATAAACTCAAAAAATGTTGGTACCTAGTTCTGTCCACCCTCCTTTGAATACATAATACCACTATGCAATGCTTGAATATATAGCATCCGTGAGCCAGGGGAGGAGAGAGACAAGATAAGGAAGTGGTTTTGACCCCTGTTGCCTATTCTTCTTCCCAGGAATAATAAGATCCAAGGTCAAGAGGCACATGGGGAGCCTTCTCAAACAACAGATTTGCAAAGAGGTAGCGATCCTAATACTCACAGTCGCTCATACTGTCGAACCTCACACACGAGAGGATTTGACACCCAGTGGATAAAGGCTTTGGGTTTCTCTGCTGCCTCCGACTTTGTACAGGTCACCTCTAGCTCTTTCACACGTCCATTGGTGTCCTAGGCATGGATATGAAGGTCAGTTCCATGTGGCCACCCAGCCACTTTGCCATCATGCTTCAGGCATCTAGCTCCTCTCAAAAAACACTCTCTTGCAATGTGGAGCAGATTGCCTTCCTCATCTCTTCTGCTCAGTGCAGAAGAAGGGAATGAATTTGCGACGACCAGCTCACTTGCTCTCGTATGAGCCCAGACCCCAAATCCATGTCTGTATCTCCCTAAAAGTTCGTTGCAGTTCCATTTAACATTGCAGACCTCAAATCCATGTCTGTATCTCCCTAAAAGTTCATTGCAGTTCCATTTAACTGACTGGCACTAGCTTATCTGGCCAGTTGCAAAGAAGTCAACAAATTATTTTCCACACTCTGCCTCATAATCAAGAGACGTTTTGGTTGTTTCTTCATATCAGAGAGAAAGAAAAAGGATTCTATGGCTGCTCAACAACTGCAGGGTGACCCCACCCCCCACCCCCAAAAAAGTTGATTCAGAGCTGATCTGCCACACATATAAGCTATTTCAACAGGACACAGAAGAAACTAGGAACTTACAAATATGAAATGCTTCAAGACGCTATTCATCAAAATCACAGTCCAACAGGAACCAAAAGCAAAATTATCAGGCCACAAAAATATATCAAACGCCAGAAAATGTTTGGACATACAATGCTCTCTTTTAAAAACATTGGGTGAGGGGGGGGGGACACACTCCAATAAACAGACTTGGGCTCGGCAGAATTTCATTTAGAAAAATGTATAGGGTCACCACAGAGAAGGCCCTGCTGTGCTCTTGCAGATAACTCCTCATAGTAATAGTACTGGTTTATGCAACTGCATAAAGGTAAAAGGTAAAGGTACCCCTGCCCGTACGGGCCAGTCTTGTCCGACTCTAGGGTTGCGCGGCCATCTCACTTAAGAGGCCGGGGGCCAGCGCTGTCCGGAGACACTTCCGGGTCACGTGGCCAGCGTGACGAAGCTGCTCTGGCGAGCCAGCACCAGCGCAGCACACGGAAACGCCGTTTACCTTCCCGCTATAAAGCGGTAGCTATTTATCTACTTGCACTTAGGAGTGCTTTCGAACTGCTAGGTGGGCAGGAGCTGGGACCGAGAGACGGGAGCTCACCCCGCCGCGGGGATTCGAACCGCCGACCATGCGATCGGCAAGCCCTAGGTGCTGAGGTTTTACCCACAGTGCCACCCGCGTCCCATGCAACTGCATAGGCAGCAGCAAACTGGATTTCCCCCTCTTTTACTCCAATCTCGGGGACGAAATATTCAACTGGAGAATGTAACCTAGGAACAGGATGTTGGGGCAGATGGGCTTAATCACACAGTGCCTGCAACAACTTTGGGTAGTTCTAGCCTTAGCAAGAGAGATACAACTTAAGCTTCAGAAATCACTGGAGGAGAGCCAGGGAACTGGTGTATGTGTGTGTGGTATTTCGTTTTCTACTACTGCAAGCAACCTCAAGGCTTATTTGATCAAAAGGCAGGTGTGAGATCTGTTTTTTTAAAAAAGAACTAGATTTCACCGCTTGCTTGTGCAGACAGACGAAAACCACTAAGCAGGTAGCGAATTAGGAGAAAGACCTAGCAGAGCCACAGCTGGCTCAAGGAGTCTTACAGAGCTGTAAGCATAGCTGCTGGAATGGTCCATGAGGCTGATCTAAGCCGAGTGCCACAGGTGATGTTTTCTTTTACGGGAAGCTCTTAGGCCCTGATCTACAGGGATAGCTGCAGAACTGCAGTAAGAGGGCTGTAAGGAGATGCCACGACAGACTCACCTTAGTTATGCTCTGGACAGCAATGACGTAGCCCGTGTGCCTCAAACCTACTGGCTGGCCGGGCGCCAGGCGCTTGTAACCTTTCTCTGGCACCTGCCAGGGAAGAGATGCTAACGTCAGTGGAGACCAAACAAGGGGAATCAAATCACTTCAATCCGCTGGCACATGGATGTAAAAACGTTCTGTACTAAATTGCCAGTTCTTATGGGGCCAGGCACCTCCCTCACAGCAGGGATCTGCAACGTAGCTCCCCGTAGTTATTCTCAAGAGATCCCCATAATAACAATAATAATTTATTATTTATACCCCGCCCATCTGGCTGGGTTTCCCCAGACACTCTGGGCAGCTCCCAACAGAATAATAATAATAATAATAATAATAATAATAAATTTTATTTATATCCCGCCCTCCCCAGGCTCAGGGCAGCTAACACCAGGTATAAAAACAATTGATTAAAATACAAGTTAAAAACAGGATTAAAATTCAACATTAAAATGCAGCCTCATTTCAGTAGAAACTCAAAAACTTTTTGGGGATGAACGTCAAATCTTCACCAAGGCCAACTATCCAGACTGGTCCCACGTGGGACAGAAAAAAGCCAGGGAAGTCCCCAAATAGGAGTCCCAACACAAAAGGAGCAAGGAAAAAAATAAAGAGGGGGAGGGGATCAGGCTGATTCCAAGCCAAAGGCCAGGCGGAACAACTCTGTCTTACAGGCCCTGCGGAAAGAATATTAAAAACATGATAGAACACCAAACATTAAAAACTGCCCTAAACAGGGCTGCCTTCAGATGCCTTCTAAAAGCCAGATAATTGCTTATTTCCTTGACATCTGACGGGAGGGCGTTCCCCAGGGCGGGCGCCACTACTGAGAAGGCAGTCTGTCTGGTTCCCTGTAACCTCACGTCTCGCAGGGAGGGAACCACCAGAAGGCCCTCGGAGCTGGACCTCAGTGTCCGGGCTGAACGATGGTGGTGGAGACACTTCTTCAGAAGCATCTCTCCATAGGACATGGCAGCCTCAGCCAGAACCACATAGCTAGCAATCAGCTGGGCACCTGAACTCTCCAACGCTCCGTACGAACAGGCCCTGTCATAGCTCAGGATTCACCAATCACAGGAAGGGGGCAGAGTTAGGGCTCCTGGTGAAATCTGGCCAAGATGATGACCTGGTTAATGCGCCTGCAGAATGTAGCCTGGTGTGGGCAGTCAGAGAACAGCCCTTAGTAGAAGTGGGCATGGATATTCCAGGTGAAAAAGGCAAACAATTTGCTTCCAGTTTAAGAGACTGTCAAATGAAGCTCAGACAGAAAACAAGAGGCGAGGGAAAGGTGTGCCCTTAGAAGACTGGGGGGTGGGTGGAAATAAGCCTCATTATAATGTGTTTGCATGACAAAACATACTTTTTAATAATATAACCGTGTGTGTATACAAACACTCAGGAACATATAAATGTATAACATTTATATTGGGCAGTGCAGTAATTTTTTATATTTTTTATGTCACATGCAGTGGTACCTTGGGTTACATACGCTTCAGGTTACAGACTCCGCTAACCCAGAAATAGTACCTCGGGTTAAGAACTTTGCTTCAGGATGAGAACAGAAATTGTGCTCGGGCGGCGCGGCAGCAGCAGGAGGCCCCATTAGCTAAAGTGGTGCTTCAGGTTAAGAACAGTTTCAGGTTAAGAACGGACCTCTGGAACGAATTAAGTACTTAACCTGAGGTACCACTGTATTATTGGACAAGGAGCATCTTCCCAAGTAAGACAGGTGCCGATTGCAAGCTGCCAGTCTGTCCAAGCACAGAGCAAAGGACATGGATCTGGGGTTCAGCTTATCTACCACCAGGCCTAGTTTTGGCAGGAAAGCCAACCTACATGAACAGGGCCCCTTTGGGTGCCACGAGACATGTTCTAATTTTTAAAATCTGTATTTTTAAAAGATCGTGCAGAGATGGTCCAGGCCTGTAGAAGTGGCCACAAGGTGGACTTCTAATACAAACAGCCAATAACGGATCCAAAATACACTCTCCAAGTCAGAGGAGCCGGCGCTACCAAGAGAAGTGAATTAATCTGCAGTGTATAGAATCATAGAGTTGGAAGAGACCACAAGGGCCATCGAGTCCAACCCCCTGCCAAGCAGGAAACACCACCAGAGCACTCCTGACATATGGTTGTCAAGCCTCTGCTTACAGACCTCCAAAGAAGGAGACTCCACCACACTCCTTGGCAGCAAATTCCACTGTCAAACAGCTCTTACTGTCAGGAAGTTCTTCCTAATGTTTAGGTGGAATCTTCTTTCTTCTAGTTTGGATCCATTGCTCCGTGTCCGCTTCTCTGGAGCAGCAGAAAACAACCTTTCTCCCTCCTCTAGGTGACATCCTTTTATATATTGGAACATGGCTATCATATCACCCCTTAACCTCCTCTTCTCCAGGCTAAACATGCCCAGCTCCCTTAGCAGTTCCTCATAAGGCATCGTTTCCAGGCCTTTGACCATTTTGGTTGCCCTCCTCTGGACACGTTCCAGTTTGTCAGCGTCCTTCTTGAACTGTGGTGCCCAGAACTGGACACAGTACTCCAGGTGAGGTCTGACCAGAGCAGAATACAGTGGCACTATTACTTCCCTTGATCTAGATGCTATACTCCTATTGATGCAGCCCAGAATTGCATTGGCTTTTTTGGCTGCCGCGTCACACTGTTGGCTCATGTCAAGTTTGTGGTCAACCAAGACTCCTAGATCCTTTTCACATGTACTGCTCTCAAGCCAGGTGTCACCCATCTTGTATTTGTGCCTCTCATTTTTATGGCCCAAGTGCAATACTTTACATTTCTCCCTGTTAAAATTCATCTTGTTTGTTTTGGCCCAGTTCTCTAATCTGTCAAGGTCATTTTGAAGTGTGATCCTGTCCTCTGGGGTGTTAGCCACCCCTCCCAGTTTGGTGTCATCTGCAAATTTGATCAGGATGCTCTTGAGTCCATCATCCAAGTCATTGATAAAGATGCTGAATAAGACCGGGCCCAAGACAGAACCCTGTGGCACCCCACTAGTCACTCTTCTCCAGGATGAAGAGGAACCATTGATGAGCACCCTTTGGGTTCGGTCAGTCAGCCAGTTACAAATCCACTGGGTGGTAGCATAGTCAAGACCGTATTTTACCAGCTTCTTTACAAGAATATCATGGGGCACCTTGTCAAATGCCTTGCTGAAATCAAGGTAGGCTACATCCACTGCGTTCCCTTCATCTACCAGGCTTGTAATTCTGTCAAAAAAACGAGATCAGGTTAGTCTGACATGACTTATTTTTCAGAAAGCCATGCTGACTATTGGTGATCACAGCATTCCTTTCTAGGTGCTCACAGACTGTTTGCTTAATGATCTGCTCCAGAATCTTCCCTGGTATTGATGTCAGACTGACTGGGCGGTAATTATTTGGGTCCTCTCTTTTCCCCTTTTTGAAAATAGGGACAACATTTGCCCTCCTCCAGTCTGCCGGGACTTCGCCTGTTCTCCAGGAATTCTCAAAGATGACTGCCAGTGGTTCTGAGATCACATCTGCCAGTTCTTTTAATACTCTTGGATGCAGTTCATCTGGCCCTGGAGACTTGAATACATCTAGACTAGCCAAGTATTCTTGTACTATCTCCTTAGTTATTCTGGGCTGTGTTTCCTCTGCTGAATCATTTGCTCCAAATTCTTCTTTTCTTTATCGGAGAAGACTGAGGCAAAGAAGGCACTGAGGAGTTCAGCCCTTTCTGTGTCCCCTGTTTGCATTTCACCATCTTCTCCTCTTGGCATGGAGCAGTGCAGGCATGGCTGCCGTCCAGAGAATGCAAAAGCTACACAAAATTGCTGAAAAAATGGTAAAGGTGGAACCGCAAATGACAGTGGTGACTGCCAAGACCACCAGCAACTATGGGCAACTTGAAGATACATAACCTAAAACACCCTCCCATACAGGAGGGATGAGTGGAGACAGCAAAGTCCCTTTAAAATAAGAGAGAGCCTTTGTGCTGACGCATTTTACAAACCCCGCTTTCTAGCAAGGAAGAGATGATGCCTCATCTGCTCCAGAGTCCTACAGCAGGATGAAGTACGCCCCGCTGGCATCCGGTTGAGGGGCCCACAATTTTTGCAGCACCCCATTCTGTGCCCCCAGCGGCACAAATATCAGCTTTCTTCTCTTCCTTAATACATTGCCTCTCCCTCCCATCCACAGGCTCACCTCCCGGAAGTCACTCTGCTCAATATAGATGGTTGGCTGGAAGGGGACTTTGTGGAAACCTTTGGTCTCATCAGCGGGGAAATTGGGTACGTCGATTTCTAAGGTCTGTAAGGAAGAAAGGAAGGATTGATGCACACTCGACGGGGGTGCTAAGAGAGGTCTAGATTTTACAGGGAAGTGGGCAAGGTGGCAAGACACCCAGACCCCACGCTGCAAAGGCCGCAGGCTTACTTTGTGCGGTGCGGGGAAATTGACGATGGTCACGCACAGTGGTTCCAGGACGGCCATGACCCGGGGCGCCTGTTCGTTCAGCACCTCCCGCACACAGGCTTCCAGCATATGAGGCTCCATTGTGCACTGGGCGACTGTCACGCCCACCTGTTGAGAAGAGGTTGGAGTGAGCCAAGCAACAGGGAAAGGCCAAGCTACCAGCTCCAAGCAAGAGGTGGGGGACATATTCTCTCTCTCTTTCTCCAAGGCAGCCTTTCTCAAGCTGTGGGTCCCCAGATGTTGCTGAACTACAACTCCCATCACCCCTAGCTAGCAAGGCCAGAGCTCAGGGATGATGGGAGTTGTAGTCCAACAACATCTGGGGACCCACAGCTTGAGAACCGCTGCTCCAAGGGCTGAACTCCCTTTGGGGAAAGTGGCCCCCAGGGGAATTGGGGGGGGCCTACACACTTGTAGTGGGAGGTGCCAGAAGACGCACACCCCATTCGCTCACAAACTTTCCTCTGCTCGGCTCCCACACAGAGACAGGAAACTGAAAAGAAAGGGATCTGAGGACATGGGAACAAATCTCTTCTTGACTGATCAGCTCACTGAGCATAGGAACGGCAGGGGGAAGGAGGCACGGCTTGGAGGGGGTGCGGGGCAGTCTCGATTAAGAAGTCTGACAAGATGGATTAGGCCCATGAAGCAGAGGTTCTTCATCCCGGCTCTAAGGGGAAGATAGCCGCCGTGTCGCACAGTGGCAGAGCATCTGGTATGCATTCAGAAGGCCCCAGCTTCAATCCCTGGCAGTGCTGGGAAACCCTGGAGAGACGCCACCAATCAGGGCAGACAATACTGAGCTAGATGGACCAATGGCCTGACTCGGTTTAAGGCAGGCCCCTATGCCAACACCCAGGCCGTTTTCAGGGGCCACAATCCCAATCTCTCCAATGCCCATATGGCTCCAGGGAGATGGCACTTTCCCCTGCTGCCTCTGGAGGCATGGAGACAGAGGGGGCACCCTGTGGCTGCTTAGTAGGAATCCAAGAGGTTCCTTAGCCAGGTCCACGTTGAAGCCATGTAACTGAGGAGCATCTCCACAAGAAAGGTGCTGGGGGTGCGCCCTGCTGCTCACACCATGCCCCAAAGGAAAAAGTGGCGCGTAAGCTCCATGGCACGCAAGCAAAACCCGGAACAGGGCCTGAACTCTATACCCAGCACCCCGTGGCATTTAGGCACCCACGCTTTCCCCTTGGCCAAGCTGCACCGAACCCCAAAGGACATGTCTTTACCCTGGCGCAGAAGTTGTTGATTGCCTCTGCCGGGAAGCCCCGGCGCCGCAGAGCTGTCAGCGTAAAGAGTCGTGGGTCGTCCCAGTCCCTGGAATGGCAATGGCAGCAGTGAGTGGCAAGAGGCAGAAAGAAGCCTTGCTCCAAAACATACCGGCCTAGTTCCTTCCCAGCATGCCATTCATGCATCCCTTCTTCCCTCCCCCCCAACCTGGGACTACAGCGCTGAAGTGAAATAGGGCCTTGTTCAGCAACTAAGGGCCGCTTGGATGGGTGGGTTTGAAGTATGCATGTGCTAGATTCTCCTATAAGCCACTTTGAGGATCCTTACATCAAAAGGTGGGATTATAGATCTTTTAAAATGTCTGAGGCTGCCAGAGGGAGAGGATGCAGCAGCAAAGGACCCCTCTATCCAGCTGAATTATTGCCTTCTTAGGCAGATGTGAAGGGCTTTGGCCTTCAGAAAGCCCTCCAGGTGTTCTTGGACTGCTATTCCAACCAGCCTCAGCCGACACGGCTAAATGGCAAGGGATAATGGGAGCTGTAGTCCAACGACGTCTGCAGGCACCATACCAGGAAGGGAGCGCTGCTCATATTACAAAAGCCCTTTCCGCTGTTCTAACGAAACTTCACAGCCTGAGGCACTGGGCCATCCAAGGAGGGACGTGAACCCAGGGCTGTGGGGAGGGGCAGCATTAAGGGCTGGGAACAACTCTGGGGATGGATCACAGATTTTGCCCAGAGATGGGTAAAATGAAGCTCATTCAGGGTATATTGCAAGTGGATTGTTCCATAAAATTACAGTGGTACCTCGGGTTAAGTACTTGATTCGTTCCGGAGGTCCGTTCTTAACCTGAAACTGTTCTTAACCTGAAGCACCACTTTAGCTAATGGGGCCTCCTGCTGCTGCCGCCACGCCGCCGGAGCACGATTTCTGTTCTGATCCTGAAGCAAAGTTCTTAACCTGAGGTACTATTTCTGGGTTAGCGGAGTCTGTACCCTGAAGCGTCTGTAACCTGAAGCGTATGTAACCCAAGATACCACTGTACTTGGGAGCCTCATGTTCCTGTTATGAATCTGAAGCCGATTATATTTCGTGAACTACCTTGGAAGTGGTGCTTTGCCCTGAAAGGTGGCATACAAGTACTTCAAATAATAATAATAATTTTAAAAATCAAACTTTGTTTCTCACCTGACAGCCCCTGAATCTACCAGGCGAATGATTTTGCGTTTGGAGACCACCGTGTAGAGGAGATTGAGGCGCCCATACTCCCACTGCACAGGGCAGTAGACATCCAGGGCATTGCACAGCCAGAAATAGGAGGAGCGTCTGCCAAGAGAGAGAAGAGCAGCAGCTGTCAGAGCAGCAGCGGGGAACCTTTCTCCAGTCCGGGGGCCAGATTCCATGTTGGGCAACCTCCTGAGGGCCGCATGGTGGAGGGGGCGAGAGGCAAAACCAGTCACAGGAGCACGTGGAGCATTTTGCCTTCAGTCTGCTTTCTGCACTGTCACACAGCTTTCCCTATCCTCCTTACATGCAGCCAAGAGGTTTTATTGGAGTTCAACAAGGCAAAAGAAAAAAAAAAGTCAAGGAAATTACAAAGCTTGGATAGTGAGGGGTGTGGCCAGAGGTGAGTCCTGAGGGCTGGACAAAAAAAAAGTTTTGAGGCGGTCACATTGGTTCCTGGGCCTAAGACTCCACACCCCTGTGACAGGTCATCTATAACAGGGAAAAGCAGATCGGTTCCTGTCAAGAGGCTGACGTCGGCTACCTGCTTGTGACTATCTAGCTTCACAGAATTTGTTTGGCTTTCAGGACTCCTGTTTTTGAGCAAAAATAATTATGCGCGGTCAGGATGAGAGCAGGACAGAGACCCAGTCACAGGGGACCTACTAAAATCCTGCTGAATGCTCAAGGCAGAAAATCCAGAGGCAGAGCGCCCCTGACAGACAGCCAACTATCTGACCTCTCTTCAAAGGCCTCCACTGAAGGAGTGGTCATTAGTTCCACCACTGAACTCATCCTCAGGAAGTTTCCCCTAGCATCCAATTGAAATCTTCCCTTCTCTAAATTAAGCCCATTAGATCTAGTTTTCACCTTTGCCATGAGGGCCAGAAGCTTGTGTTCCACTAGAGGTAAAACCAGAATCCTCAGGATAGGATATCTAAGTGGCAGATTCTGCCCCTGTACAGATGAGGAGTCTACATCCATAGAAACCCAAGCCTCCTAAATCTGGGATTCTATTTCTCCACATAGGATAAGGGATTCAGGCCTGTGGTTGCTCCCCACAACAGGAGAGCGTCTCAGCCACTTCCCAATCGAGCAAGGAGCTCTGTTGTCTCTCACCTGGCCTGGAACTCTTTGGTACAGAGCGAGTGAGTGATGTTCTCTATGGAGTCGCAGAGGCAGTGTGTGTAGTCGTAGGTGGGATAGATGCACCTGGAACCCAGGGTACAGCCGTAAGGTCAAGATCTACCAGAACCAGAACCAGCCCACCTCTATGCAGCTCAGCTCTTTTTCCACCCACGGCCTACCCAGCCATCAACCCCATCCCTCAAAATGCTCTTGCAGATCCACTGTCCTACCACGGCATGTGCCCTTGCTTTTAATCTGCTTAGGGGAAAGGCCAGCCTTCCCACCTGAGGAGAGCAAGGGTGAACTGCTGCCAAGGTGATGGCATCCTGCCCAAATTCAGAAGCACTCCCCCTTCCCCCCATCCCCAAATCCGAGAGCCCCAGCACAAGCTTCCAAGCCACAGCTGCCAAAAACGTTTACTGGATTTGTGAGCCGCCATTTTGTCAAGGCTCCTGAGGTGGTTTGTAAGCTTTAAACAGCAAAACAGACACATGATATGAAACGTAAAGAGACAAAAGTCTGATGGGGGCCAACTGGGAGCCGAAGGTATGGGGGCCTCCTCGGCCTAGCCTTCCTCGCTTCCACCTTCCCTCAGAGTACGCAGGTCTTTAGGGGAAGGCGGGGGAAGGTTCTCGCCGCAATGGTTCTCCTCAGGCCATGGATGGTTCTCTCAGGGCCTGGAGGTACGTGTGCTCCCCGGCCTAGTCTCCCTCACTTCCATTTCCCTTCAGGGCACGCAGGGCTTTCTTAAGCAGCCCCGGAGATGGGAGGGAAGGGCTGCTGTACACACATTAAGCCCTATGGCACAGTCATCCGTCCCAACCGAAAATGCGGGCCAGAAACACCTAACCCATCTCTGAAACAGCAACCCCAAGCGAGATCTTCCACAGGGTTCCCACCCAATCCTCCAGCACCCACACCAGACACACACACACACACCCCGCCTCGCGTACCACTTGTCCCCGGTGCGGTGATGTGGTGTGTATTTGATGCGGTAGGCGACGGGGTCCATCTTCCCGTCTTCCATCACCAGCTTCATGCGCAGGGTGGCCTCGCCCTCTGCAAACTTCCCCTTGCGCATGTCCTGCAGAGGAGGAACCCACACTGGAGCTTTGAGCCAGTCAGACATGAAAGCTCGCCACGAGGTTAAAAAACAGCAGCTTCTGCCGCCTCAGTTTTTGCCCTGGCAGGAGCAGCCTTCCAGTTGTTCTGCTCTACAGGCAGACACATACAGTGGTACCTCGGTTACATACGCTTCAGGTTACAAACGCTTCACATTACAGTCTCCGCTAACCCAGAAATAGTACCTCGGGTTAAGAACTTTGCTTCAGGATGAGAACAGAAATCATGCTCCGGCGGCGCGGCAGCAGCGGGAGGCCCCATTAGCTAAAGTGGTGCTTCAGGTTAAGAACAGTTTCAGGTTAAGAACGGACCTCCGGAACGAATTAAGTACTTAACCCGAGGTACCACTGTACTGTGCAACAAAGGCTGCTCCCCAAAATGCCAAATTCGTGCCAATGAAGCCCAAGGAATGCAATCAGAGCAACGTGTTGTTGTTTTTTTACTTATTTTACAAAATTAATCCTGCTTCCAAGATTCGGTTATTTCAATGAGTTTTTGACCAGTAATGAAAGGAAATAAACAAAGTGGGAGGGCCCAGATAGAAGTAGTCAACATGCGACCCTCCAGATATCTGTTGGAGTACAACTCCCATCATGCCTGACCATGGACCACGCTGGCTAAGGCTGATGGGAGTTGTAGCACCATGTTGGCTACCCCCAGATTAGGACAAAGGACAATAGCCATCTAAGGAGGGCAGGGAGAGAGGTGTACAAAATAAGGACTCTGATTGCTGGAAGCACACCTGTATAATTTTATGAGCCATCATCGATTACTACAGGCATAACCATGAGGGCTAGAAACTTGTGGTGGTTGTTCTAAAAAAAAACACACCAAAAAGGCAAGGCTGAGAATGCTGAACTCTGTAGCAGGGGAAGCCACCCTAGATTGCCCACATGAAATGGGAGTACCTCAAAAAGCAGGAGTGATTCCTCGACCGGCCGGTCTCGCCATGGAGAAGGAGGCGGATTATGTCCCTTGATTTCTTCCACCTTCTGGTGGCAAATGTAAGCATGGCCCCTGAGAGATGGAAAGGACACAACCAGTCACAAGGGAAGAATGCACCTATGGCGGAAGTCAGGTGTTAACCCTTTCCCCCTTTTCAGCATCCAGCCTCCTCACCTCCGGATGAGATCCACCGCCCAGGTGTACAGCTGGTCAAAGTAATCGGAGGCGTGCGTCACCGCATAGGGGGTGTATCCTGGGGGAAATAATGCCAGGTCATAAAAAAGTGTGCCCCCTTCATGCCATACTTGGCCCAGTCCCCACCGCTCCCCTCAAGCCCATGTCTTAGGGCAACAACTCCCCGAAACCCACCCTCAGACATCAGGTCGGTCACTGTGAGAACAGGATGCTGGACTAGATGGGGCCATTGACTGCCTGATCCAGCAGGCTCCTCTCATGTAAACAAGCTGTTGCTACTCCTAAAAGCTTCATGTAAACAAGCCATCCGGAAAGGCCTCATTGTTGCACTTGAGCTTCACACCACAGTGCAAATTGGGCTAACCAGTGGTTGTTTTTTCTGAGGTTACCAGCACTGTTTTTTATTTATTATTATTATTATTATTATTATTATTATTATTATTATTATTATTTTATACCCCGCCACTCTGGGCGGCTTCCAACAAAAGAGAAGAGAAGCCACTGGTTAAAACTGTGGCACTGATTGTAACTGTGTACTGGCATCTGTTTTTCTAGAAGGAAAGCACTGGTGTCAACCTAGCATGGGGTCCACAAAGCCAACAGCCTTCCTCCCACCCCCATGGCCTACCCAGAGACATAGCTCTCTTTCACCCAGGCAACATTTCCACATTTTGTAGCACAAGACGCACATACCTAACCATTCCACTATGTCCCTGATGGCTGTGAAGTACTTCTCCTCCTCCTTTTCAGGATTTGTGTCATCATAGCGCAAAAAGCAAATCCCGCCGTTTGCCTGGTTGTGGGGAGAGAAATTAAGCAGTACAATTAAGCCACCCACGAGTTCAGCAAGACATCAGCTTGGTCCCTAAAAGTAATTTCATTTTGTCATTCCCCTCCCTCCCCTCTTCCTACAAATCCCTTTAAATTCTAATCATTACTGACACAAAATACCTTTCCCTTATGGCCGCCAACTTAAGCAATGCACATTGCTATACATAATTTCATATCTGTAATAATGCTGATATATATATATATATCTATATAGATATATAGATATAGATATATATATAGATATAGATATAGATATATATACATACACACACACACACACACACACACACACTTTGACGCAACTTGGTTGATATATTCGGAAATGTTTATCTGAGTGTTCACTGTTCAATTTTTAGTTTTAATTTTATGTAATAGTTGCACGTCATATGCTTTAATGTGAACAAAGATATAGCTCAGCGCAAATGTGTTAAAACAGTTTAAAGATGAAAATGGAGAAAAATGATGTTACCTCAAAAAATAAATAAGTAGAATTAACATGTTCCAATTTGAAACTTCAATTTAACATGTAGGGAGTACAGTGCACACTAACAATGTATAAAACACTGAAGCAAATTAATAAATGCGTGCTTTCAAACAAGGTACATATAATCCTACTGTTATGTCTTCTGGCCTATATATCTATCATATGTTCTTATATGCTATGAGCCACTTTGGGGCCTATCTTTTTGAAAAAATGACACACACATCGCTAGATGAAGATGAGGCTGTCCCTCCCCACTCACTATCGCCTTCCACCCCAACCCCAGTTTAGCAAAAAGCTGAGTTTGCAGCAGGGCAGAGTGTGGAAAAGTGACCGGTCTCTCACCTTGGCAAAGCCGAAGTTAAAATTGATAGCCTTGGCGTGGCCAATGTGCAGGATGCCATTGGGCTCTGGAGGGAACCGAGTGCGCACCTGTGGCAGAAGACATTTTCAATGCAGTTAACTGAGATCTCTCTGGATGCAGTCTCCTCCTCAAAACCTCAAAGACACCCCACACCCAGCCCCACCCAAAGGCCAGGGTGGGGCCTCCCCCTAGATCATATGCTATGACAAAAATGTAGGTAAAAAAGTAAAGGTAAAGGACCCCTGGACGGTTAAGTCCAGTCAAAGGCGACTATGGGGTTGCGGCGCTCATCTCGCTTTCAGACCGAGGGAGCCGGCGTTTGCCCTCAGACAGCTTCCGGGTCATGTGGCCAGCAGGACTAAACCACTACTGGTGCACGGAGAACCGTGACAAGTGCCAGAGCGCACGGAAACGCCGTTTACCTTCCCACCGCAGCAGTACCTATTTATCTACTTGCACTGCCGTGCTTTTGAACTGCTAAGTCGGCAGGAGCTGGAAACGAGCAACTGGAGCTCACCCCGTCGTGGGGATTTGAACCGCTGACCTTATGATCCACGAAGCCCAAGAGCCTCGGCGGTTTAGACCACAGCGGACCCTGCAGGAGTCTGCAGCAACATCCAGCAACCATGCAGCAACCATGGCTGTGTCTGCAGCAACCATGGCTGTGTCCTCTTTTCTTACATCTTGACATCACATACACGCTAAAGGCAGGTGGGGAGAATTTGGCTGTCTACAAGGCCTCATTTGCAGGGCTTCTGGTCCCTCTCATTATGCACAGTACACCCTTAGGGATTTAGGACATGGAAAACAGCAGCTTCACCGCCAAGGAAGTGAGGACCAGGGAAAACAGAGGTCTCTGCTGTTTCTCAAAAACCTTCGCAAAGGCGAACCCTTGTTCACCTGCACATGATTGGCATCAGATTTATTCTTCCAGTGGAAACTGTTGCTGGGCAGGAGAGAGTAAATCTGGCACCTGGAAAATGCTGGGGTTTTGCTCCCATGCACAGACACCTTTGTCCTACACCTGCTAGAGCTATGCATCTGTGGCATCTCACTGCTTCCCCAAATCTCGGTTTTGCCATAACAGCAGCTCAGGGGTCTCAAGGTTTCACAGGGACTGAGAGATGCAAGCTACGGGGGTCAGCTGCTCCGTGAACCCAGCCTCCCGAAGGAAGAAGGACGGAAGATCTCCACCCCCCCCCAAGAGCACCTGTCCGCCTGTGATCTCCAGATGCTGCTTCAGTAAGTTCATGGTGTTGGGTGTGACAACGTAGCCTTCCGTTTTGTAGTTCTCACCTGGAAAGGTACAAGGGACATGATCAGCACGCAGTATGCAAATCAGCGAACTGCAGGCAGTGACGGCTGAATAGTCTTCTGCATTAAAATCAGAAGGCCCAGAAGGAACAAAACAAAAAACACCAGTCACTGAACCAGGATAATTTTGCATTCAAGTTTCCTCATTGCCATTCTTTAGTTGATCATTTGCCCAGGTTTGCGGGGCTTAGTAATGTGGGGTTGTGGCTTCATAAGCGATCTCCCCTACCTACCACCCCCAAACGCACTTGTTTTTTGGCAGAGTCAGGTGCTGTTGGCTGCCGCCTGGTGGCAAGTGGGGCCAACTCCACCTACAAGAGATAAGCCACCAAAAGCCTAAATATAAGCAGTGCCACCATCAGAGCAGGACTTGGAAGCAGGGGTCCAGGTCCACACTCAAAAGCACAAGCAAGGCCACAGCAATTTTGCCCCATATCAGATTGTGCTATGATGCTGTTTTGCTACTGTTTTGTTTTAAATTCTGCGGCGATTTAGCTTCTATATATGCATATCCGTGCGCCTGTAGGCATGTATTAAAGTTTTTATTGGGGGGGGACGGACGTTTCTTGAAAGACCTACACTGGCTCCCAGTACATTTCCGAGCACAATTCAAAGTGTTGGTGCTGACCTTTAAAGCCCTAAATGGCCTCGGTCCAGTATACCTGAAGGAGCATCTCCACCTCCATCATTCTGTCAGGACACTGAGGTCCAGTGCCGGGGGCCTTCTGGTGGTTCCCTCGTTACGAGAAGCCAAGTTACAGGGAACCAGGCAGAGGGCCTTCTCGGTAGTGGCACCTGCCCTGTGAAACGCCCTCCCACCAGATGTCAAAGAGAAAAATAACTACCAAACTTTTAGAAGACATCTGAAGGCAGCCCTATTTAGGGAAGCTTTTAATGTTTAACAGGTTATTGTATTTTAGTGTTTTGTTGGAAGCTACCCAGAGTGACTAGGGAAACCCAGCCAGATGGGCGGGGGTATAAATAATAAATGATGATGATCAAAGAAAAAACTGTAACCCGATACTGACCAACGCTGTACGGTTTTGTTTTCATCTGTCTTTATAGGCCCACCACAGCCTACAATGATAACATTCAAGGATTTGTACGGTAAGCTGCCTTGAGTTCTGACTTGTCATGGAAATGCAGGGTGCAAATATATAACAATATATAAATAAAGTATCTCCTAAACTCACAGGCAGGCTCCTGGTGTGCCATTTCCCACAACCATATGCATGAGCGCAGCACAACCGGATACTGGCCCTCCTGACCCCAGTCACTCCTTTCCTTGACATCAGGCAATATCTGTGGTTTCCACAGGCCCTGGCATATCAGGGAGCTCATCGGTGAAGGTGAGAACCTGGCTGGAGAGAGACACGACCTCCAGGGCAGCTTACCTGGCTTATGGAATTTAAGCGCCTCGCCCCTCAGCTGCTCCATAAGGGATTTCGTCTCTTGGCATGCATCGCCTGGAGGGAAAGCAGTTGAGGTCAGAAGCCAGAGACTCAAGAAACAGACCCCCTTTTGCAGCAGCAACTGGGATAACTTCCTTCCCTTGCAATCTTTTAGCATCTCCACATACGGCTAGCAGCCTCCTGCCTGAAATTCTGAGAGCTGCTGCCAGTCCGTGTAGGCAATGCTGAGCTGGACCAATGGTCTGTTTCAGTATAAGGCAGCTTCCTATGTCTTTCCTCCCGTTGGAAACTCCTCCAGGCAGGGCTTCTCTCTTGCTGCTCATCACTCGGCCACGTACCTTAACTAACACTAACACTGTAGAACAGAGAGCCAGCATTCATAGTGGGGGTAGAGACAGCCAGAAGTAAAAGGAAAGCATTTGTCAGGAGTCTCACAGACCTTGTTTCCAGCTGTGTTACATGCTACAGCCTGAAGGACTCACAGCCCTGGCTATGGTCACAGGTCACATGGTGCAGCAGCCTCCCTAATGCAGGCCTGGGTCTGTTTCGTGCCTACATCGATCTCCCTACACAGGAATGTAGGAAGCTGCCTTGGACAAAAGCCATTGGTCCATCTTGCTCAGTACTGACTATACTGGCTGGCAGAGCATCTCCCCTTTCCAAGCCCTACTGAACTTGGAACCTTCTGCATGTATAGCATATGCTCAACCACTGAATTACTGCCCTTCCTATATATACGATCTTCAACTTCTCACAAGAGGAGAAAGGCAGAGAAGCAAAACCAAGTTTTGTCACAGCTACAGAAAGCCTTTGTAAGGCTGTTGTCACGATGAATTACTTCTGGAGAACACTAGAGGGCGCACTACATCTCTGCCAAAGCTCATCACATGAAGTCCAGGAGGTGAGCGGAATTTTCCACGGCAGCAAGTTATTATTAAGAACATAAGAACCACCCGCTGGATCAGCCCAGCATCTAGTTCTCACCAGATGCCTGTGGGGAAACCAGCGACCAGAGCAGGAGCCACAAGCACACGCTGCCCTCCTGCAATTTCTTGGGAGAGCGGGTTCTATAGTGCGCTGCGCGATTATTGTTTTAAAAGCGACACAGCAAACACAATAGGAAGATACTGCTGCCAGCATTCCACCCTCCCAGTCCTCTGTGTGCCCTTTCCTAAGAGAGAAGGGCGCTTGGGTCCGGCAGAGCTGTGTGCTTGCCAGGCAAACATCCAGAGCAGCTAGGAGGCCTCCAAAACAAACACAAGGGAGAGCAGGTTCAGACAAGGACTTACCGTTTTCCACCACTGCTGCCTTTCCCTTCTTGTCTGGCTCAGTGGCACGGGCCTTCGGGGCCTGACAAAGCAACAAGGTAGAGCTACTGAGTTTAACTGGACCTGGCCTTGAGGGCCTCTGTGGTGAAGAGGAGCCAAGGTTTTAAAGGCAGCCCCGCACACGGAAATCTAGCAGGCAAAGCTTTTCCTGGTGCAGAGACAAGCCATGGAAGAAGCTTTACCTAGGGACTTGACAGGAAGTCAAAGTTGAAGAAAAGATTTTGGAAGATAAAAGGGGGGAAAATATTTACTTTCATTATTATCATTTTCTGTGTGAGTGTGGGTGTGTGGGTGTCTGCACATATGTGTGTTGTTGTATGCAATGTTTGGCAGGAAATAAGACGGTAAATAACAAATAACAAACTAAATATTGATGTATGTAATTTTTATTTCTTAATTATATTTAGTGGTAGTATGGCTGTATTGTTTTTTGTAACATAAAACCATTCAATAAAAATTATTTAAAAAAAAAAAAGAAGAAGCAGCTTTACCTGCTGCTCTTATCTTTTTTAAAAAGAAATAGACCAGGGAAGGTTGGGGGAAAATGGCAGTGAAAGGAAGAGTGGGGAATTAAAGGCGAGGAGGCCAATGTTTTCCTAAAAAGAACTTTACCCTAAACTCTCAACCTTTGCCCTAGAATCCCTATGTCAAGTGACAATTCTTTGCTCTCCCCGGCTTACTGCATACAATGGAAATCACAAGTTTGCAACGCTGCCTTATTCCCAGATTCAGAGACACGCAGGCCAAAATAAATGGGAAGAATCCATAAAGCATGCTTTAAAAAACTGGGGTGGGACAGATGTTTCACTGGCCCCTCAGACACCACTTCCTGTCCTGAGCATGGGTGCCACTACCTACACACCCCGAGGTTTCAAAGAAAGGCTCACACATCCCCACCATTAATGGTTTCTGCCCATATTAGACAAGGATGGAGAGAACCTGCGGGCCCTCCAGATGTTGCTGAGCTCCAGCTCCCATCAGCCTCAGGCAGCATGGCCAAGAGTAAGGGATGATGGGAGTTGCAGTCAGCATCTGGGAGGGCTGCGGGATTGGGGGTTTTAGATGAATCCTCTGCACTCTATTGCACACCTGGAGTGGAAACCACTAACACACCACAAGAAGGAAGGAAGGAAGGGAGGGAGGGAGGGAGGGAGGGAGGGAAAGGAAGATAAACACTTACCTTTGATTTCTTTTCCAGATCAGCTTCTGTCTTTGGGCCCAGCAAGTGGAGCACCTACAGGAGAGGAAAAGGACAGAAGGAAGGAATTGATTGGTTGCCTTGGGTTTGACCCGGCCCTCTAAGTTCCTTCTCTCTACCTCCCCTCCCCAGGGCAAAACTCTTCTTATGTCAGAGATGGGGAACCAGGTACTGCTGGCCACCAGCCCCACTCAGCCTGGCCCATGGAGTTCAGCGACAGCTGGCCCAACACTGCCTTACAAAAAACACACCAGGCCAAAGCAAGAAAGCAAAACCCACTGATCTGGCAGCGTGCCTCTGTAGGAGCACAAAATTTAGTCTGATGCTACAGCGTCCTTTCGCAATTTGAGCCCACATAGGAGGATACAGTTGTGGTTCCACTGTGAATGCAGTGTTTCTACTGGGTAAGGAAGTATTCGGCAGAAAAAGCAGCATCCTGAGAATGCCAGGATTTTTATTTTTTAAGTTTCCAGTTACAAAAATAGACCTGAAGGGATGTGGGTGATGCTGATGAAGATCTCAGAAACCAAGGCAGTTGTCTTGGCACAGTGATGGCCAAACTTGGCCCTCCAGCTGTTTTGGGACTACATTTCCCATCATCCCTGACCACTGGTCCTGGTAGCTAGGGATGATGGGAGTTGTAGTCCCAAAACAGCTGGAGGGCCAAGTTTGGCCATCACTGTAGACTTAGCAGGAGTCCCGGTGTGCAAAGGGCAGACCTTTTAGCACCTTGGCCCCTCCCAAAAATCTGAGAAACGGATATGCAAAACAGGGGCGTGCAAATGTAGTTGCATAATATATACAAATGTAGTTGCATAAGATATACAGGGTCACAGGGCAGCACTGCAGGATAAATTTGCAGCGCCAAGTCTTGGTTATGGAACCTATTTTTTGTTTAAAAGACATTTTTAACCCTACCCTTCATCCAGGGAGCTTAGTGGTGCACAAGGCTCTCTCCACACCTCATATTACCTGCACAACCATCCTGCGATGTAGGTTAGGCTAAGAGAGATCAACTGACCCATTGGGCTTCACAGCCGACGGGGGATTTGAACCTAGGTCTCCCCAGGGCACTTAGCAGCCTCTGCATCACCCTGGTGGATCTGCTGATTCTGTTGCAACAACCCAGCCAATCCCCACCTGCCTTCTCCAAAACCCCTTGTCCAGATTTGCAGGTCCCCCTTGACACACCTGAAGGTCCACCTCGTTCTTAATGATTTTCCCATCAGCCCACTTCAACTTGCTCCGCGCCTCCCCTGCAAAAGAGAAAGGAAATCAGAGCAGTCGTTGACAATCCGCTGAACTCTGGGCAGCACAAGTCCAGGGCCCAATGGAGCTACACACACACCCCCCAGGCCCTGTTTGCAGGATCCCCAGAGATGTCTGGCTGGCCATTGTGAGAGCAGGACGCTGGAATGATGCCCTAATCTGGCAGGGATCTTCTGGTGTTCTTAGGGCTTCTGGATAACAGCAGCTGGGAAACACGGGTGGAAGATGGCTGCTGCCCTCATGCATTGCTTGTGGGGTTCCAGGAGGCATCTAGCTGGCCACTGCAGGACCAGGATGCCCAACTAGAGGGGCCTTTGGTCTGGCCCAGCAGGGCTCTTCGTATATTAGGAACACAGGAAGCTGTCTTCATCGGACCATTGGCCCATCTTGCTCAGCGCTGTCTAGAGCAGGGCTTCCCAAACGGGGGTCTCCAGCTGTTTTTGGACTACAGTTCCCATCATCCCTGACCACTGGCCCTGCTAGCTAGGGATGATGGGAGTTGTAGTCCAAAAACAGCTGGAGACCCCAGTTTGGGAAACCCTGGTCTGGACTGATTGGCAGCAGCTCTCCAGGATTTCAAGGCAGGGAAGCATCCTCAGCCCTACCTGGGGCAGATTTAACCAGAGACCTTCTGCGTGAAAGGGGGATTTTCTACTACTGAGCTACTACGGCCCCTTCCAATATGTTCCTGTGTTCATGGTTAGTCCTATTGCGGAGTGCGCTGGCTGAGTTTGCAAAGGGAGTGGGCGGGTTTTAGAAGAAACGAGCAGAGTCTGGAAAAGCGCACAAGGCCAGGTTGCAGAATGAGCACAGTGACACGCCAGCAGTAAGCAGGTGTCTCACAATGGGAACGTACTTGCAGACTCCCCTGCCCGGCCTGTCACTCACCCATCAAAAGCCCCATGTTAAAGCGGTAACGTTCCGAAAGGAGCTGGGCTTTGTGTTTGCTGATGGAAGCTTCCACCTAGGAAGGAAAAGAGAAAATATTATTATAAAATGAGAGAGAGAGAGAGACAGAGAGAGACAGAGAGAGAGACAGAGAGAGACTGACTAGAGCCAGTTCAAGTGGCTTCCAGACAAGGCTAAATACAAGGCAATAAGGTGGGGTGGGGAAGGTCTAAGTGTTAGTGCTGACCTTTAAACCCCTAAACGGCCTCGGTCCTGTATATCTGAAGGAGCGTCTCCACCCCCATCGTCCTACCCGGACACTGAGGTCCAGCGCCGAGGGCCTTCTGGAGGTTCCCTCACTGCGAGAAGTCAAGTTACAGGGAACCAGGCAGAGGGCCTTCTCGGTAGTGGCACCCGCCCTGTGGAATGCCCTCCCATCAGATGTCAAAGAGAACAACAACTACCAGACTTTTATAAGACATCTGAAGGCAGCCCTGTTTAGGGAAGCTTTTAATGTTTGATGCATTACGGTATTTTAATATTTTGTTGGAAGCCGCCCAGAGTGGCTGGGGAAGCCAAGCCAGATGGGCGGGGTATAAATTATTATTATTATTATTATTATTATTATTATTATTAACACACTTTTCTTCCTTTTTTGCTGAACAACAGAACCTATTCCCTGCCAGACAGAGCTCCCCAAACCCTCCCCAACACTGGAGGGAAGTTACTGAGCCATTAAGACAACTTCCCACCTTTGGGTAAAGGTGCTCCCTGGATATCTGAGTCTTCCTAAAAGCCCTGATCCTCTTTTGGCCAGGCAACTACCCAAGTGGATGGGCTTGGCAGGATTCTCTGTGATTCAGGCTTAAGCAACAACACAGACCTTGCCTTGCACACGTCTCTCTTGACAAAAAAACAATGACACACAGAGGCCTGGGTAGACACCCTTTGCCCAGCTCCAAGCGTGGAAGACGGGCCTGTGATGGGGCATGGCACCACTTGCTGCTCCTACCAAGGGCTGACACTCACCGCCTCTTCGATCTGCTCTGGCGTCACGATCACGCCAACGCCACATTCTCTGGCAAAGTCTGCTGCGTCAATGGGCTCCACGGGGTGGCTTTTGACGTACTCCAGAGCCGCTGCAGGCACAAAGAACACAGGTGTATTATGAGAAGGAACGCCTGTGTGTTAAGAGTGGATAAAGTGGAATGGAGAGAGACCTGGGTTCAAATCCCCACTTAGCTATAACGTGTTGGGATGCTGCCAGGGAGACGGGGGCATTTGGCAGGCCCCCAGCTGGCTCTAGCCACTGGGCGACACTCCGGTTCCCGGTACAGCATCAATCAGCGACACGAGGCTCAGATACGTTCAGAAGCTGTGCACGCTCTTATCAGCAGAGTGAATAAATCCTCACAACAGAAGTGGCGGACAGAGACATGTGTAAGCATTCTTTACAGCATTTCATCAGTATAGTTCAGGAACAAAGGAAAAAACATGTCTGCTTCCCTTCGTCTCCAGCAAAACAGCAAAAGCAACATACAAACGGAAGTTCCCAGCAGACTGTGCTGAAAGTAAAGAGGCATGTGACACACAACAGTCATGCCTGTTCCCTTTTAAGGTGGAACGGAACTATATCCTAACATAAAGCTCATCCGGTGTTCTCTGCCAGTTAAGTGTCTCTCAGCCTAACCAACCTCACAAGGTTGTTATGATGGTAACATCGGGGTGGAGAGAGAGGAATCGTCAATCTTCATCACCCCCGACTCCTTGGAGGGAGAGACTACAGTTAAACCATAGGATTGTAGAAGAGTTGGAAGAGACCACGAGGGTCACCTGGAAACAGAGGAATATTTTGCCCAATGTGGGGCTCGTACCAGCGTCCCTATGATTAAGAGTCTCATGCTCTGCCCACTGAGCTACCCCCAATAAATCAACACATTAACAAATCAAAGGAAAGAAAAGTCATTGGGAGGAACAAGCAGCCCTGGCCCTGCAAGACAAGCCTTCTCAAGGCAAGGCAGGCGGCGGCATTTTGCATTATGCTCAGGATTCAGTTCCTTGTTAAAAAAGTTTTTTATTTATACTTTTCAAATTTATTCATTTCATTAGATTTACGACTATTTTAACATTTCAAAAATTGACTTCCTTCCCCCCCTTTTCTGTGGTTGCATTAATTTATTTTTTAATATCTTCTGCATATCCAAATGCATTTAACCTGCTCATTTAATTATCTACTGTAAATATATGCTCTTATAAAACTGCAGGTTATTACAATAATCCTGCTAACGTTTTCATCTGTTTACAATTTATCTGCAAATATTCAACAAACCGTTTCCATTCTTTTATAAAAAGTTGGTCATCTTGATTTCTTATTCTGCCGGTAAGTTTCGCAGCTTGGGCTCAAGGGAGGATTTGTCCACAGGCAGGACTAGCCAGCAGCTGTGCCAGGTTCTTGTGCCAGGTTTCCCTGTGACAGTCTGTGTGAGCCACCTGCACTGTTTTACTAGGCCACTTTCAGAAGCCTCCAGCATGGGAGAACCAGGCCAAACCCTGCCTTCTGCATGGAACACCCTAGGTTCAGGAGGCTGCTAGGATAGCCAATGCGATGGCCTCCAGATATTTGGGCGACCACTCCCACCATCCCTGACAATTGGCCCCATTAAGTGGGGCCAATAAGAACGGTAGTCTGAAGCACAGAATCATAGAATCATAGAGTTGGAAGAGACCACAAGGGCCATCGAGTCCAACCCCCTGCCAAGCAGGGAACACCATCAGAGCACTCCTGACATATGGTTGTCAAGCCTCTGCTTAAAGACCTCCAAAGAAGGAGACTCCACCACACTCCTTGGCAGCAAATTCCACTGTCAAACAGCTCTTACAGTCAGGAAGTTCTTCCTAATGTTTAGGTGGAATCTTCTTTCTTGTGGTTTGGATCCATTGCTCCGTGTCCGCTTCTCTGGAGCAGCAGAAAACAACCTTTCTCCCTCCTCTATGTGACATCCTTTTATATATTTGAACATGGCTATCATATCACCCCTTAACCTCCTCTTCTCCAGGCTAAACATGCCCAGCTCCCTTAGCCGTTCCTCATAAGGCATCGTTTCCAGGCCTTTGACCATTTTGGTTGCCCTCCTCTGGACACGTTCCAGTTTGTCAGTGTCCTTCTTGAACTGTGGTGCCCAGAACTGGACACAGTACTCCAGGTGAGGTCTGACCAGAGCAGAATACAGTGGCACTATTACTTCCCTTTATCTAGATGCTATACTCCTATTGATACAGCCCAGAATTGCATTGGCTTTTTTAGCTGCCGCGTCACACTGTTGGCTCATGTTCAAGTTTGTGAAGCATCCAGAGGGCACCATTTTGACTACACTGGGATTAAGCTGCAGGAGAAGAAAAGTACTGATGGACTGTGAATTACATTGCCGGAGAACTTTGCTGTTCCAGAAACTCAAGAGAGACACAACCCTAATATACGGGCAGCCAACCAGGTGCCTTCCCAATGTTTTGGACTACAACTCCCATTCAGCATCGCCAATGATCAGGAATGATGGGAGTTGTAGTCCACAACACATGGAAGGCACCACATCGGCGACCTTTGCTCTAACGCCTGGTTGCGTATTCAGCGCGAGGCTTGGTGACTTAAGGCAGAGCTGTGCAATTAAAAGGGTGAAATTCATGAAGGGAGCATCTTTGCCGCAGCCGGCATAAACCCTAAATGTGTACCATTGAGCTGCAGGTCTGTAACTATCTTCTTGGTAGCGATATACTCCACAAGGAAGCCAAGATGCTTTGGGTCCTTAAGCCTGGAGGCCACATTGTATAACAGGGTGCCAACTGTCTTGTCAGCAGCTGAGCCAAGGATTTCTTGAGCCTAGAAGAGAGAGAGGGGTCAACAGGAGAGTTAAAAGCTGGTTTGGTGTACAGTCATACCTCGGGTTGAATGTGCTTCGGGATGAGCGAGTTCGAGTTGCGCTCCGCAGCAACCCGGAAGTAACGGAGCGTGTTACTCCGAGGTTTCGCCGCTTGCGCATGCGCAGACGCTCAGAATGACGTCACGCGCATGCTCAGAAGCGGCGAAAAGCGACGCATGCGTGCGCAGACGTGCCGTCACTTGTTATGTTAGCTTCTAGATGTGAATGAGGCTCCAGAACGGATCCCGTTCGCATCTAGAGGTACCACTCTAATGGCTGGTGTCCGTCTAAAGATGTTAAGAAGAGGTGATAGGAGAGGTTTCTGCAGAATGAGACAGAGAAGCTCATAGGAAGCTGCCATATACTGAGTCAGACCACTGAGGTCTATCTAGCTCAGTATTGTCCACACTGACTGGCAGCAGATCTCCATGGTTTCAGGCAGAAAACGTTCCCCATCCTACCTTCAAGGGATTGAATTTGGGTAGATGCTCTACCACTAAGCTATGATCCTTCTCTTCCCAGTTAACTTCTTGTGCATCAGGAGGACACCATCTCCACCCTGCCCCTTCCCAACTTAAGAGCCAGCATTACAGAACTGCCCTGGTTGCAGAGGGGAAAGTCCCAGCAACCAGCAGAGGGATTTTTATGTAACGCCCATGTCATTTTGTTGGGTTGCTGCACCATTGTGTTTGGGTGCCTATGCACAAGGGATAACTATGCAACAAGCAATTCCCAGCATGCTGTTGCATTACGACAGCCCCAAACGGATATGGCTGTGGTTCATTAAACTCTGTGAAGAAACTCTTGCATCTCTCTGCAGCAATGTAAGTGAATCATCTGCATTTTGGGAACTATAATTTGAACAGTCTACTCTCCAATGACAGAATGAATGGGTACACCCTGCTTTGTAAGTAGACACCGGCCAATCCCACCCCACCCCAATGATTTCATCCTGGTCGAGAAAAACAGGAAACAAGCACAAAAATCAGCTGACTTCTTGCTCTCTTGGTTATCTTCAGGGAGCTTCTCTCACCAGCAGGACTTTCACTTTCAGATTCTTAGAAACATTTCCGGAAGGAAATTCCACTGCAGAAAAGGGCTGATGTTGTCTGAAAAGTCACTGCTTGCAACGTGGTAAGCTAGAATATGTCGGAAACGTTTCCACCAACCTTATTTTTATCACATAAACACGGAAACATACGCTGACCTTGAAAGTAAATCTGAACGCACACCTGCTTTTTAGTCCTCATCCTGAAACTGAATTAAGCCCAAGTACACATAGCTCCCGTTCTCTCTTCTTCCCATGTCACCACAAATTGCAAGCCATGCTACAAGCAAATGAAATGTATCCTTCATGTAGGTAAAGGTAAAGGGACCCCTGACCATTAGGTCCAGTCGTGGCCGACTCTGGGGTTCCAGCACTCATCTCGCTTTATTGGCCGAGGGAGCCGGCGTACAGCTTCCGGGTCATGTGGCCAGCATGACTAAGCCGCTTCTGGCGAACCAGAGCAGCGCACAGAAACGCCGTTTACCTTCCCACCGGAGCGGTACCTATTTATCTACTTGCACTTTGACGTGCTTTCGAGCTGCTAGGTTGGCAGGAGCAGGGACCAAGCAACGGGAGCTCACCCTGTTGCGGGGATTCGAACCGCCGACCTTCTGATCGGCAAGCCCTAGGCTCTGTGGTTTAACCCACAGTGCCACCCGCATCCCTATCCTTCATGTAGCAGCAGGAAAAAACTCATAGTAACTTGATCATCTGAAACAACAACTGAAATTTGTTTATTTGAAGCATTTCTACCTCTTTCCTCATCCAAAAAAAGTCCCAAAGTGGATTATGTAAGGCCAATAAAAACAAGAGAGTTCATGAAATGGGACAGAACCACAGCTAGAACTTGAGTCCAGCCTACAACAGTAAACAAGTCAGAGGACTTACAAAAGGCTCCTGAGACGTTATCTGTGCTTTGAATCACCTCCATTGGGGACTCACAGGAGGCCCTAATAAGTTCAGTTCCAAAACTCGGTTCCTAACCCAACAGATAATACTTATTAAACATTTGACATTATTATTCTGTTTTTCTTTTTCATTCTTGGGAGTTTCAAATTGCAGAGGTATAGCTGACCACCAATTTTCAAACTGAGCATCAATCTGAGTCTCAGATGAAAACAGGCAGTTAAAACATATGCCAACAAGTGGCAGGGAACAGATTCCAGAGTGACCCCATACAGAATCTACCGGGACAGAATCCAATCTTACAGCATATCCTAAGCATGCTTATTTAGAAATAGGTCTTACTGTATTCAACTGGCCTCACTCACAGATAGAACTCCCCAAACCACAGTCTAACCCCACTGACCTGGAAGCCCCACTGAATTCAGCAGTAGTCACATCTTGAGTACATGCTGGCTTATTCAGTTAGTGCCATACAGCTCAATGTCCAACTGCCCAGGAAGTGTGTTTAAGATTGCATTGCTAAAATAGCTAGGGACAGGCCCTGAGGCCTGATGGTGCAGCAAGTTCAGATTTGAAAGAAACCTTTAAAATCAAAAAGATCTTCTCGCCCTTTGCAGGAGATCACAGGACAGAACACTGAACTCGGAAACCATCCTTTCTTACAGTCACACCCAATCTATCTATCCTCTGCCCTCTCTTTGACAAAGACTTGCAGATCTCCTAATTTTAGAGGGTTCGCCAAACTGCGTTATCTCTGTGAAGACTCACTGAAGCACGATAAAAATGAGAGATCATTCAGAACTGTGTCATATACAGTCATACCTCGGGTTGAAGTAGCTTCAAGTTAAGTATTTTCGGGTTGCGCTCCGCGGCGACATGGAAGTAACGGAGCGCGTCACTTCTGGGTTTCGCCGCTCACACACGCACAGAGGCTCAAAATGACATCACGCACATGCACGGAAGTGGCGAAACGCGACCCGCGCAACTGCGTCTTACGTTTACTTCAGGATGCGAACGGGGCTCCGGAACAGATCCCGTTTGTATCCAGAGGTACCACTTGTATACAGTGGTACCTCGGGTTAAGTACTTAATTCGTTCCGGAGGTCCGTTCTTAACCTGAAACTGTTCTTAACCTGAAGCACCACTTTAGCTAATGGGGCCTCCTGCTGCCGCCACTGCACGATTTCTGTTCTCATCCTGAAGCAAAGTTCTTAACCTGAAGCACTATTTCTGGGTTTGCGGAGTCTGTAACCTGATGCGTATGTAACCTGAAGCGTATGTAACCCGAGGTACCACTGTAGAGGAATGGAGGAGAGTGAAGGGTTTTTGGGTTTGGGGTTTTTTGAGGGGGTAGGGTCGCCCCATTCCTTCTTCGAGCCGCTATATGACAAGCAGAACTTCAACCCCTCTGCAGCATTTTCTGGCCTGGAAATGCAGTGATGGGGGTGAGCTACACCTGTTGGATTTCAGCCTGTCAGGTTGCTCTCAAAGATACAGGAGCACTACCGGTGTGGGCAAAGCGACGGTACCTGCACGACGGCCTCGCGAAGCAGCGCGCTGAGCGCCTGGTTCCGAAGGGTCTCGCGAGCCTTGCTTTCGCTCAGACCGATGCTAACGAAAAGCTCCAGCGCGCCCGGCTCGTCGGCCGCCATGCTGCTCCTCGCAGCCGCCTCTACTTCCGCCCGACGTAGGGCGCGCCGGCTTCCCAGCCCAACTAACCATGCGCAGAGTGGGTAGGGGGCGGGGCAAGGAGCGGGGGAAAGCCAACCCGAAGCTGCCGTCGGTCTTTCGGCCAATGGGAAGCGCCGCCAGGAACGCCCGCCTCCCCATGGCCCCGCGGCAAATCCGAGAGAGGCGAATGTGGCGCTGGGCGGGGCCGGCGGGTTGCTTCTCGTTGCATCATCACTCGAAGGTGACGTTTTTTTGAAGAGCGAGGGATCAGGTGGCCGTAGAGATAGAAAGAGGGTAGAGAGAGCTTTGTGCACAGATTTTTACATTAAAAGTCACTTGTAATAAGTTGAAGGAGGTTTTAAAATTGGATTGTTTTTAAGGTTTTATGGACGTGCATAAACAAGTATGTTATAATGGAACCAAGACAGAGAGTGGAGGGAAGTCGACCCAAATTTATGGTTTAATTTGGTTATGATTTTTTCCCTAGTTTTTTTGTATTGTTATTTCTGGAAAATTAATAAATTGTTATCAAAAAAGAAAGAAAGAAAGAAAGTAGAGAGAAAGGCAGCAGAAGGTCCTGAGTTCAATCCCTGACCCCTCCAGGTAGGTTTGCCCCAAATCCCGGCGGACTGCTCCCGGTCAGTTTAGGCAATACTGAGCTAGATGGGCTAGTGTTTTGACTTGTGTAATCATAGGGGTCCATACAGTTAAAGCTATGGTTTCCCCAGTAGTGATGTATGGAAGTGAGAGCTGGACCATCAAGAAGGCTGATCGCCAAAGAATTGATGCTTTTGAATTATGGTCTGGAGGAGACTCTTGAGAGTCCCATGGACTGCAAGAAGATCAAACCTCTCCATTCTGAAGGAAATTAGCCCTGAGTGCTCACTGGAAGGACAGATCGTGAAGCTGAGGCTCCAATACTTTGGCCACCTCATGAGAAGAGAAGACTCCTGGAAAAGACCCTGATGTTGGGAAAGATGGAGGGCACAAGGAGAAGGGGACGACAGAGGACAAGATGGTTGGATAGTGTTCTTGAAGCTCCCAGCATGAGTTTGACCAAACTGCGGGAGGCAGTGGAAGACAGGAGTGCCTGACGTGCTCTGGTCCATGGGGTCACGAAGAGTCGGACATGACTAAACAACTAAATAACAACAACAATCATAGGGGCCCCTTTACATTTTAATCATAGTATTGTAGAGTTGGAAGGGACCCCGAGGACTATGCAACTGTCCTGTGCAGGGGATTGAACCTACAACCTTGGCGTGCACTACATGGTCACTTAACCTTTTATGCTAAAGATGTTTATTATGGGAAGTCTTGAGTGTTGTGCAAGTAAATGGGGCATGGGCACAGCTACCTGCTTTTTGAGAGCTGGCATTGGGTTTTTTCAGCAACCAGAGGAATCGTTGGAGGAATGCTTTGCAGCAGTGTTTTTGGACATTAGTGAAGCCAGCGGTTTAAACTCTGATAACATCCCTAATTTTCTGTCTCAGTAAGGATGTTCTTTGTAGTATTACAGTAGGGAATAATAATTCTGGACTACATAGCATCATCTCTCTCTTATCACGAATCCTCTCTCCACATCTGGAAATACAAATAATTCTGGACTACCCACAATACAAGAGGGACGCGGGTGGCGCTGTGGGTTAAACCACAGAGCCTGTTTCCGTGCGCTGCTCTGGTTCACCAGAAGTGGCTTAGTCATGCTGGCCACATGACCTGGAAGCTGTACGCCGGCTCCCTCGGCCAATAAAGCGAGATGAGCGCCACAACCCCAGAGTCGGCCACGACTGGACCTAACGGTCAGGGGTCCCTTTACCTTTACCCACAATACATATAACTGCACTACCCACAATATAGAGATAATACTGTTGAACCTTTCCCACCCTATATTCAATAAGAATGATTTTAATTGACCACTCAGTCAGGAAGGATTTGCAGGGCTTAAAAAAATATTCATTTATAGCGTTTTCATCCTGCTCTTCTGTTATGTACTGAGTTGAAGAGGATCCAAAAGGCAGCAGTCTGATTGGTCCTAGAACAATAGGATTCAGAATATTGCAATCTGATTGGTCCTAGAACAATAGGGTCCAGAATTCAGCAGTCTGATTGGTCCTAGAACAATGCAGCACTATGATTGGTCCTCACGAGCCACCCAATCCAGCTCCAGGTGGAAATGAATCCGCAACCTGATTGGCCTACAGGAGAATCCCAGAATTTGCCAATCACGTGCGGCCCATTGTGTAAATAATGTATATAAAGCAGATATTTTGGGGAAACTTTCATTCCTCACTACTATGAGCTGAATAAAGAGCATGAAATCCACACTCCGAGTATATTTCATCTTCAGTCAGAAAAGGCTTCCAGGACAGCTTATAAATATTAGCGATAAAACAGCCCCTACCCTGAGGTTTAGAATCTAAAAGACATGACACAAAAGGAAAAGTGATTGAGAGGGCAGAGGGGGAAAAGGAAGCTTGGCAACTTGTTCTTGTAATGACCAGTTGGAACAGAACCATTTGGAGAAAAGGAGCCAAAAGTTGTTGATCTCTCACCAGACCTGACAGAGATGCCCTGCAGTCTCATCTCTCCCTTTGCTAGAGGCTGATGGAAGACTGGAAATGTTTTACAAACCAACAGAAATGGCTTTCTCACAACACAATAAGACCATGTGCTATTGCACCCGACCTAAAACTTTATTACGAGGCAGCCTGTTTCACCTGGTTAAAAGATTGGGGCACGTTGCAGGATCTGGACCTCCTGGACCTGGAAGGTTTTGACAACCGTTGGGGATGGCACGCCTACCTAATATGTGGAAAAGCGAAAATTCATAAACATTTTACCAACCATATAATAAGAAGGTCACTCTTTGCTGTATGGGAAAAATATAAAGATCTGATGGAGCCTAAAGTACCGTGGTGGACTTCTCCAGTAGAAGCCACAGCAGTAAAATGGAAAAATACTCAGGAAAGCTGGCCAACATATAAAATACTTCTAAAAAATGAAGATAACCAAATAAAATTTAAAAACTTTGAGGAAATAAGAGAACACATTTCAGACTGGTTCCAATACCATCAGTTATTTGAAAAATTTAAATCTGACAAACAAAAGGGGTTCTCAACAGAAATTTCCCGATTCGAATCTGATCTTGTAAATTCTAAAAGAAAAACTCTTTCCAAAACTTACCGACTCCTCCTTGACTGGACAGTCAAGGAGGAGGAGGAGGTAACAGTGGCAATGGTGAGGTGGTCCCAGGATTTTGGCCATTCAATAACCATGGCCCAATGGGAAAATTTATGGAAGATCAATTGGAAATTCACAAATTGTTACACGATTAGAGAGAACTTTCAAAAAATGCAACATCGATGGTATCTAACACCATGGAAACTTTCAAAAATGTATAAAAATGTGTCAAGTAATTGTTGGAGATGCAGAGACTCAGGAACATTCTACCATATGTGGTGGACATGTAGGAAAATACAGGTATTCTGGGAGAGTATCCATGCAGAACTGCAAAAAATGCTAAAGATCTCTTTCAATAAAAAACCAGAGGCCTACCTCCTAGGAATAACAGATTTGGATATTCCACAAAAGAGGAAGGGTATCTTTTTATATGCGACGACGGCAGCAAGAGTTTTGATCGCAGCAAAATGAAAGAGTAATGAAATCCCCTCTATACAAGATTGGATCCAAAAGCTGACAGAATATGCTGAATTAGATGGTTTATCAGAAAAAATAAAGAATAAACCAAAACAGGAATTTGTTTCTAAATGGGAGGTTTTCAAAGAATATCTGAAAAATAAATATAGTAGTTTAAATTCTGTTGCAGCATTCGAGGAACTTCAGTAATAGTTGCATGGTAGATATAAGAAATTAGATTTATTGAGAATAAGTTTAATCATGAAAAAAATGTGTATTGGCAATAAGTAATATGAATTTGAAATATGGAATAGACGGGAGATTGGGTCTTTAGTGTTAAGACCAATAGATGTTTTATTGTTTGCTAAGAAAATTATGTGTCTATGGTTACTTTTGTAATTTGTGTGTAATTTGGTATTTGGGTTTTTTGTTTTTTTCCCTTCTTGTTGTATAAATAAAAAACTTTATTTAAAAAAAAAAAGACCATGTGCTATTGCAAAATCATAGCTATCATAGAGCCCTGGGAGCAAGCTGTCAGTTGCAACCTTCAAAGGAGAAGAGAAATGGTGTCAAAAGTCATCAGGAAGTCCCATCTCCAGACAGAAGAATTGTCAGTCTAGGACTTGTTTATGTCTGGGAGAGAGGGAGAGGGAGAGAGTGCCTGCGTTAAGATGTGAAGCAATTTTTGCCTACTAGGAGAGTAACACACAGTAAAAGGCTAGACTAAGCACCTTCACTCCTTGTTTGATGAAAGATCTGACCCTGATTGCTGCTCACCAGAAAAAATCCAAGGCTTAACTCACTATTTGACTTTGGGGCAAGCAGCTCTGGAGGGGGAAACAAAAAATGGAAGCAAATTTAATTTATAGTCCATTTTAACAGTATAACATTTCTGTATCTCACAACAGAATAGCAGGCCTAAAGCAGACTACTGCTACAGAAATGCAGGGTCTGTTTGATTTAGGACTGAACTTATTTATTTACTTTGATTCCTTGCCCTCCCTTCACCACAAGGTCCCAGGGCAGGTTAGAAGATAAAGATCAACACCACGTGAAAGAAAATAAGGCATCTGGTGAAACCAGTTTTGATGGTTGTCTGGTTAGGACAGATTCCTTTTAAAAGCACCGAGGCTTCTGTTTTCTTCCAGTTCTGTTGCCCTGGTTTAGTTATTGTCCTTGCTGTGTCATACATACACTTAAGTGAGAATGCAGGTGGCGCTGTGGTCTAAACCACTGAGCCTCTTGAGACTGCCGATCAGAAGGTTGGCGGTTCGAATCCAGCAATGGGGTGAGCTCCAATTGCTCTGTCCCAGCTCCTGCCAACCTAGCAGTTCGAAAGCAGGCCAGTGCAAGTGAATAAATAGGTACTGCGGTCGGAAGGTAAACAGCGTTTCTGTGCACTCTGGCTTCCGTTATGGTGTCCCGTTGCACCAGAAGCAGTTTAGTCCTGCTGGCCAGATGACCTGGAAATCTGACTGTG